TACTACTATTATAAGTAACACCTAAAAAGTTGAAAAGGGACTAAACCCTTGAAAATACCTAAAAGAAGGTATTTATTAATAAGGTTAAAAGATAAAACCGGGTCCAAGATATCCGTAAAATAAGGTTAAAATCAAACCAGACTACTTAAATACCGGTTTTAGGATAGTTTCTAGTTAAACTAAAGGAAAATTCCCTATTAAAGTATTTCTTACGTCTAAGGGAATTTAGTTATATAAGGAAGCCCTTTTTCCTACCTAAGGGTAAAAAATATTATTATAAAAACACAGCAATAAAAATAACTATTAATAAAGCTACCTTTTAACCTACTATCTACCTCTTTATTACCCTATTTCTGTTAGTCTAATAGCTTCTTAGTATTTACTTAGTACCTTTATCCTTATATAAAGCTTATAGTTCTTAGCCTTAATAATAGTAAGCTTATAAGTTAATTTACTAATACTTTTAGCTTAAAAGTTAATTACTTTATATAACTAATTAAAGTAATTTAATGAATTTAAGCTAATTTTATTTATTATACATTTATTTTTATTAAAATTATAAATATTATTATTAAATATTTTATAATTTATAAATATATTTTATATAAGTATAAATTAGCTTTATATAATTATAAGATCTTTAACTAAGGCTTTTTAATAATTAATTTAATATTAAAATTATATTTTTAATTAAAGGATATATTATATAAAGTTCTTTACTTATTAAAGTTTAATACATGTTATATTATATTTAAAAAAGAGTTAATTAGCTATATCTTATAAATCTTTTTATTATAAAGAAAAACTTTAATTAATTAGGTTAATAACCCGTTTAAGAATTACTTCTTTTTTAAATATAATTAACTTTATTAATTTTAATTACGTCTTAGCTTATAAGAGTATACTAGTATATTATGTATAAAGGTTAATTTAAGAACCTTAAAGGTAAATATAGTTCTTTATATAGACATTTTTAGGTCTTTTTAGATAGCTTAGAGGGCAAAGATAATATAGCTTTCTTTAGAAGAAGAATTTATGTTTATATATAGAGGAAAGTAGGTGTAAAGGTTAAAGAGGTAGAAAGGCAATGAACGTGCGTAGCTTACTATGATACGCAGCTCACTATGTATGTACGTTAAAGCTATTAAGACTAGTCTAGTAAGACTACATAGAATAAAGAAAGCTAGTAAGTAGGTAGTTAACGCATAAACCACACTAAACACTAAGGTCCTAGTATTATTGTAAGTACACCTAGAGTAACTAATTACCTTAAGTAATTACCTTAATGTCTAGACTATAAGATACTACTTTTTCTAGGTCTTTTTTAGCTTAATCAAGGCTATAAATAAACTATAAAAAGTATATCCTTTATATCTTATAGTTTATTTAGATTTATTTTTATTATTAAGTAGTATACATATATATATATTATAATCTTTAGAGAAAAAGAATATTCTCTTAGACCTTAGAGGTCTAATTAAGCCTAAAGAAATAAAATAATAGTTACTCATTATATATCTTATTTTAATATTAAAGTAGTAAATTTATTTATATTTATTTAAGTACTTATTTAAAGATATTAAGCTTATTTATTTACTTAATAATAATCTACTCTTTTTCTCTTTTATAATAATATATAACTAGAGTCCCCTTTTATACTTAGAAGAGTTTTACTTAGTTATATCTAATCAGGCCTATAATTATGTCTATAGACTAATAAAAATAAAAATAAAAACGTATAACCTTACCCTTTTCTACTATTTAAGGTATTTACGTATATAGGCCTTGTTTATATATAAGGTATAGAACCTTAACCTTAGAGGCCTATATTACTTTATAATATACTTAGTAAAGACGCTAAGAGGTACGTGAAGAAACAGGACGGCTAGTATAGCTAGCGTCTTAAGGCTAAGATAGCTTAGAAAAAGAAGGTAGTTATTATAAGGATAATTCTACTAGGCTAGATACGCCTAGAAAGACATAGACCTTTTACCTATATAAGTAATATTAATAGTAGCGCTTGTAAGCGTGTAAGTACTAGTAGACCTTTTCGGTATTAAAACTGTATAGGATAAAGGAAGCTAGTAAGTAGGTAGTTAATACATAAACCACACTAAACACCAAGGTCCTAGTATCGTTACAAGTATACCTAGAGTAACTGATTACCCTAGGTAACTACCTTAACGCCTAGACCATAAGATGCTACTTTTTCTAGGTCCTCTTTAGCCTAATCAGAGCTATAAGCAAACTAGAAAAGTATATCCTTTACGTCTTATAGTCTATTTAGATTTACCTTTATTACTAAGTAGTATATATATATATGTTATAATCTCTAGAGAAAAAGGATTTTCTTTTAGACTTTAAAGGTCTAGCTAAGCCTAAAAAATAAAGTAATAGTTATTTATTATATACTTTATTTTAATATTAAAGTAATAAATTTATTTATATTTATTTAAGTACTTATTTAAAGATATTAAGCTTATTTGTTTACTTAATAATAATATACTAATACTTAACTTCTATAATAGTATATAACTAGAGTCCTTTTTTAAACTTAAAAGAGTTCTGCTTAGTCACGTCTAATTAGGCCTATAAGTGTATTTATAAACAATATAAAGAAAAATAAAAACGTAAAACCTTACCCCTTTTTAGTATATAGCTTAGTAGGTTATTATTAGGCGTGGTTACTGTTAGCCTGTCTATTATATCTAGAGCTTTTACTAGTAGTAGCAGGAAGTATTTAAAACGGATTAGTAGGTTAGTTACTAGTAGCATCTTAGCCTAGGGAACGTTATAGTTAACGTTAATTTTAAAGGTAGCTAGTAGAGTAAACAAGTCGGAAGTTAAAGTGTCTTAGTAGTATACCTAAGTGTAAGTTTAATTAGTTATACTATTAGTAGGTAAGTTAAAAAGCTATTAAGGCTATAGTTTAAAGTCTAAGTAATTACTATAGTTATATAATTAGTTACCTTAGGCTTAATAGTTATAGTACTAAACCTTAGTGTATATTTTAGTTTATACTAACTACCTTACTACTAGTTTGTTTTCCTGTATATAGTTTCATAGTAAGTGTTTATAATAAAAGCTAATAATTATAAGTAACTATAATATAAATAAAAAGAAGTAATAGTAGTAGTATTTACTTTACTTTAAAAGTTATACTAAAAGGCTTTAATTTTAACTACTAATGTAGTATTAATATATCTTATATAAGTAAATAACTTATTAAGTTATTAAAGTAGTTATTATAATACTTACTATAATCTTCTTAACCTTCTTTTTAGTTTTAATTATATAAAGTATTTTATTAATAATCTAATATTATAATAAGTTATATACTATAAAGAGTACCTGTTATATTAAGCCTAATTATACTATTATAGAATAAGAGCTACTTATCTTATAGTTCTATTAAGTTTCTTGCCTAGCTAGGAAGTCAAACCATAAGACCTGTCGCGTCGTTGAAATGCGGCTCAGCAATTGATGCCTCAGGCAAAGTCCGGCAGATACTCTGTTCCGTACTCCATCGTTTCCTCCCTGGACGTAACCTCATCTCTGGAATCACAGATAGCGCTACCTGTCGACACGCTCTGGGCAGCCGCCATTATCTCCTATGCACTCAATTCGTTGCGAATAAGCCTGCATCATCTCCTACGATATCTTCATTACTACCCGGAAGCGATCTCCTCGATATCGCATTCCTACTATGTCGACTCGTCAAGCGGCACTGTGAGCCTCCGCTGTCAACAGCAACGACCGACCCCGAAAGAGCTTTCGAGCTAACAATTGCCATGGCAGGTCGCTGTACCGCCGGTCGCTGAAGCTGGCTCTGGACTGGGCCGTCCACCGGCACCTTTGGAGAGGCCAGGCGCTTTACATTCGGTCACTATTCGAGGCGAACCGCAATGTGACAGATTCCCGACAGAAGAGGGTGAGAGCAGCCACATATTTCTCATGCAGCCCATAGCCGTGTGACCTATCACAATGAAGGTGCTGACGAACTCTTGACCAGGAGCTTCTGGCCCAGACTGAGAAGTTGTTGGCGAAGTGGAAGCACCCAGAACCCTATGTGCACCCAACTGCACCCGGTGGTTCGTGATACCCAAACCGAGAGCTACCTGCACCGGACAACGATGATGCTGACGAACGATTCACAGGGTCTAAGTATGAGCGCAATCTTCGTGCACCTATTCTCGACCGTGAGCTCCAGACTGCCCAGCATCCCGGTGGCATTATACTAACTTTTTGACCAGCTCCGCCCCCATTGAAGTTCTGAGCGATGAAACATGGGAACAGAGCGACTGGAACTGTATATATGGCTAGCAATGTGCATGGACAATGGCATACTGCGAAGAAATTGCGGACTGTTCCATTGAAAAGGAGTGTATGAGCTGCACCGTATCACACGGGAAGATAGAGAGGGAGTAGGATTGTAGGCCCAACGGCCAAACTTGTCTAATTGATAAATCCGCTGTCGCTGTGCAATATTCCCGAATAGACAGGCTGCAGCTCAGTTTTGTATAACATCACTTTTGTTACTTATATCCGGCGTCCGCATTTACACCGTCTGTGAACAGCTATACCAATTCGCCGAACAAGCAGGATATCTGGAAATATGATGACAGTTCTACCCATTTGCTGGTTGCAAGATCCACGAGCCGAATACAAAGACTTCGAGAGTCGGAACCAACCATTACCTCAACCGAAGACAGCGACACGTTTCGGCAAGTGGCTTACAAACCCGGCATCACAGCCATCGTCCCGTAATCAACACCAACTAACAAAGCAAAGAAACGAGGTGGGAATGCCCCATTCGAATTGAACGTAAAAAAAAAATGATCTTCAAAGGTATTCTCATTCGTAACCACAGCTTCCTGCCGTGGTATTATTGTACAACCCAAACGTGAAAATCAACCATGAACCCTGAACCGTGACCCCGATGTCATGACAACCCAAAGCAGCCGACCAGCACGAAAAAAACCCAAACCCTAGGCGCCCATTTACAACTCTTGGCTCTGGTTCTTTCCAGTCTTGCCGGTCTTCTTGGGCAGCAGGTCTAGAGCATCGTTAGAATCGATGTTTGCAAACCACGCGTCCGGAATGACTTACTCTGGTGGATGTTGGGCAGAACACCACCCTGGGCAATCGTGACGTGACCCAGAAGCTTGTTCAGCTCCTCATCGTTGCGGATGGCGAGTTGGAGATGACGGGGGATGATACGAGTCTTCTTGTTGTCGCGGGCAGCGTTGCCAGCCAGCTCAAGAATCTCAGCGGCGAGGTACTCGAGAACAGCAGCAAGGTAGACAGGAGCGCCGGCACCGACACGCTGAGCGTAGTTACCCTTGCGGAGCAGACGGTGAACACGACCGACAGGGAAAGCGAGACCGGCCTTAGAAGAACGACTGCAAACAAGCGAGTCAGTTAAAGCGCCGAAGCCAGTATTGAATGTAGTCCACGCGCCAAAACAAATAATACACTAGTTCATAAGCATAGGAAAAGGGAGAGAGCTTACGATTGCGCGTTCTTAGAACCGCTGGCCTTGCCGCCGGACTTGCCGCCTCCAGTCATTGTGAATGTGGGTTTTGGGGTTTGGAAAGTTGAAAAAATCGGTTGGGTGAGAGACGCGTGAAAAGCGACTAGCTGGATGCTGGCTGTTGGTTGTGGATGGAAAAGTGAGATGAAGATGGAAGAGAGCAAAGATGGTGGGGAGTCAAGAAGTTAAGTAGTTTTCGCGTTGGAGGAGCTCAATCACGGATCACCAGCGCGCGACTTGACGCTAAGCCGAAACCAGAAATTCTATGTTGTGAGTGCATCATTTTTCTGGGGCCCACGGGAGGAGGTACGTACCCTTTCTCTCTTATCGTTCCCGCGTGGAGGAAGGAACCAGATGGGCCAGCCGCCATGCTGTTGCGCGCGCAAGCAAGCACGGGCACCACCTGCAAGCATAAGGCAGGGAAATAAAAACCCCGGGAGGCCCGCCGTTTCTTCCCACTCCAGAGCTGAGGGCCACACGTCCCTTCCTGCTACCTCTTTTGTTTTCTCTTCCCAGTTTTTATTCGATTAATCTGACTGGCCAGGAAAAGCAGGCACTCACTCCGCCGATGGTCCTTCTATATCTTATCTTTCCTCTTTCCCCTCCCATTTTCTTTTCCATGCCTTTTCGTCTCAATCCATTGCCCCAATTTCTTTAATTTCTCATGTACAAAGACTTCGATACAATGAGAACACAATCAGCCAAGCAGCTTCCTTAGGCATCGAGGCTGACGCGACATCCGTCTTCCTGATTCTTCAACTCGAACACATGCGTGTGTCGGATTCAGCTATTTTCATATATGTATGCATGTTCAGAACGTCGCAAGTCCATGTAGGATTCGGCTACCACGCGTATTGACCTGTACTCCGGCCCCCCTTGTCTTCTCAGGCTGACGCAAATCAACATATTGGTTGTTGTTTTGAGGATACTTGTGACCGATTTGGTGTGAGATGTGTAGGCTGGATGGGATACGAAGTCCACGCCAGCACTCTTGAAGGTCTGTCATTGACGCAGTTGGATACGTAAGATATCTCCCAGACATACGATGTTTAGAAGGAAACACGGATGACATATGGTCAGATGGGGTTTGCTAGGTCGTATGAAATCCATTTCAGATCTGCCGCAAATCGTTGGTCAGCCCAGACAGACTTCGAAGTATGCCATGTACGCTTGTACAAGGCGGCTTGACCGGACCCAGGCATCTGGGTCTCGCATGGCCCATCGCTTTACTCCATCCTATGCCGGGTCCGGAGAAATCAGATACATTCTGGGCCAAAATTGGAGAGAGCCTTATCCAGTGACCCCTGTACGACATTCGCGACGTGTGTTAAATGTGATCAGATCCAGCCTTGCCGCGGCAGCAATGGAGGGGCTGAGAGTCTGGCAAATCCACCGAATTGCCTTCTGCCGCGGTTGTTGTCTGTGAACGACGCGTCGCGTTCTAGATTTGGTACTTTGCGTATCCGTAGCTGGGTAGTCTATCCGTTGATGCTCCACGTTTGATGCCGTGGCTTGCCTTGGCCTTCATTTGCTGCTAGGGGTCGATCATAAAGACCGAGCCACCCTAGGATAGAGTCTAAAGTTGAGAGTCCAGACAGGCGACAGGTGAGTGGGCAGTGGTGTGGGTCCAGAATGACCCAGTCCAGCGGCAGTCAGTGTCGCGTTCACAGGACAAGCTTGGATCATGGACGCGTCAAGGGAGCGGACGAGGGGAGTCGGGCACGTCGCACATGCTAGGACTGCCCATCGCGACGCTGTGGGTGCGAATGTCAGTCTATTGCTCTATTCCAATACACTCGGAGAAACACACGGCGGGCTGTTGTTGCATATCCTGCAAGCAAATAAGAATGGATTGGGAGCCTGTCACTTGGAACTGGCAATAAGACAATGGAAGTGCGTGAGGTGACACGCTCTGCTTATCGCGTTATCAGCGCCCTGCCTGCAGATACGTACTTCATACGCTATCTCGTTCCCCTAAAAATTGCCTAATTGGGGAATGGGCATTGCATCCTTTTCTTGATCTCTCTCGCGACGGACCAGGGGAGGTGGAGGATTTGGGGGAACAAGCCTAGGAGGAAAATGGTGGTTGGTTGGAGACACAACGCTGTCATTGGCTCATGGCAGCCTGCCTCCCCTCTAGCCTGCTTGACACGCGAGACGCAAATAAAAAATAAAAAAAGGCGGCCAAACCTTCCCTGCACGTATTTCTTAGCGCAGACGCGTCTCTCTGTACCCTGGTACACAGACGGCAGCCGCTCTCGTGGTCTCCACTGCATGAGCCACAACCAACCAAAGCTGCTCTTTCCCAAATCCTCCCCCTTCTGCAAGGCAAGGTCACAACTGGCGCACCCCCCAGACCACTGCCTCACTGACCACCCACCCCTCCCCAAAATCACTCTGTCCTCGCATCAAATCAGTAACGCCGCTAGAGCCCGTCGCGTCCAGCTACAAAAACCCAACCCACCCCCCCAAACTTCTTCTTCCAACAACAACTCTTCCACTTCTCATCATCCCGCTTCACCCACGATTGCCAGCCGCATCTCATTCCAACCCAACTCAACCAAATTTCCACTTCTCCCATTTCCAAACAAACCCGCCAAAATGCCCCCCAAGGCCGCCGACAAGAAGCCCGCCTCCAAGGCCCCCGCCACTGCCTCCAAGGCTCCCGAGAAGAAGGATGCCGGCAAGAAGACTGCCGCCTCTGGCGACAAGAAGAAGCGCACCAAGTCCCGCAAGGAGACCTACTCTTCCTACATATACAAGGGTAAGTTTTCCTGGCACACGTTTCTTGGCGAAGCGCGTCGCGTCGCAATGCCCTCTGGCACAACGCGCTTTCAGCCATTAACCGCGTGGCACACCCATTTGCTAACTTGAATGCACCACAGTCCTGAAGCAGGTTCACCCCGACACTGGTATCTCCAACCGTGCCATGTCTATCCTCAACTCGTTCGTCAACGGTAAGTCGTATCTGACATATCCCGTCCTAAACACGCGTCTTTTCTAACGCAATACATAGATATCTTCGAGCGCGTCGCCTCTGAGGCTTCCAAGCTTGCTGCCTACAACAAGAAGTCCACCATCTCCTCCCGTGAGATCCAGACCTCGTACGTACAAGTCACATCGCCAGCCAAAGTACATCGAACTAATTTGTTTCCCGCAGTGTCCGTCTCATCCTGCCCGGTGAGCTGGCCAAGCACGCTGTCTCGGAAGGCACCAAGGCCGTCACCAAGTACTCTTCTTCCACGAAATAAGGGATGCTTGTGCTGCTTTTCTTTTCGGGCATTGGATTTTACTTGGCATTTGGGTGTCATGAGACCTGCCAAGGTTACCAATATCCTTGGAGTCTCTTAATGCGTTACGGATGGTTTGCTTTTTTGGGGGCAATGTCTTCACGGTCAAACGGGGTTCGCGGGCTGTACAATACACCTTGAGAATAGGGTTTTCGGACGAATGAATTCGTGCACATGAACACAAACATGCTGGATCCTTTTCTCGCGCCACATGCGAGAACTGCTTTGTCTTTCTGTCGCGCTATTTATCTAACATAGACCCGAGTCCACTGCCAGCATCTACACGCGCCGACAGCACCGACATCTCGATACTGTTATCCGAGGCCAGCCTTGCTACGCTTGACGACGTGCGCAACAGGCTGCAAAATGCCCTTGTTGTTGAGCGCGCCGAGAGCAGTACCGCTGCTCCAGCCCATCTTTTCGAGCATCGCACGACCCTTGTTTTCTTGGCCCAGTTCCGGCGCAGACCCTCCGACCACCTCGCCATCTCGATAAAGGACACCCGCATGCCCGCCTCCGCCACGACGCGCCGATTGCCGCTGCACAGCAGCTCGTACCGCTGTGTCGTTGCGGGGAAAGTACTTGCGCCCAACCCTGGCAATGGCCATATCGAATGTCTCATCGGCGAATTTGGCGGTTCTGAAAGTGCGGTGAAGCATCGGTCGCCGTTGGTCACCCGATCCTGTTGATTTGGATTTTATGTTGAATTTACTGGCGAGCTCATGTATAACTTTTCGGGCATGGTTGTCCATGGGTGGCAACGTCAGACTGAGAAGGGCGTCAGATAACGAACCCAAAGTTGGGCAAATAATGGGAACAACTCACCTAGGTTGTGTGCCCAAGAGAAACGCCCTCAACTCGTCGGCAATGTGTTCCAGTCCCATACCATGTGGATATTTGATTCGCAAGTCCTCGGGGTTGGCGTGTTTACCCAACAGACCTTGAGTGCGTAAAGCCTGTCGCTCCTTCTTCCTCTCCGCTTTCTTCAAGCGGTCGTTCTTCCACGCCGCCTGCATCTTGCCCTCAAGCTCGGAATCCGATATGTCAAACACGGGGACCTTACCTTTAGCCCCCTTGCCCTTTCGCTTCAGCGCTGGACGGTTCCACTCCATAAAGTCGAAGTCGTCAACCTCGTTTGCGAACCGGTCTGCTGCTGAAGCAAACAAGTCATCCGCTATATCCTCCTGGTCGCTTGTCTCCGATGGCGGGGATGGGTCTTCAGCATGAGATTGCTCGAGGGAGCCCAGGTATGAGGCGTCCGTCTCCAGAACTGCCAAAAGCGCATCGTCGATTCGTGTTGTCCTGCCCTGGTTAAAGTGCTTACGGGCCTTCTGGGGCGGATCTGCATCGCTCGCCTGGGTCATATCTGCTTCAGCCGCCGTCTCGTTCAGTACTTTGTCGTCAGCCGATATGAGTCTGGCTTCATCGAGAGCGGTGATTGTCCGGAACGACTCCTCAACGCTTTCGGACTCGCTAAGGGAACCCCCAATATCTCGACGGGAATAGGCTTGCGCAGGCATTAAACCTTCGTCATCGCCATATTCACGCATATTGGCGATATAGTCAGCAATCAAGTCGTCCTCCTCCTGGCGTTTCTGTATCTTCATGTCTTGATGAGACCTCCGCGGCAAGTTGATCCGGCCTTTCCCTGACCCCCCAGCATTGTCCTTCTCCCTAGGTTTGACCGTCTTCTCTACTACTTTGATTTCTGTTTGAATTCCGCCGAGGTTGAACGGCCTTTGCTTCGTCTTCTGCTTCTGTTTCTGTTTCTTTTTCTGTGTCTGTTTATCTCCAGCGGCCTTGTTGCGGCCTCTGAAGAGAATAACCTCCTCGCTCGAATCAGACGGAATAGGTGAAGGTGAACGTTCGACGGGTTGAATCGGGACCTTCTCAAGCAGGTGCTTGTCTCCTGTGATGTCAAGGAAGAATGGTAGCGATTCAACCATCTCTGTATCTAGTTGATTATCGAGGCTGGTGTTATTGTCTTTGTCGGCTGTAACGGTTGTTGCATCCATGGGCTGGTCTTGATCAGGAGATCCTGCCGAGTCACCGGCAAGAGTGGCTAGCGTCTCATCGGGTATGCATGCTTCATTGGACGTAGAAGCAGACTCGTCAGGCTCGTCGAGTAGTGCGTCATCGTCGTTCTGGACCTCATGAGGCGTAGAAATTGGCTCATGAGGCTCTTCATGTTGGCCGGCATGCTTCTCCTGCTGCAAAATATCTTCTAGTTGTTTGAGCGGTTCTGACGCCCCAATGTTCACGAAGGTAACGGGCCGATGTCGTAGCCTCGAATCACTGGTCCACGGTGACGACCGATGGGCGGTGCTGCGGGCCTCATCTTGTAAAGTGAAACCTGCATAGATATGCGTTAGTCAGGCCCACGTTGACAAGAAGCTAACTCATGGTTTGATTGATGCTAACATACCAGCAGGACCTATACCGAGTACAGGATTGGGGGCAGATTGGTCGATACCGTGGCTTGATCGTAGGCGAGCGACATTACGTGGTGGCGCTCGCGCACCACCGCTTCGTTTCCCACCGCGCGGCATGCCCTATCCGCACGATGAAAAGAAACGGCTGCCGCTGTATCGTAAGCTGATATCTAATACGAGTTTCCGATATTGAATGCACTTGGCTTGGTGTAGACTCGAGTTGAGGGTTGAATCTCTGGCTACCTTTCTCATGAAGGGTAGCCGTTTAAGATGGGTCTGGGATGTAGGTCGATCAAAAAAATTCCCCTTGAGCTGGGAAGGAATCTACCCATTGCAAAGTTGGTTGTAGAAGGTAGCAATGTTACCTAATGCGCTGGTTGACTGCTGGATTTGGCCACCGCCCACATCAATGCGGGGCCCTTCCTCCAGATCTCTTATCGATAGGACATGTCGATGACCAGCACCTATGGACAAGTGGTGCTAAGTACATGGCACTTGGGCACGGACACTGTTGTTGCCGATCAAAAGAGGATCTCCGTATCTAGTAGCTCCTAACAGTGTTGGCTGCTATTTTCAGTAGGAACGTGTTAGGAGATGCTCCCAACTGTAAGTCTCGGGCCATGTTGCTTTTCTAGTTTGAGGTAAGGAAGCTCAAGTACCGCACAGTGACATGTTCATGGTAGTAGCACCACAAGCCCCCGCCATACCTGGCCGGTGTGTCACAGGGCCAGTTTGCGGGCTGGGCTGTTATCGGCTATCTGAGGAACACCTGAGTGAGTGTAGGCCGCTATTCCCCGTTTCCTCTCGACCTTGCAACCCTTTCTTACCTGGCTACCCATCTCATCTTTGCAGCGCCTAATCAGCTTACAGTACCACTTTACCTAGTTAAGGGAGCTTGCAGATCTCCCTGGCACCTATCCCGAGCCTTCCCCACCAAAGTATCTTGATCCGCTGCCCCCCATCGTTTCCGTTGTTCTCTTCTTGCAGCTGATCAGCTTTCACATAATCGACCGCCTACCAGCCTGTCCGTCTGCCTCTTACCACGCGCTCACGATCCGACTCAATTCTGATACCTTATACCTGTCTCTCGATTTTACACATCACGCGCTTACGCTGCCCTAGGTGTACTCTTCCATCTGTTTCCGAATCGCAAAAGAGCAATACCTCCAAGCTTCAAAAGAGGCACTGCTGGTTCTATCTTGCTTTGCCTACGCCTCCGGGAGTGAGTGATTCAAGTAGTTTGAATTATCCTTTTGCGGGGCCTCATAACTTGGCTTCGCAGTCAAAAGAAATCCGCCATGGCTGCGGTAGACCTTGGTCGATATCGTCGCATCGTCCAGATGTTCTGGGATCCCGAACCCACCAACGACCACCAGAATGACCTTCCGGTCTGGTGCCTGGGACGCTCCTACACGCTGGGCACCAAGACCGGGAAAGACAGCCGAGGCGACCGAAGCCAGACTCCACCCCCGACCGATACCACAGAAGCAAGAACGGGACCAACTGTTACCCAAGCCTCAGCCTCAGCATCAGCGCCAGCACCACCTCATGCTAAAGAGCCCGATACTCCGCCAGAGTCAGTATCCAGTAGCTTCTCGTCCTCACTTGCCTATGATGAGGACTATTCCGGCCAGGATGGAGGATGGCCATCTGCCTTCCTTGACGACTTCGAATCTAAGTTCTGGATGACGTATCGTTCGGAATTCCAAGTCATTGCAAAATCCACAGACCCTCGAGCTTCATCAGCCCTGTCTTTATCGATGCGCATCAAAAGTCAGCTGGTGGACCAGAATGGGTTCTCGTCCGACAGCGGTTGGGGGTGCATGATACGATCTGGCCAGAGCCTTTTAGCAAATGCGATGGCAGTCATCAATCTAGGGCGTGGTATGTTCCGTTGACGTGTGTCGTGACGGTGGGCTCTCGAAGCTTCCTGCTAACACTGCGACAGACTGGCGAAGGGGCCAAAACCCGGAGGAAGAGCGCAAGCTTCTTTCTTTGTTTGCGGACGACCCGAGGGCGCCGTATTCCATCCATCAGTTTGTTCGACATGGCGCAGTTGCATGCGGGAAATATCCTGGAGAGTGGTTCGGCCCTTCTGCTACCGCTCGATGCATTCAGTGAGTTGAATTACTCTTAGCCTTGGAGGCAGCTGCTAATGTATTCCAGGGCTCTGGCCAACGCTCAGGCGCAGCAGCCTTTGCGAGTGTATTCTACTGGGGACGGACCGGATGTTTATGAAGACAAGTTCATGAAAATTGCCAAGCCCGACGGCTCACAGTTCCACCCAACCCTTATTTTGGTTGGTACTAGGCTAGGAATCGACAAGATCACCCCAGTGTACTGGGAAGCTTTGATAGCTGCCCTTCAAATGCCACAGTCTGTGGGTATCGCAGGGTAGGCATCACCCTCGAGACAAGAGGCTTCATACTAATCTTTTCTGCAGTGGCCGTCCTTCGTCTTCCCATTACTTCATCGGCGCACAGGGTTCTCATTTGTTCTATCTCGATCCGCACCACACCAGACCCGCACTCCCCTTCCACACAGACCCTTCTTGTTACAGTGAAGCGGATGTCAATACGGTGCATACTCGACGCTTGCGCCGGCTTCACGTGAGAGAACTGGACCCCAGCATGCTCATTGGCTTTTTGATCCGGGACGAAGACGACTGGGACGAATGGAGGCGGAATGTCAAGCATGTACAGGGCAAAGCAGTGATCCATGTTGCCGAGCATGACCCCGTTTCGAGGGGAGGCGAGGGCGAAAGAGAGAGTGCTATAGACGAAGTGGAGACACTCAGCGATGACGATGGCGATACTATCCTGAACGCTTGAGATTGACCGCTGCGTTTAATCAAGCTACCGATGGGTGTTGCGGATCGGGTTGTTTGGGCGTTGGTAACTGCATCAAGATATATCAGCTGACACGTGGTTTTCTTCCCCCTATGGCTGTTTGGCAAGGCATGGGCTGCATTCTAGGCCTGCAACTTGCACCATATAGGCGTACAGGATGTTCAGATCAGAGGATAAGGATATGTGACAACGGACTGTGTGCATTTGGGAATTCTGGCTTTGGGTTATATGACTTGGTCCTCCGGTTTCTGAGTAGCCGTCACAGATAGGGTCGATGGCACTGTTTAACAATGGATGATAATCTAGCGCTTCTTCTTCTTACTACCTCCCGTAGGTTTGGCTATAGGTGCGGCATGATCGAGGTCCCGTATGTGTGTAAACAACTTCGTCTTAGAGGTGAAAGATTCCTTGCAAATACCACACATATGCTGGTGGTGTTAGCGACAAAGTTATTTCATGAAGGGTTTGTTGTGTAGACTCACATTGCTAGCCTGAGCCTCTTCAGCCGCCTGACGAGCCGCTCGCTTTTCACGTTTCGCCTTAGCTTTACCAACCTTTCTAGGCTGGGCTCGAACATAGTCGTCGGCCTCGTCGTCATCGCCTAGTGACAGGTCTTCAAGGCTGGTCAACCCCTTTCCGTAATCGGTTTTCGATGCGCCGTCTCGGCTTGTTTCGGCATGAGGAGTGTTGTCGTCGAAGAGTCTCTTCTCGACGTCGTCACGCGAGGCATATTCGTCATCTACCAGAAGGTCGGATGAGGTGTCGGACAGTTCCGTTTCTTGGGTGTGGATCGTTGAATCGACCGGTTCCTCATCGTTCGCCTTCGCAGCCTCAGAGTGTTGCTGCTCGTCAGTAACCTCCTGTGTGTCCTCCACCAAAGTAACCTTATCAGGCATAGCAGACGTCTCATGAAGGCTCAGGTCCAGGTCTTCGTTCCTCATCTGGCGCCTCAGCTGCTGCACAGCCTTGACATGTTTCTTGCTTCTTTCGTGCGCCTCGAACGACTTCTCGCTTTTGAACGTTTTGTTGCACACGACACACTCAATCTCTTCCACCTCTGATTCCTCTTCTTCGCTTTCAGAGAAATGACCACCCGCGTCCGCTTCGTCCCGCGCCTGGGCCCAATCGGGCACAAATGCTTCGGAAAGCTTTTCCTTGTTTGCGGCACGGGATCGGGCAGCTTGTGCGGCAGCCGCGGTGCGCAGAGACTCCTGGCGTTCCGCGGCCGTTTGTGTGTTTGGGAGGTAACGGGGGTCGCGCTTGCGTACAAAGGTGACAAGAAACCTGACAGCATCGTTGAACTCCCGAATGGCTTCGTCGCGCATCTTTTTGTTCTCTTTCTCCATCAGGCGCCGGACACGCCGGTCTGGAGCATCCGAGAGTCGATATTTGTCCTTCCAAGCAAACGTTTTGCGGGTGGAGAAGCTCGCCCAGGCGCCGTAGAATGGCTTGGCGACGGCTTCATAACTATCGGTGGAAAAGCCAAACGAAGGGTAATCTGGAATGTCTCCTGGTGCGTACTCGCCGGCGGCAATCTCTTCGTCGGCAAGATGGTCGAAGGTCGCCTTGGCTATACCAAAGAAGCCGGAGGGCTCGTCCGTGAAGGGAACGGTGGAGTTGAACCGGCGAATTAGGGAGAATATGTCGTCGGTAGACGTGAGCTTCACATTGTTGAACTCAGGGCTACGGGCGTCCGAGTCGTCGGGTTCGGCACCACGTAGGATGGCGTCGCGATGAGAGTCATACCAAGCTCTCTCCTGAGGGTCGGAAAGTACTTCATATGCGGCCTGGATCTCGGCGAAGCGACGGGTCGCATTCTGGACATCGTTGAGGTTTCGGTCGGGGTGAAGCTCGAGAGCGCGTTTCCTGTAAGATTTCTTGATTCTGTAGACGCGGAAAGAAGTCAGAAGATAGGGATAGGTCAGTGGCGGCTGGAAGAAGGACACATACTCGTCATCGGAGGCATCGCGCTCGACGCCAAGAAGCTCGTAGTAACATGTTTTGACGGGTTGGAAGGAGCCCTCGGTCTGGTCCCGGCCAGAGGATTGCTGAGCACCCATGGCAAGTCAGGGACATTACAATGCTGGAAGATAAGTTTCAAATGATTGCTCTCGCTGCAGATGTTGTGGTTGGCGCACAGAAGGCGAAAATAAGGGCGGCTGTGACGACTAGCCACGCAAGGACAGGTACCAGTAGGAAGCCTTGGAAAAAGAAGTACTGGGCCAGGCCGGTGACTCAAAAAGTTATATCAAATGGGGTTGATATCTCTGCAGGCAAAACAATGATGAACCACAAAAACCGAGATCGAAGATGGCGGCCAGGCCCATCTCTCCGGCTTTGTTTGTTCAATTTCAAACACCATAAATTTTCATACTCACTTTCTCATTTTATTCTGATGTTCCTCCATTTGACAGAAGTCGCAGTGCGGCAGGACCGATTTCTCGACCCCGCGACCCCTCATCCCCCTCCTTTTTAGCTTGATAAGATAAGTGAACCATACATAGTACTTTCACATCTGTGGATGACAAGACCCGTTCGTTAAAAGCTAGCTAACTGCATACCCTTTGGACAGAGTAATTACACACAATGCGGTGTCAGTAACGTACATCTGTGCGTGCCTCGCTCAAGTACTTACTCAACAGAAAGTGATGTACCCTGCACTTCCGACTCGAAGCCACAAATCGTTACGGTTAGGGCAACTACAGTGCCTTATCGCAAACAGCCTCGGCCTGGCCAACTAACAGAAAAGAGATGCATTTGCAAGTTCCGGCGACGGTGCAGCCACCGGGTCAACGCAGTCGGCGAAACATTACCTGAGGTATTGGATGCTCCCACCAAATTGAACCTGATTGAACCTTGTGCCTGGTGATGAACGAACCAAGATTTCGGGTCCACCTGACGGACCAACGTGCCAAGCCAAAGGTTGGTGACTGGATCGCGCTACAGGACTAGGTATGTGTGTCCGTTCAGACCGGCTGCAATTGTGCATACGTCGGAATGACAGAGCCAGCGGGGTCTTCTGCTACGCTGTCCGGGTACGTCCTGGTAGGGCGATACCAGGTAGTTCCTATTCTAGGCTCAAAATCCAAGTATCGACAATAGGTACTCTGGAGACGCAGGCCACGTTTTGCATATGCAGGTTCTGCGGCGTCCCTGGACAGGGTCGACTCTTAACAGGGCAGTTGCCCCTGTGACTCTTATGCAGCTCGAGCAGTCCCCGACAGCAGGTTGAATTGATAAAGAGGGTAGCTCACACTTAGGCGTGAAATGATTTCACGGCCGGCTCGACTGAAGCGCTTTACGCTCAAAAAATACGCAGCAATGGCGCAAGACGGGGTTTAGGACAAAACATGCCTTCGTGCTGGGATTCAACCCCCCCCCCCCCCCCCCCCCGGAGTGGCCGCCCTAGCCGTCCCCTCCAGCCTCTCCGCCACTACGCAGAGTGCCTGTGTCTGCTTCCCGAAGCACTGAATGTATGAATACCGTCGCCATCGTGTCATTTCCCCCCATCAACACAGCTAAATGCAGACAAGGGAGCTCCCTCGAGAGCGAAGACGATGTGCCTGGTAAAGGACAAGGAAGCCAAATGTGCGTGTTGCACTTCCGTCTAGTGGTGTGTCTGTGTCGAAGTACTTGATTGATTAATTAGTGTCTGGTGTGGTGTCTGGAGTGGTGCATCCATGCCAACTGACCTTCGTCCCCCACTCCCTCCTTGTCCCTTGTCCTCGACACGACAAGGCCAGCCCGGCCCAGAGTCTAGGCCGGGCCAGTGAAAGGAAACAAAAATTCGGTTACGTACTTCCACTGTAAAGTAGTCACCGCATCTGCATTTTGCTAAGTACTAACCTTAAGCCAAGTTGAAATTTTATATAGTGCAACCGGGCCGCTTACCCTTCTTTGCCGGTACCACTTCGTCGTTCTCCCTCTCTACAAGTTCAAAAAATTCTTTCGTGGCCCATCATCCTTATTGTTCTATCTTGCCTATCCTTATTAAAAAATAGAAAAAAAACATGTGTTTACTATGATAGACGTCGCCAAGACACTCTCACTCTCACTCTCATCCAAATATTGTTACACCACTGATCTAATGAGCCATGAAGTTCGCCCATGATTTCAAAGAAACGCTCAGGCGTGAAGGTAAGTACCTTTTCCTCCCACCCCTCTTGCTGTCTTTTATTTGTCCCGTCCCTTCTGAAAACCCGTCCACGTTCGATCGGCGCCGACTTTACTCATCTTTTTGTCATCTCATCTTATCTTCATCCCATGCTTGCTCGTCATCGCGGTCCATCCAAGGTGATACGAGGGACTTCACGAACATGATGAGGTGATATGGTATCCGTTCTAATATCTACTAACACTTCCACCTCAGACTTTCCACCACACTGGATCGACCTCGCCATTCCTTACGGCCAGTTGAAGAAAGTTCTCAAACGCGTTGCCCGTGAATTGAACGATCTGGGGCTTGATCCTGAGACTTTGCGCCAGCTTCTCGACCCGGCCGATGATTCGCCACTGGCCGCCAAATACCGCCTCAATGGTAAAGTTTAAACTCTCCATATTCAACGATGTTCCAGTGGTTGTCACTTTCATCATGAACATTCGACTGACCTCAACGCTTTGACGCAACCTAGCTGCCGGCAATTCCAAGTTGCTGAGGCCAAAGTTGACCGTTTTGGTCCACATGCGCGATGGAAACGCCGTTGATGCCTCGTTGACGCCAGCGTCTCGCGTTCTCATCGAACGCATCGCCGCTTTGCAGTCTCACGACCCTGGCCAATCCAATCCCGCCGCTTCCACGCCTATGGAGGAGTCCGCATCGACCCTGTCGCCCATCTCCTCTGCTGAGTCTCTTGCCAATGCCGAGATCGAGCTATTGGATACCCAGAGCGGCGAACAAGATCACGGCCGAGCGGCCGCAGCAGAGCATTACGAGCGCATCGAGGTTCCGCTCGTCTTTGACAGCGAGTTTTTTGATATCCTGCAAAGCGATGTCAATAACCTGGATGCCCTCCAAGCTAAAGAAGAAAAGGCCATGGTGACCGAGATCGTCGCCCTGCGCCAAGAGGTTTCCCATCTTACGAAACCTAGCCGCCTCTCCAAGAGCGACCTCGCGAGATGGAGAGCTATTTTCGAGTTGTACCTTGATGCCCAGGTCTTCTTTTCTACCAACGAGCAGGATCACGGATCACGTAGCAGCCAAACGGCCGCCAAACAGCTTCAGTGGTTTCAGGAAGAGATCACTAAACGCAACCTGGTCAAGTCCTTCAAGATCGCCGAGAGTCACGAAGCCCTCGTTCGCTTCCTTCGCCTGAATGCTGTTCTTCTGAAAAACCTGCAATTTCAGGAGATTAACCAGGTTGCTATTTACAAGATTTTGAAGAGTGAGTCTTGCTTTCCTCATCATCTCCTTGACAAGATGGCCGTGGCTGTGTTGCAGAGCTGACAGTTTCTCAGAGTTTGATAAGAGAACATGTCTCGGGGTCTCGCAATCCTTCCCGGTACAGGTGCACTCAGATAGGTTGCTGGCCGGCTCCGTGGCCAAGGACATTTGCGCCCAGATGTCTACCGACCTAGTTTCCGTCGTGCCTCAGATTAGCGACTATTTGTGCCCCATTTGCTTTGCCATCGCATACCGTCCTGTTCGGTTGGCTTGCCAGCATGTCTTCTGCATCCGATGTATCGTCAAGATTCAACGTCGAAACGAGAAACATTGCCCCTTGTGCAGGGCTGACACCGTGATGAGAGCCTCCGCTGGTGAGTAAAATCGAAATTTTTCTTTCGGGGCACATTTGCACTACTCAAAGAAGATGAATTCGCTGACGTTTGATTTTACAGATAATTTGGATATCCAACTCGAGAGATACATGCGCAAGTACTTCCCGAAAGAATCTAAGGAGAAGCAACGGGCCAATGAGATTGAACGAGGTATTGAGGACTACGGTCCTGAGTACGTGCATTCCGAGTGCTCCGTCATGTAGCCGGGGCTCGTTGTAGAATGGATAGCTGTTTTGTTTTGTTTTGGCCTTGTCCATAGATTTTCCAGAGATACCCTTGACAGTTGCAACACGAGCATATGGCGACAGTCCAGACAGAATTGCCATAGCTCTGCCATTATTGCTGAAAAGAGCCCCTTCGCTAATTTTCAATCACTATTGTCCACCTAAGCGCATTGTATGTATGTCCAAGCGTTCGGAGCCGTCGCCGTCGGCATCCTACATCTGACGGTTAAACATCCGTCTCTTTCTCGGCGGCTTCCAAGGCACGATTGAAGACTTTCCGCAACTCGTCCGTCTCCTCGAGACCAACACTCACACGGATGAGGTCTGGGTCAACGCCCAGACCGGCAGCCCAGTCGAGCTCTTGGTAGTGAGCAAGGAGGACGTAAGGCGACGTCAAGGTGAAATTGGTGCCCAGACTCGGGCCCTTGGCCGTCTCGATGGTATCAAAAAAGGCAATGGCGTATGCCTTCTTGTGGAACGTGACAGAGAGAAGGCCTCCATAACCACCTCCGGGCAATTTACAAAGTTCGTAATTGGGTCTCGTCGGGTTTACCTTGGGGTAGAAAACGCGCTTGACCAACGGATGTGCTGAGAGAATGTCGCAGATTGTCTCCGAATTCGTGTTGATGCGCTCGATGCGCGACGCAAAGTCACGGCTGTTGCGCTCCATGAAAACGACATCCTCGGGCCAGTATGTGTCTTCCAGTTCCTCGGCCCACGCACTCTTGAGCGCCTGATAAAACTTACCGCCAGGGTTGAGGATGGCACTGCCGCCCATGACGTTGCAGTCTCCGGAGAAGATCTTGGTCAAGCTGCTGACAACGATGTCGGCATACTGCAGCACGTCGATGTTGATGAAACTGCCAATCGTCTCGTCGACGATGACGCCAAACCCGTACCTGTCCGCCAAGCTACGAATGCGCGCCAAGTTCGGGCACGTCAAGAGAGGGTTCCCAGGAAACTCGCAGAAGAGCGCCAGGAAGCGCTCGCCGGACTCCAGACGCTTTGCAAGGTCATCGAGGTCCTCCTCCGAGGCGTGGCCGTAAAACAAACAACCAGGACCAAACTTTTGCAGGATCTTGAGCGTATCGACATAAGGGAAGCCAAAGCTGACTGACTTCATGTCACCCCTGGCGCGCAGCATGGCTCGGTGCGCGTTGTAGATGGCATTCATACCGCAGGGGAATAGGTAAACGTCGCTTTCTTGCAGGTCCTTCTGGTTCCTTGAGTTGTCGCCCATGGGGGGCAGCGAGCTAATGCTCGCTTCCATATCGGCGGCCATGGCACCCGCGATTCTTCGTTTAATGGCTGATTTGGCACGCTCGACGAGGGAGAGGTCCAAGTTGCGACCGAAACGTTCCTCGAGGAAGCGCAGACTCTCCTGGGTCTCGAATGCACTCTGGGGGTTCGTCTTGGCGGCCGGGTGGTGGATGGCCGCCTTGGTGTCATCAATGGACGACGGGCGATGATATCTCTTGGGACCCCTGCAAGCCTTTCCCACGGGGGACTTGGGCTGCTCAACGGGGGTGAGGAGGCCCTCCTTTAGCAGACCATGGCAGAACTCGGCACGTCGACTCGACACTCCGTCTCCAGTGTGCTGCCAGTATTGCTTGGCAACCGGGAAAACCTCAGGGGAATACACGACGGCGGAAACGGTTGGCGCCAGCGAGCGCAGTAGTGGCGAGACGTCTCTAGTTGTGTTCAGTTCAAAATCAAGTACACAAACGTCAGCCGTAACGGATGCATCTGCGTGCTTCTTCACAAAGGCCAGACACCGTCTCGCAGAGCGAGGGGTAGGGAAGAGCATGGCCTTCTGACCAGGACGAGCATATTGGGACACCAGGTCCTCAGCCAGGGCAAGAATGCTTCTGTGAATGAAGAACCTGCATACAATATGAGTTGAGCATTATACCGGCGACAACTGGACATGTTTTTGCCACCCCCAAATCCCGAGGGACAACTCACCTTGGGTATCCGGTCGTCATCTTGTTGACAACCCATGACTCGCCCTCTTCGTAGCCAACGTTGGCCTTCCATGTCGGAAGGTGAACGCTCACTGCCTATTGTGGCTGTTAGTTACAGCGTCACAAAGGCAAGGACGGAGTTAATAGTATGAGAAAGTCGGTTGCATACATGGGCAGTGTCTGGCGGGATGGACTGTCCTAACTCCAAAGCGGGCATTCTTGCAATGTTTTTGTCTTTGTCTACCTAGATAGAATGGGTTGTTAGATCGCGATGGTACGCGGTTAATGGTTCAATCCGTGGGTTGTGTCGAGCAGCAACTAAGGGATGAGCGTGTGGTTTTGATCTTCACGGGTTTGGGGTTACCCACAGACAATGACTAGTCAATGTGATGACGAGAGATGAGTCAAATGCTTCGTGTAAACTGGATCTAGCCACGAAACCACAGACAACGGTGGATGAGCTTCCACTGGTAGAACTAACGATGAAAAGGGGTTACGTTCCAATCGAGTATGGGGCTAGGGGGCAGGCAGAGATCAGTACTGCAAAGCGTAAAAAGTGCGTAACCAACACCATGAAAACTTCTGTCAATTGCGAATTGCGGCCGCTCACCAGTGTGCCGGCACTTGACTCAAGGTTGGCGAATAGAAGACGGTAGAAACCTGCGAAATGGCAACTTTGGTGGAGCAGCCCAACTAAGCAAAGGGCACTAGCAATTACGGCGTTGCGAGCCCGACTTGGTTGCCAGTGCTGGTCTTAGTGCGGGGGACGCCGAGGATCGGAGGCGGTCGGACGCAACTTTGGGAAGTGGCCGACCCCGGGGCACTAGTACCTTACTTGATTACCTCCTCACGCACATGCCAGAAGTACCTCATCTCACTAACTTTTCTCACTCTACCCTTGACTGGCTCTTTCGCTTAAGGCGTTGGTAATGCCGAGTTACGGTGACTCAACTCCCGCTTTCTGATACGTAGCATCCGCAACCGCATTTAGCGACGATTCAACCAAATAAGCAAAACAATCAACCCAGTCTGTTTCTCTTACCCTTTTCCAAAGACAAACACTACCCACCCACCCCCTTCCCACTTCCTCAAATCGTCATGGGAAGCCCTCTGATCTGGTGAATACAATGGAAGCATCACAGTAGGCAATGTGCCTCGTATGTTGAGTAATCCCTTAATCGGCAAAGTAGAGATGACTGTTTGCTCGATCAATCTCAAAGATGTAATCAGGTGGACTTTGGGAGGATCATGTGATGATGTACAAAACAACTTCTTATGAAGAGCGTTTTATATCTAGCTCGGCAAAAGACCGGCCTGAATTTAAAGTCACCCTTTCCGATGCCCAAATCTCGACCTCTCCATGCCATTCATGACCGTTATTTCCATCTTGATAAACATGCCACATAGTTAACGCACCAAATACCGTAATCCAGACCCCGTGCTACCTAGCTGGGAACCTGAAAGCATAAAGTAAGCTTGCAGTGATAGAAACATTGGTTCTCGCCTGTGAGAAACCAGTCATCCGTTGATCGTCTGTATCCGTCGATAGTCGAGCTTTCGCAAGTGTGCACAAGAACTGCACGAGTGCTCCGTAATGCTGGCGCTCATTATTGTAAGGGAACCCATGCCATAAAACAAGACTAAACCCACCACCAATCCCGGGCCACCTAATGATACTGATGTCTGCTCGTCTTACTGCCAATGCAGCTGATGCTGTCGCTCGGTGCCACGCTGACGGCGTCATCTTCCCAAGCAGCATGACTGCTGCCAATCCCACTTCTCGGCGGAGGAAGGTTGCGCGCAGACACATACGTTGGGGCTCGCGTGGCAGGCGGGTATGCGAAGACGGGCTGCGAGGTTCGAACCGCCGTCGGAGCTCTACTGGGGCCTCTGGTAGGAGCCCTGCTGGGTGCCTTAGTGGGCGCTTTACTGGGCACAATAGTAGGTGCTTGGGTAGGAGCCCTGCTTGGGGCTCGACTAGGGGCCACCGTTGTGGGAGCCTTGCTCCGGACAACAGTTGGAGGCCTACTTGGCGCCTTCGTTGGTGCCCGGCTTGGGGCCATACTCGGTGCTTGGGTTGGCGCACGACTCGGTGCCCTGCTCCCGCCGCCTAGTATCGTCTCGACGGTTGGAGGGGGCGGACGAATGGTCGATTGCGACCTTTCGCTCCTGGCTGAGATATAGGTCCCAGTATCGTCGATGGTGGAGCGCGGCACGGCTGACCTGTTGGCCACACTGTGTCTTGAGCCTGCGTTGCTCTGGTGCTCGTAGTCTGTAAGCATGAGGGGGCGGTCCTAGGGACGGCGGCCTGGCTACGCGAACGAATGCTGCTGCCCCTCTCAAGCTGGTAGCGTGAGGAGTGACGGCTGCGGGTGTCATCGTATATATCGTCGACCGCACGGCTGCGGGAGCCGACCTGGCTGTACTTGGCCATGTATTGAGGCGGTGCACGATTATCGGGGAGCGTTGGGTAGGCTTCCGGGTACCGAATCTTTTCGACAGTTCGCTCGACCTCAACATAGCGTCCGGATCCTACCTGCGGCTCCGCGTACTGATCGGGGAAGGTGGCTCGGCGCTGGAACTGCGGAGCGGAGCCTTCAAACTCCTGGACCGGAGCCCGTGCACGCTCCTTTCGCATCATCCCGTATGTGATGGCGGCGCCGGCGGCGGCACCGACAGCTGCACCTAGGAGACTTCCGACAATGGTGCTGGTAGCGGTCCCGTTCGTAGCTGAGGTCGGAGCTGTGGCGGATTCCTCTCTTCGGGAGGGCGATTCGATGACCGACGTTGTGACGCTGCGACGGAGGATTGTGTACGGCTCGTTGCCGGGGAATTGACCGGAGCGTGCGGTCATGGCCAAGGCAGAAGCCGAGGGACCACTAGCAGCGGAACTCGACATGGAGGGCGAAGGCTCAGAGGCAGCAACGTCGTAGTTCCAGTCAAGAATGCGACTGACCTCCTTGGTAGTGGACTGTGTTTTTCGAACAGTCGAACCAGCGTAGGAAGGAGGGTAGTTGGGAGGGGGTTGATATACAACTTCCATGATGTTACCGTCCAGGTCAGTCACAGTGGCCCTGTGGATATCGCCACTCTGGGTAACCACGGCGGGTCGAGCAAGCGAGAGCTGGCCAAGGGGCACAACAGACAGCAGGTTCGGATTGGCCCGAACAGCAAAGGAGTGGAAGTCGGTGACAGCGGTGGGGGATGGAGCAGAGAAGACAACGCGAGAAAGCTTCAGGGGCTCTCTGGAATTGCGGGTCTCTCGGATCTGAAGGACCGGGGTAGGCGGGGACGATGTACCGTAGGTGACGGTGGTAGGCAGTCTGCCAGGGTTAGAAGTGGTTGTCGTTTTGGAGTCGGTGTCGACGGTGTTGGCGTCGGCGTCAGGGGAAGCGGTCTGCGCGTCCGCGGATATATAGTGGATGCCGAGTGGTTGGAGGATGGCGGAGTAGAAGGAGGTTGACGAGGGCAGATGGGAAACGTCGATATAGGGAGCCATCTTTGAGAGGCTGACTGATTAATGAGCGCCAGGCCAGGCCAGGTCGGATCAGCGAAGCAAGCCGGGGGAGGGCAGGGCAAGCTAACAGCAAATAGATGTGTGTAGCAGCGGCCGTTTGGGCGCACAGTGAAGCGGCGGTAAGGTAGGTAGGTAGGTACCTTAGATGGGTAGGGCAGCGGATGGGATGGCTGTGTCCTAGAGTTGTCGTTACGCCACGCTGCAGCCCCAAGTTGGACGTGATAGAGTATCTGGGGACAGCCCGGCGAACCGAAGGGGAAAATGAAAGAGGCGCAGATTGACGCGTGCGAGGGAAAAGAGGGTGTGGCGTGGAAGGGGTTGGAGACTAGTGATTTCGGTTTCGAGGATGGAATAACAACTTGAGGCAGGCAACGATGCGGGATGTTGCAGTGCCTCTCGGTGCCTTGCGTCTTGCCTGACAGTTGAATGACTATGCAGAATGAATCTTAGGAAGAAGAGGCTAGTATTGAGATAGAGATGATTGGGCTGGGATGGACGTGTGCCGCCAAGGACTCGGTCGGTCTTTTAGGGCGGTGGTGATGGTTGCAGGAATAGTGATAGAATGAGACTGATGGCGATAGAGCGTTGGAACTTGAAGTCGACAGTGGTGGGTGGTGGTGGTGCTGCTGCTGTTAGTGGGTGGTGTGGACAAGGCGCGTTGTAAAGTAGCAACGGTAGTAAAAGATCAAAGCAGCCAGACAAGGTGGGACGGAATTATATGACAACGAGTCTCAACTTTTGACAGCTGTCGCTGTGGTTGTTTGCGGTTGAGCTTCAGTGGAAGAAGCATACAAAATGCAAGCGGAATGGCCTGCCAGGACGGTTCGTATGCATGTATTCACTTCTTGACATTAGGTACTCAACCATCTACACATAGCTGTCAAGGTACTTCGTTTTCAAGTCTTTGGAGCCCGGCCCCGCCGCCTTATCTTAACGTGTCAAGGGTACCAGAGTACCGTACGTGTGAACCATTGATCATTCCTCCGTACAGCACACCTCCATACGTATCACCTAGAGGCGCGCGTGTCCCGTCTTCTGTTCCTGTTCTGAAGCCCAATGTTCACCAGTCAGTTGCCCTGGACTAGGTTGTCGCAGTGCTGTCTAGTCTAGCCCCGTCTAGCTGATTCCAATATGCAGCCAGTTCTGTTCCGATCCAATCCAGCGGAGCTTTGCATGCCACCGCCGTGCAGGTAAGTGACTTACTGCAGCCAGTAACAACGTATTGTCTCCTCATCGCTGGTTCACTATTTGGGCGACGGCTTGGGAGGGGTCTAAGAAACACCTCACACTGGGGCACGCAGCCGGAGCGCAGCATAGCGTATATGTGAAATTATGGAAGATGGATGAGGTGGTCTGAAGACTGGGCAGCCGAAATAGCACGCATGTAGTTCGCCTCATCATCCATGGTCACCAACAGGCTTCTTTATCTCATTCTGCAGAGTTGACTGGACAACAAGAAACGGCATCAGACCATAGCTCAGCCACGCAGATTGTGAACTATCATATCATTGCGCGGAGCTTCGTACGGGAGCCAAAGCAGGGATGCACGGCAGGTTGAGGAATGCGCAGCAGTACCCGTATCTGCTTATGTCTTGGGGGTGGATCAGCAGCTTGCAAGGCTTGCCGCATCTCACGATCCGAATCCCATACGGGGCCCATCGTGTCATGTCATGTCTGGCTGCCACTCGGCTCCTCTGACCCCGCCTGCGACCCCGCTGTCTTTCTGCAAGAGCTGTCAACTTGCGGTTCTCCGATTGTCATGCTGCAGACTCCTTTACAATGCGTCATTTTGGCATGGCAAGGGAACGAGACAGGCTCCTGGGGCGAGGAGACCTCGAAGATTGATAGAGTGTATTACAGTGTATTATAGTGCCGTTGCCACAGAGGAACTAGCTCACAGTGTATCGTCGTGGCTGAGATGCGGGATTCTCACAGCTCTATCGCGCCAGACCAGTTGTGAGCTAGGAGACTGGTGAGAACCAGACCAGCCTAGAAATGCCGCACCGCAACTCAAGAGCAGTTGGGCTCAAACAGCCATCACAAATCACAATAAGCGAATCCGCAGTGATGGCGGCTTTTATTGGATGGGTGTGAGCGGATGCGTAAGTCGCATATCGGAGAGGTGCCATGGCGCCAAATTGCAGGAAAGAAGTAGAAAAAAGAAGGGGAAAAGCCACAGATGCCGCCTGTTGCGCGTTGGATCGTTAGTACGTACCTTGCCACGATGGAAGCACTGTAAATTTCGAACCGATGTTGACTTGGGTCTGGAACCTCACTCGGTTGGGACAGTGTAGTATCGAGCTTAGAGTACGTACCTCCGCTGCCGTTCCCGTTCGCTGCCGAGTCTACCGCCAAACACGGACCCACCTTTCCCGTCTTCGACCTGCGACTGCTTTGCAACTCACCGCAACAACAGTCTCCGAATCACATCGAAGCTTTCCACTCCAAAGTCATTTTTACTTTGGCTCTGCCCTTGTTGTAGTATTATCCAGCTTACCCGAATGGTGATGCGGCACCCAGATGTGGTCCGCTTTACTGACTCCATCCTATACAGAACCCAACCTCACACTTTCTCCAGCTTCTCTTCCACTTGAGGTAACTTACTCATTTGGTAAATTGCTGAGCTGCTGACCGCCTTCCATCAGGCTTGGGTTGTTAACTCTTCCCTCATTCGAGCACTAATGCAACCGCAAGTCCACGTCACCTACCACCCAGCCTCCAATATACATAGTAAGGCCGAACCTCAAGGTTAATCGTACACAGGCCGGGTACCTTACCTCTCCCAGCCAGTCGGGACTGGTGTTCCTTGTCGCCTTAGCCCGCTATACATATTGGCGCTTGAATCTGTTGTTCTCTTTTGCTCTGCAAAGGTCACCGTAGAACAAAAGGCAGGCCCACGAGTGCCTTTATGCATGGACCATGCGTCGACCGGGGTGTCTCACGTTAAGGCGGACGAGCCGCACTGCTATTCATTGCGTCGGAATCGTTCCAGAAGAACGAGGCGGCCAAACATCACCCAGTCTCCTGCATCGCCGCTAGTTGTTGTCGTTTCCTCTTGCCGTCTCGCTGTAATCCTCCGCTTGGGCATCAATGATCAGACTCACCAACACATCATTGACACGGCATCATACAGCATGGCTTTACATCCCCTAACCCGCCATTAGCCGGCCCACGTCATCGCCGAAGAGTTACGTCCCTCTCAAAGATAATGAGGCGACCTGGGCCTCGTGATGCTTGCTCCTCCTCTACATCCCCAGCGCAGGCTCACTTTAATTGTAAGATATCAAAAGCATGGCGTAGTGCTCTAATTTGTAGGCATTTGTTGACTCCATTACTAATTACAGCCCGCGACAGAAAGTTATCGACAATCTAAAACGGTCGTGCTGCAGTATACCTCCATCCGCCGCCACACTTTCGGGTTTCTTCGCTTTCCCTCACAAGCAATGCAGACTCATAACTGCACGTGCGGTCTGTGTACAACGAAGGCTTGCTGATACTGAATCAAGCTTCCATGCGTACGACACTTGCCGAAAGCAAGGAGTCGATCAGTGGCTGTCAACAGCAACCATAGCCAACCGCAGCCAGAACCTTGATGCGGTAGGGGCAGGCAAGAAAGAACAACGGACCAGGTTAAAATTGGTGCCGCCCAGACGAAGAAAGAGTCTTGGACCCGTTGTTGAACGCCCCGGTTTTGGTTGCAAAAACAGCGACAGCGCAAAGCACAGGTGACCCAAGTTCCGAAGGCCGCGAGCGGGCATCACGATGTTGTATCGTGGTCCCACAAGCCAGCCCCCATCCTTCGTATAATGACGCAGGTGCAGATCATATGTCCAGGCACCAAGAGGCTACCACTCGCGGCGCCACTTGAATATTCCCCTGCCGCTTACCCTCGTTGCCCAGGTAGGTCAACAGTAGTTATGGCACCCCTTACCAACTACTGGATATCCCAGGAGTCCTCGGCAGCATGACAGAATTTGCTGCAAGCAACACTAGCAGACAAGCTGTAGTTGCTGATGGAAATCTTCTCGTCCACCAGACCGTCGGCAAAGGTGTCCGCACCCTTGGCCATTGCACCGACGAAAACGCAGACGCTTTCCTTGGGGCCGAGCGTGTCGATGTAATCTCGCACATGGACCAGAGGCGCCTCGAAACTGAGGGTGACCTTGCGGCAGTTGGGCGGCAAGTGGTCTGTGATGGGGTTCTGAATGACACGCAGAAGCTTCTCTTGAGAGTTGGTCGAGCGGATGGACAAGCGGTGCAACAGCTGGACCATCAGGCCTGCGAAACGCTTGAATGTACGTGGGATACGAACCGAGGGCGAGACCTCGATCAGGACACCCTTAGCGGTGTGGATATAGATTTGGAGCTTGCCAGCCTTATTGATGGGAGAGTCGAGCAAGGTAAGGAGGCACTAGTCAGTATGGTCAGCATGTTGAATGCAGACGAAGGCAGGGCGCGTTGAGGCGCATCATCAAAGAGCAAAGGCAAAACAAAGGCAGTTCGCTGGTAGTATCCAACCTGGTGAGTAATATCCGGGCGCGCATCACTAATGTCGCGGTTCATCTTGCGCATGACTCCGATGTGCTCGTCACTGTTGAGTAGGGAGTACTTCTCCTCTCGCTGAACCCCATTGCGGCCGGTGCCGCCATGAGAAGCCTTGTAGGTCTCGAGACTGGCATTTGACAAAACAACGATGAGGCGCTGAGAGTCCTTGTCGGTCGGGGGGATGGCAGTGTGCTGCTCAGCGACCAGCTGAGGGAGGGCCGGAGGCGGGAGCGATTGTGTGCCTGTCAATTTGTTCCAGTCAGTAAAAGAAGAACAGCGACAGAAACCTGCGTACGGTTGCCCTTGCTGGAGCTGCCTGCCATGTCTGCCATGCCTTGCAGTACTTGCGATATGTAGGAAGGTGCTGGTGCTTGGGGAGTCGGTGGTGTCCTGGCGGGAAGCCTCGCGGGGTAGTTGGGGAATTATAAGTTGGTCATGCAGCCAAGCGACTGCTGGATGGAGACAAGTACAAGTTGCAGCTTCTGGCAAAAGAGAGCAAGCGATTGCTCTAGGCAAGGGGCAAAGACAAGATGCAAGGGAAATGTGTGTCGCGGAAAGGGACACTTTAGGAACTTACGGGGTCGCTTGACACCAGCACGGGCCTCTGGGGAAGACATTTTTTTGAGAAGCGTCGATCGATTGGAACGTTGGAAAATTTCGGTGCAGGCTCTTGCCTCTTCGCGCAGGTGGGTAGGTGGTTACACGAAATACAGGTGGGCGCGTTTTTGCACAAGGGAAGAAGAAGAGAAACAAAAAAGGTATGTGAGAGAGATCAAGATGTGAGTAAGGGCGGAATCGTATGGGAGTCAGGAAGGAAGGAGGGAGGGGTTGTTAAGAGGGTTTAAATTTTTCTTGTAGAGCGGAAGAATTGGGCAAGGATAAGCCATCTAAGGTCGGCAGCAAGAGGAGAGTTTGGCGAAAGGGACGCAAGCGAAGGAAGCGAAGGAAGGGAAGGAAGGGAAGGAAGGGACTGAGAGACCTGCGCACCCGCGCCCGCACGCACACATGTGGTAAACCCCCTTGTAAGAGACCATACCAAGTAGGTATACCCACCACATGGTACTTTTCCACTCGCGGCTCGACACTGTGACGCTGTTCGCCAGTAGCCGAGTGGAGGGACCTGAGGTGGGAGCCCAGCAGCATAGACAGTTCAACCACCAATCCTACCAATGCAAGCAGGGCTCACCTCTGTTCCCGCTCCTCCAGATACGTACAACCTATCGAAACGCGGTGTCAGGCCCACCCAATACGTCTCTCCACACTGCAACCTCTGATTAGTTTACAACAGCACTGTTAGGTATCTCGGTCGCCGCTACTTTAGACTTTGCCGCCACGGCGAAATGTTTACCGAACCGTCAGATGCAATACATATACTGCGAGACGCTGCTACCTTACCAAACAATTCGCAAGGTCTCCCTTAACGCACAGAACATTCTCGGACTTGGGGACAAACGCAAGGGACTTGGTTGGTAGTCTGTAAACGTGCTTTCTCTCCCTCTTGCTCTGTCTGATTCTGTGGCACCGTCTTTTCGTCGCATCGATAGCGGGGTTTGAACAGTCTCCGCCTTCATGTTGTTTCTCTGCGCCATTATGGCTCAGGGCACCGTCTGATCTGTCCCTTATCTCTCAGCCATAATTTCATGATAATAAAGTAGGTTGCAAGAGTCAGTACTAGCTCTGCCGTCTCTGATTTGTCGAAGAGACATGCGGTATCTCACGGCTTGATCCATGTCTGACCAGAGTTTCTCGCGAGATAGTCACTCTTCCCCTCTGCGCCTCGCTGTTCCATTATCGAGTCATTGCTTGCTCGCTATGGCTGACACAACTGACTGCTGGCCATTTCTTGCGTGTCAACTTGGTGGGTATACCGATTTTACTCTGCTCGTCCGAAGTATAATTTCTGTCAAGTTGACGTTCTATAACCGAGCTTGTCTCGTGTACGGGGCCGGAGCCCCATCCCTACGGGGGGGTGCTGCAATGGCATGTCTGTTGAGAGCTCCAAAATCCAAAGTCGACATGAAGACAGGGTTATCCATACCATCTATCCTGTCTCCCGTAATCAGGCCCGTTTGTGTTCCATCCTAATAGTCTCGATGTTTACTGTCCTTGCTTCGCTTTCTATTGGCGACCATATTCGTATCTGTTTCTCGAAACAAAGTTATGCCCAAAATATGACTCTCTTTTTCAGTCGAAACATTTACTCGGAGTGATTCACATCAAATGTAGCTCCTAAAATCGATGCTGTGTAGGCTTGTGATAGGTGTTGCGCCTCGGTACCGTTCTGTAGGTCAACCATGGCCCGCGTGTTATTTTGAACAACGTTTGACACCTGACGAGGCCGGTATGTTTGTGGTGCCAGAGCAAGCGCTCTTTCTCGCCTCTGCAAACTTAGTTCATCATCTCGTCAAGACGAACCCCGTTCATTGTTATGCGCATCAGAGGCTACTATCACTCGGAGTTGGGTGGTGCCGTGCCGAGTCATGCCTGCAGACTGTCACAGTCGGCTAATCGCGGCCGTTAGAGTCTAGGATGGGGGTCTGATCTTCTGAGGCCACGCCTGTCTTTCCTTCCCTTCACAGTGGGTGACAGTAGGCAAAGGTCGGCCAGTGTTTGTTGCCTTGAGCGCTCTCAGTCCTCATAATCAAACTTGTCTAACTGTGAATTATCGCTGGGAGGTTCATCCAATTATGGTAAACTGCCTGACCGCAATGACGCCGTCAATCTTTGCTGACCTTTCCGACTTAAGAGAATCCCATTCAATTTGCGTTGCGATGTCCACCATTGCCTGTGTTATTTTTAGTCATCCATTTGTCTTCGACAGAGTCTGTGGTATACATAAAACACTATTTGAAGTTTGGCTACGAGTAGACCATCCTATTCCTCGATGGAGGTCTGAACTCAATACAGGCTGACCTATGTAAGGCGGAAAAATCTACGTCTACGGAGACGATGCAAGTATGCCCTCACATAGTTCAACGCGTCTTGGTTATCTAGAGAATTTGCGTTTTGCTATCGAAGGGAATGGTCTTTAAAATGGTGATTTCTTTCCAACTTCTCATAGGCTGGTGATACATCAACATGGAGTTCATTGAGCATGTTTCCCCCACATACTCGAGCTTGAGACCCTATGTCTTTCTAGTTTCGCTGCTGGTCTCAAATGATCCTATTGTTCTGGCCGGCTTCTAAATCGTAACGGTAGGAGTGGTTGTCAAAATAGCCGAGTCTCCAACCCTACCGCCATTCGAGCCTGTCTATTAAAGTCGTTTGATGTGCCTTAATAGATCACTAGTTTAGGTAATGACCAGTGCTTCTCCTAATAGTAGTCACTATTGCAGCTTGAAATGCACGAGCGCACTCGAGCTATTGCCCAAGCAAGAGTTGTTTTACTAAGGAGTCGAATTCGGGGACAACCTTGGGGTTATCTGATCTCTCGCTCTACTTCGTAACACTTCGATTCCTCTTGTTCAACTCGCTGTTATTTTACTTAACATTTACCCATATGTTTCCTATGGTCCCTGTGTTTTTATAACATATACGGACGGCAGGGAAGAGAGACAGGGAGAGGCAGCGAGCAGGGTATCATTTCTTGCCTGACATTGTTGGTCATTCGCGTGACACTCGCCTTCTCGCCATGTAATCAAGATGGATACCGAATCTCTGATCCTCCGATGTTTATTTTAAGTCATGCATTCCGCAGCAATGTGTCTGCAACACAGGCATAAGACGTTGACCTCACTACACGTCTGCACGGGTTGGAAATAGTTACAGAAGTGATAGTGATAGGCGAATCACATGGACGGATGGATGACGGCGGCAAGATAAACTTCGTCGTTCCCTGGATTGTTTCTGCAGCAATCACGCAACCAGTATAAGGAGTTTTGCACAACTCGGTCCACGCCGTGCAGCTCCCCAGCAGCTCCCCGCTCGTCAGATCGGGTGTCGGGAGCAAAAGCCAAGAACAAGCCACACAACATAAGGTTATCTTAGCGTCTGATCTACCCGTGCTTTCTGGTTCGTTGTGGTAGGGGGTAAGATGTTCACCTAAGCTCGGAATTTTGAATATGGTTAATCCGATCATCCAATCAGCTGTCATAGACACACCTGTAGTTTTTGATTTTCTGAGCGACACGACTGCGAAGACACTGAATAAGGGTATGAGGTAGCGACTTCATGATTTTGCGCGACCGATTTGACAACAGCTACAGAAGCACCCTTCGACGGCACTTGGACACATGACCGACAGACCACCTTCACGTGCAACGCATTGAATCACAGTCTTTGAACCCAGCAGCGCGCCAATCAAACCCTTCTCCCGTCGTTGATCATGTCGAAACAGGCCATAGCAGCAGCGCGTCAAGTCGGCCGCGAGCTGCACGGCGTCGTTGTGAGCGCCGGCCTCATGCAGAAGACCGTCAAGGTGCGCGTAGGCGGCCAGCAATGGAAGCAGGCTGTCCAAAAGGTATGCGTCGACTATCGCTCCCTTTTTGCATCAGCTGCCACGGGCGCAAAAGACTGACTCACTGTGCCCTTAACAGATGTTCACGAAGCCCAAGAACTACCTTGTCCACGACCCCAACTCCTCCCTCCGCACAGGTGATGTTGTATCCATCGTCCCTGGATGGAGAACGTCTCCTCACAAGCGCCATGTTGTCAAAAACATTATCGCACCCCATGGCACACCTATTTCGGAGCGACCACCGATCCCGTCCGAGGAGGAGAGAATCGCAGCCCAAGTACAAAAAAGAGAGGCAAAGGTTGCAAGACGAATCTTAAAAAAACAGGAGGGCTCCACGGAAACTGCCACAAGCCAAGCGTGAGCTTGACCACCGAGAGACGCTTACATGGGTGGTGGAAACAAACATATCGCAGCCATGCGTGCATCAGAAGGAAATGCCACGCTGTATAATAGGAGAAGTGGTCTGCGTTGGGTCATGGGAAAGGTCTTTTTCCAAATGACAGTGCCTGCCCGCATCCCGACTCGTAGCTTCGGAGGCTAGTGCCGAGACCTTAAGGTCACCGATGGCTCACTGTATAAATATCATTACTAGTGTGACAATATCATGCTTTCAGTGAAAGTGAGATGTCGCTTCTCTTTCATCCATAACAAGGCGGGAAACCCCAGAAAACTCCTTGCCCCGTTCGATGCCAATAACCAAGCGCTGCCGGAGGGTATCACGTTGATCCACGCTCTCCATGCCGACCATTTGCTGTGTTACATGAACTCCCACTTCACAGACTCGTTGCCCTGCATCATCCCCCTCGCTCACCAAACTCCCTTGCCCAGTCCTCATACTCCTTGAGCCCTGCTTTACCGACACTGGGCCGGATGGTGCTTAGGCTCGCTTCGAAATCTGCTAAAGAGATCGGTCGGATTTCGTCCATAGTCATGTGCAGAAGAGCCTCACCCAGAGAGCGAAGAGGGCCCATGGCTGCATCCTTGGCTAGCGCTGTAATATCTGAACCGGAAAACCCTATCATTTTGTTAGTATCAGATCTAATTTAAAGCAATTCGGCTCTATCCAGCCACACTAAACAGAAAACCTACCGTCAGTGAGTAGGACAAGCTTTTCGATATCCGAACCAGACAAGCTGTGCTTTTGTTGACCCAGGAGTGTCCGAAGCTGGATTGAGCGAGTCTCAGGCTCGGGGAGTGGTATGTATTGACGCCTGACGAACCTCCGACGAGCAGCCTCGTCGATGGCCCATGGAAGATTGGTTGCTGCCAAAACGAGAACTCGATTCGGATCCCCTCTGTTTCTGTCCTTTTCGTCAACTGCTCTACCGGCTGCAGCTCGCTGCAAGTCACTCCATTGTATGAGGAACTCGGTCTTGATCCTCCTTGTTGCTTCGTGCTCCCCGGACCCAGATCTCTGCGAAAGCAACGAGTCAATTTCGTCGACAAAGATGATGCTCGGGGCGAGGGTCTTTGCTAGGGCAAACAGCGCTCGCACAAGCTTCTCTGATTCGCCGAGATACTTGCTCGTCAAGCTGCTTGCCGATATCGAGAAAAAGGTCGACCGGGATTCTGTGGCTACAGCACGAGCCAGCATGGTTTTGCCAGTACCGGGTGGACCAAAGAGCAGCATACCCCGCGCAGGCTCACGGAGCCCCATGAACAGGTCGGGACGCAGAAAAGGATAGACGACGTTTTCCCTCAACGCGTTTTTGGCAATTTCCAGACCAGCAACGTCACTCCATCGGACCTCGTCGCCTTGCACAACGATTTCGTTCAGAATTTGCTTTGCGGCTGTCTCATCCACGCCGGCTGGCAAGTTCTTCATAATCTTCTTCTTTTTTGCTTTCCAAGCCACCTTGGCCAAAGAACCCTCCTCGTCGTCTCCGTCAGATTCTTCGGACGAGGGTGCTTCAGCATCAGCCACTACAGCGTCTTCTTTCCCCTTGCCCTTCCACTTTTTGTCTGATGCTTTGGGAGTCGCTTTTGGGTTATCCGAGCAACTCGGGGACGAAGGTCTCCTAGGTCGGTGGGCGCCACGCCGTGATCGAGCAGCTTTATCCGGCTCCGAGCCACTCGTGAGGTTGCCGTTGGGCCGAATGGGAGTATCGCTGACAGGCTTCCTCCGGATTTTGATTCCATCTGGTGTGGGTTTGCGTCGAATTCCAAAGTCGTCAGCGTCGGAGGAAGGAGTTCGCTCATGCGGTGATATTCTGGATCGTGAAACTGACGACGGATGTTCTCGTGAGCGCCATGTACGTTCTTGTTTCGGCGTGCCGTGCTCGATAGGGGAGGCATCTTGGCCAGTTACGGCGTTCAAAGCGCTCGATGCTGCGCTCACGGACAGTGCTGATGGCCGGTTATGTGCCAGCTCGTCAGACGTTCTTGCGCTACCCACAGCGTCAGAAGAGGGCGAGGCAACGTCTCGAGGTGTTACAAGTCTCCTAGTGTGAACGTCCCATTGCGCGCTAGATGAAGGTCCTGGTTTGCGAGACGGCTCGTTGGTCGTAGCTAGAACGGACGATGAAGGTTCAGGTACCATAGGAGATGCTCGAGCCAGCCGTTCTCTAGAACTCAGAGTACTCCAAGCTAGTGTTGCCGCCTTGCTTGCCCCAGGCCCCTCGGTCTTTGACAGCTTGCGTGCTGTCTTTGCTGGCTTCTCTCCAGGCTTGCCACTCCGCAGCGTTGTCCGCATGGTGTATTTTTCAGGACTGGGTGACCTCATGGTTGGCTCCTTCTTAGTAGCCATACGGGGTGAGCCCGAGGAGCCAACAAAGGAAGAATTACCCGCAGGGCTCTGATCGCGGCCGACTACCGCCTGCTCGGATGATGTCCTGTAAGGCAACGACGGGCGTTTGGGCAAAGCAGGTCGCGACAGGTCGGGATATCGTATGGCTGGAATTGTGCCCTGGCCAATCCAGCCTCGTTCTGGGGTGGTAATATTCGATAGATTGAGGTCGGTTGATGGGTTGGGTGTAGGCGGATTCGAGATTTGGGAATGGGAAGTCAAGGCGTCCTGACGGGATGTCCGTAACGCTTCAAGCAGGTCAATGCGCTCCTTGCATTGCAGTTCCAGCTTGCGCAGGGAGTCTATCAGAGCTTCTTCGGTCTCGGTACCGGCTACGTAATTGGGCAAGACTTTGGTAATGCGCTGGTCGTTGAGCTGATCGAGAGCATTCTTCCAGCATCGCATCGCCTCGCTTTCGTCACCCTAGAGTATTGGCAAGAGCGAGTCAGCGCACAACGGAAGTAGAAACGAGAGATGATACGGTACCTACCTGGCTTTCATAGTATACAGCAGTGGAGCATTTCAAGTAGCTGTCGTCATAAGTCTTCTGGAGGATGGCGAGGCCCCGGGAGCGTGACATGGTACTGGTAGCCAGACCATAGTACCTAAGGGTATAAGTGCCGGTGCAGAGGTACTGTGAAAGATGCGATGGGCAGCGGATATGCTAATGGTATGAAGCAGTCAAATTATGCTACAACCGTGTCGAAGGACGAGGAGACGACGTGGATGGGTTCCGAAGTTGAGGTTAAGGTCAGGCAAGGAACAGACAGGGTTTGGATGCCTTTGTTTTTCTGGAAGTGGAAATGCGGGTGAGTGATTGACGGCTGATTGCATGGCGGGGGGGATAGACACCAGTGCACACCTGGGCGGGATGAATTAGCGGGCCACAGTGACGTCGCTGCAGTGGCTGGGTGGGGGATAGCAACAGGGTCGCCCCACACCCACCTGCCGTTGCTGAGGTCCTCCACATCACAAGTGTCTGCCCAATGTCAACGCAACTCATACCTAGTTAAGGCCACCCAAGCACCTTGGTACTTCTCACAAACAAAGAGTATGGTACTTAGCCGGCGGGAACGTCCCAAAACGAACAGCCGCGTGAGGTGGTAGTGCGGAGCCTCCCCGATGTTTGAGGCAACGAACAGTGACACGCCCGGCCACTTGAGATAGGCACAGAAGACGCTGGAAACACTAAATCCAATACCACAACCCTCTTGTTTATTCTATAGTTCTTATTGCTCTGTCTTTCCGACTTGCAGGCAACTTACTTGTAGTGAACAAACAACTCGATGACAGGGTTGGCCACAAGCCTCAAAAACCTGTCCTGCATATACCACATCACGACTGCCCTCACGACAAGAGAACCCGAATTTCCCCTGTGGTCCTTGGAAATAGGGCACGAAGCGATTGAGATTCATCGGCGTCGGCGTCTGCGTTTCCATCAGCGGCAGACAAATCATCCGCCAATAGCAACATCTCCTCAACGTGTTCAAACTCGTCACAAAACTTCCTGGCAGCCTTTTCCGTGAGTTCTCGCGCCAGAGTTGAGTCTTGCAGGTGTTTGACGTTCTCCATAGCGTCCATGAGCGCTGACGGCAGGAAATCGTCAAGTGTCTGGCTTGCTCGACTCAACGCTTGGGGTTGCAAATCCGCGAGCAGTGCTACCTTCTTCAGGTCGTTGTCTTCTGTTGTAAGTTTGCCTAGCGAATCGAGCATCTGCCCAAGTCCAGACCCTTGACGCAAGAATTGATATTGCTCTTCCGTGAGCTTTTTGCATTCTTCTGCCACCCTATCCTGCAGTGCCTCTCTTCTTCTTTGCGTAAAGTCGAAGGGCTCCAACGTATGTTTGGCCGCAAGAAGACAGTTCGTCATAAAGATGGCGTCTGCCGGTCGTCTCACGCCCTTTGCCATGTTCTCGCAACCCGCCAGGAAGGGCTCAAATGCCTCGGCAAGGATGGGCTGGAAGTCACTCTCGCGATCCGAGGATGTTGCCAGCGAGATCTCGTACGTCTTCATAACCGCAGTCAACTGCTTCAGTGCCTCGAGCAAAAAGTCTGGAGGCACGAGGTCCGAAGGCGTTTGCTGGAACTCGCCCTGCAGCGTGGCTATGTGGTCTCTCATAAGTGACCGGAATTGCCTTAATGCATTTGTCTCGAGCCCAGACATGAGGTCGAACAGCCCAGATTCGCCGCCCAACAGTTTAGCAAATGTAAACCGATAGAAACCAAGAATATTTGCAAGCTTGTAGGCGAGAATGGTTTCCTCGTTGGACTGAATGACTTGCTCGACTCTTTGCCGCAGAATTCTCGTGGCCCCAGAAACATCTCGGTCCACAAGGTCGTTGAGCGCCTTGAGGGCATCAAAGGGTTGCGCCGTCTCGCCCTCCCCTTCGTCGAGAAGCTGCCAGAGCTCGTTGGCTCGACCCGACTGGAGTCCTTTGGCAATCTCGTCGCCTTCTGATACGAAGAGGCTTTCGAGCGCCTCCCTCTCGCTTACGGTAGCCGAGTGTATCCAAGCAAGCATGTCGCCCACATACCGAAGCGGGTCATGGGCGGCCATTTCGATGGGTTTGATCGAGTGGTCTTCCGCTCCCGAAGTCGTGGTGCCAGTCAAAGCGAGATGGAAGGCATCAGACAAAATGCGTTCCCTAGCTTCGGCAAAGAAGTCGAGACAGTTTTGGAAGAGGGAGGGTCGCTCGGCTAAGATTCTGATGGAACGGCGGATAGATGAGTTCATCTGAGGGTTTTCGAGGTTCAATGTCTTGAACTCGCGTTGTACCCATTTGTACAGCTTGTGAAAAGCTAGGTTGAGATTTTTGGACGTCTGCTCCATAATCTCCAGTCCCAAGGTTTGATTTTCGAATCCAAGTAAAATTTCGCAATCCTTGCTCACCCGTTTCGCCTTGTGCAGGGCAGCAAAAAAGCCATCATCAACGGGCTCTGCGGTGGAAGTCAGCGAGGCAACCTCGTCCTCCGAGAAAATGAAGTGACTGCGCAATGTCTTGAGGAGATGCTGTTTTGATTCAACCTCGGCTCGTTGTTTCATCAGTGATGAAGCCTCTTCTAGGACCGGGCCCGTCTCTTGGTGCGCCGCAGTGATGCGGCTCCTCACTTCTTGATAGTTATTGTTCAACTTGTCCAGGGTAGCTCCTATACGACGCAATTGCTGGGGAGAGTCAATGATGAAATTCGAGTCGTCTCAAGAACAAGGCAGCAGCACTTACATCGGCCACCCGGCCAAATTGAGAGACGATCTCCCCATTACTGTCAATAACTTCCTTCTGCAGGTCTAGTCGTAGCTGGCGGCGTGTTTCGGCCGTGTTCTTGAGGTTTCGGCTGTCAAGAAGTTGCAATGCGTCTCTAAACTCATAGTCTGCATATGATGTCGACAGGACAGTTGTGACTTTGGAGGAAAGCGGATTCGCGGTCCTCACTGAGGTTGGTGTGGAGGGCGATGGTGGTGTGCCGATGCTCAAATTGGACACATCTTTGCTGGGCAAAGGCCCAGGGAGGACGGAGGCTGCGTTGACACCATGATGAGTAGTTAGTGAGCCACCTGAACTCACCAATCTTCTCCACTAATATCGAAAAAAAGAAGAAGTAGCGAGAGCTTCAGTGGCAGCTATGAGGGACACAGCATGCTGCTTGCAAAGAGTGCAGAATTGTAAGTGAATATGGAGATCTCAAAGGTATTAACCCCTGCTTCAACAACTGGCTGGTACTACAAGGTACGTACACCTGCTGGAGGTGTTGAGTTAGGTACCTACCCGACAAGCGCAGATAAGATAAGAAGTTTCCCGCCGGGGAAAGCGGCTAGGAATAAGTCCGGCAAAAACGAACCTCACCGCTTACTCTTCTGGTGGCCAACGTCATACTGTCACTGACAGGCATCCAAGCGCAGCTACCCCGTGCTCTGATGCCCATCAGAAAGCCAGAACGCCCACCACCACTTGGCTGCACCATCTTCCTTGGATGCCGCAAGTGAACTAGCTTTGTCCATGCTGCTTGCTACAGGGAGAGGGACAGCCAGAATCTCGATTCCTTATCGATACTCTCTATCAGGTGTCTATTGCCTGCTACTGGAGCAAATACTCCAAACAGCCAGCACCTCACACTAAATCGATTGAACGGCTATCATTCATCCTGCTTCAAACTTCCTTAACCCTGCACATAGATCTTGTGATTGCTACCACACATCCGTCTATTCGTTTTGTAAGGAGCTGTCTAAGCCCTTAAGACCAGTCGAGCACCAGTGACTCCGCGTGAGCTTGTGAGTCTCACTGTTCCCCAACACTTCCCAAAGCTTCTGTCACCTGCAACCGTCAGTGCCGGCCACATGACCGCCAGTCCGCACATCAAGTGACGGCGAACCCTCTCAGCCTCAACCACCTTTACCTTCTGCCGCAACCTTATTCAGGCTGACCTATCGTGCCCCAGGCATGCGATACCTCGCCGGCTGTTCCCTCGAAAAACGAGTCCCTTGCTGTACGCAAGCCCCGTTCAACCTTCCTCCGAACATGCGCCGGACGCCATGAGCGACGAATACGCACCTTGACGACTAGCCCTGACAGATTCATGATCGCTTCGACTTACCATGGCTTCCAACATCTTCTCTCGGCTTGCCCCGCCATCTCGAGGCTCGAGGTCGTTCTACGAAGAACTAAGGGGCGGACGGAATGGTGATATGGACATTGAAGAGCAAGCAGGTCTGGATGTCGACGAAGAAAACCTGAAAGAGCGTTTCCAAGACTACGATCTGGACCACATACAAGGCCTTGCTACCGAAGACAGTCGAGCGACCCTAGAGAGCAATACCAACATCCTCAACAGCCCTCCCGGCACAACTGGCCGCGGAACACAGCGTGGGGGAGACAGACAAGAGCCTGGCTCCAGGTGGCTCAGCCAAGAAGATGACGGCGACAACGACGTTCCTGCATCTCTGCTAGTCGAGCCACAAGAGGCTGATGTGGAGGCAAAAGGAACTGCGCGGAGGAAACCAACTATGCCAGCAAGGCAGAATGCCATTCCTGGCCCCTCCAACCGACGGTCTCAAGCCCAGTGGGAGACGACAAAGGCGCAACAGAGGCTTCATCCTACAGATAGCATCAAGCCGATTAGATCTCAACCAAAGCGCATCGCTAGGGGCCTTGCGTCTGGAAGCGAGAAAGAGAAGGCCCTTTGGAGATGGGTGAATGTTTCTAACCTTGACTTCTTCGTTCAGGACGTCTACCACTACTACCGAGGCAGCGGCTTCTGGTGTATTGTATGTGCTCGGGCGCTACACCTGATGTAGGTTGTCCCTTTGCGAGCCACAAGCCTTACAGTGAGATGACACTGACACGAAGCTAGGGAATCCGCCTTCTTCGCCGTATTCCTTACCTTCCTGACTCAGTGCGTCGAATACACCAAAATTCCTAACAGCGATTCGCTGAAGGAGGTCACGATTCCCCAGTGCACCAGAAAAATGTCGTTCATGTGGAACATCGGCCTTTGGCTCTATGTCTTTTACTTCATATGGAAGGCAGTCCAATTCACCATGGACCTCCGGCGTCTCAGCAACATGCGAAACTTCTATGTTCACCTCCTTGAGATACCAGAGGAAGATATGCAAACTGTTTCTTGGCAAGACATTGTTGCCCGGGTCATGGCACTGCGGGATGCCAATCCCAAAACCGCTATCAACGTCAATCCGTCGGCGCGGCAATGGATGCGCAATCAGTCCAAGGAAAGGCTAGACGCCGCAGATATCGCCAACCGTCTCATGCGGAGGGAAAACTACTTGATAGCCATGATGAACAAAGACATCCTCGACCTTACGCTCCCGATACCCTTTGTGAGGAAGCATCAGTTCTTCTCAAGGAGTCTTGAATGGAACCTACATTTTGCCATTCTCACATTTGTCTTCGACGGGAACAACCAGGTACATCAGGAATTCCTCAAAGCCGATCGCCGGGGCCTGTTAAGCGCGAAGCTGAAATCGCGGCTCGTATTCGCCGGCATCATCAACTTGCTGATCGGCCCTTTTGTGGTTGCATACCTCATTGTAGTGCATGCATTCACATACTATAATGTAAGTGCATTTCCGTAGCTTTGCATGCTGTTGGTCACAGATGTTGACAGATTTGGCTGCAGGAGTATCAGAAAGACCCATCGACCTTTAGTCACAGGCGATATACGCCTCTCGCCGAGTGGAAATTTCGAGAGTTCAACGAGGTTCCGCACCTCTTCCAAGAGCGTATCAACATGTCGTACCCGTTTGCCAGTCGTTACATTGATCAGTTTCCAAAGAAAATGACGGAGCAATTCGCCAGAACGGTAACTTTTGTTGCGGGGGCCATCACTTCCGTTCTTGCTGTTGCATCGTTTCTCGATCCTCAGCTTTTCCTCGGGTTTCAGATCACTACAGACCGATCGGCGTTGTTCTATATCGGTCTGTTTGCTGCGATCTGGGCGGCTGCCAGAGGTATGATATCGGAAGAGACGACCGTGTTTGATCCAGACTATGCTCTGCGCAATGTCATTGAATACACTCGTTACATGCCCGACAACTGGAAAGGCCGTCTACACACAGCCGATGTCAAACGAGAGTTTTCAGAACTTTACAAGCTGAAGATGCTAATTCTCATCGAGGAGATCCTCGGTATTCTCACTGCCTCCTTTGTGTTGCTTTATTCAGCGCCCAAATGCAGTGACCAGATCATTGACTTTTTCCGAGAATTCACCATCCACGTGGATGGGGTTGGTTACATTTGCTCATTCGCCGAGTTCGATTTCAAGAAGGGCGTGGGCAAGGCGAAGCAACCAGCTGGCGCTGGCGATGTCCGGGAAGACTATTATTCCACGAAACATAACAAGATGGCCGCGTCTTACTACGGCTTCCTAGATAACTATGTCATCAACCCGAAGACTGGTATACCAGGCCACCTACCTCCCGGAAGTCGACAACCATTCCATCCTCCGCCGGCGTTCCCAGGACTGAGCTCTCCGACGTTGGCGGCCGACATGCAGAGCTCTAGGATGGGCCGACAAGATCTTGCGAAGAGCCGAGCAGCTGGGGGTGGACCTGGTCAACAAGTCCGAACGCCGAGGTTCGGACCATCAATGACGGCTCCATCGCCGATGGCATCGATGCTTCTAGACCCGCATCACCAACCTGCTGCGACAGGGTTCGGCGTTCGAAGTACGCATCGGAGCCGAGGGGTGCGGGGCGGATATCAAAGCGAAGGGATCATTGAAGAGTCGACGGAAGACGGCTTGGGCATAGATAGCCGCTTGCAATCGCAAGTTGCACATGACGACGAAGCCTTTGACGGCTCGGGGCCTCTGGGAGAGTCTGTCTGGGAGACATCACCTCCAAAGGGGCTGAGCCGTGAGAACAGTATGGCGGACACGGGCGAGCAAGACGCGGGGGTGTTGGGGCTAATCTACCAGTTCCAGCAGGCCCACCGCAACAACCCGCAGAGCGGAGGAGCACTATGAGGAAGGGCACACAGGTAATCGGTCGGTACTTCAGAGATGCCGACGAGGAAACCTGGCGTCTTGCGACGTTGACGCTTTGGACATGGATACCATTGGCGGCTTTTTCATGGCTGAGATGAAGGAGACTCGACCGATGAAAGCGCAAGAAGGGGTTGAGATAGAGTGCTGCAATGACAACAGCCCACCAATTGGGTATGGATTTTTCAAACAGCGAGAGAAAGCGTTGCAGATGATCAAAGTTTCTTGTCAATGGCCTCGGGAATGGAACTCGTGCTAGTCCGAAGGGTGAACGTCGTATCTCCGAGGGGACTAACATTCGAAGTTGCGCGTTTGCAGGCGCGGCGATCTGCAGTCGAGCATAGTTTGGGATAACGATAGCGTACTGATAAGCAACATGCCTTAAAAAATGAGAGCAAAAAACTTAAGAAACAGGGGGCGTTGTCGGAGAGTTTAGCCAAGGTGACGTGCGTGGACTCGAGGAGGGGACCGCAGTTCACGTGGCAGTTAATGAGTGACTAATGTGAAGAGTCTTTTGTTGCATGAGGTGCCTCCAGACATGGTGAGAGTTGCAGAGGTAGTAGACGTGCAGCTTGTGCTGTACCCAGGTCCGACGAGTGGGGTAGCGATTGATTGATTGATAAGATGAGATAAAATGGCAGTTGAGAGTTCCGGGTTGTACGGTAGGAGGGCCGTGTGTTGTCGACCGGCGGCGTTTGGTAACCGAGATTAACGACAGGGTGAGTTTCCGTACTTTTCCACTTTTCTTTTCGTATTCACAATTGCACGTACTTAAAGGAGCCTGTTCTTCCTTTCTTTGGTATCTAATTTGTCTGACTACTGATTTTAAAGGCAGAGTGGGCTCCCTAGAGGTGAGTGGCTGGAGCCAAATCTCGGCACAGAGGATGAATGCACTAAAAAGACGACTTGAGTTTTGGGAGATCCAAAGTGGGGACTCTGGGAGTCGGGGATTCCAGTGACGGCTTTTTTGTTGCTCCGAGGTTGCTCTCTTCGGCCACTGGCTGGAGAACGCTTATGGCGATAAGGAGCTGAGGAGGAAGGAGCCCATTGGGTTACCAAAAGGTTGAGGGTTCTTCCCCGCTGAACTTAAAGTGGCTGTAGCAGCTTCAGTTTCTTTCCGGAAAGCAGCGCAATCAGACGCGGCGGTCATTCTTTATCCATGAATCGTAGCTGCTGCCAGGTATGCTTTGAATTTAGAAGAGATCGAAGGGTGGCACTGAGTAACTATGACCAAATTGTGAAAACAAGTGAATAGGCGTGTGAGTGTAAGAACACATGGGGTGGGGGAATACCCCAAGCCTCATGAAGTAAAGTCGGCGTCATCAATTGAATTTATGCACGGCCAGAGAGAGGCAAGGCAAATCATGACGAGGTTAAAACAGGACAAGGAGATTTCGAGAACCACGTCAACTCGATCATTATTTGAAGGTCGATGCATGTAGTGTGCGAGAGACCTACGGCTAATAGACAAAATGCATGTAAGATATATAAAAGTGACTAATGATGATAGAATGAAGATTGAAGATGACCATATGAAGGTAGATAACGACAGGCCATAGCACGATGCGGATATCTCCTAGGGATAAGCATGTCCGACCAAGTAGCCAGACTGCAACAACGAGGACGGTCTTTTGGTCTCCGAAGCCGCAGATAACCCCGACGCTCCCTGGGCTGGGTCTGGGCTGGGCACGGATGGCAGAGACGTAGACACCGGATGAAGTGGAATGTGCACAAAATTTTCGGCCTTTCGTAATACCAAAATCTTACAATCATTATCTGGAACTCTGGGTAGCTACCGAATGCTACTCTTTACCTACCTAGGTACGTAAACCAAGCGTGATACCAATACTGTACTGTACGTTCAACAGAGACGGCAGAGCAGCACCTGGAAGAGGCGTACCGACCCGGGGACCTTTGTACCTCTCCTAGACTGCTGCGCTTGCATCGCACCCAGCTGTGAGTGGAGGTACACAGCACCCACACTAGACCTCCTCCACTGCCTGTGCGTTACCTGACTCTGCTAGCTCCAACTGGACTTTTTTCACTTGGTCTGGCCTACCTTACCTCTCTACAAACTGAGGCGCTCTTTCAACCTCCATCCAACCTTTGCATCTGCCACACGCAAATCAAATCCGTGCATCGCCAACTCCCAGCCCACGGTGTCGTGAGCTTAAGGTCGCTTGCTTCAACATACTCTCCACTTCTGCCCTCCTTGCCAGTCTTCCAGCGACCGATCGACCTCCGACTCTTCCGGCCTCCCGATCTTCGCAGGTCCCTTGGTAACCTCCGCGCAAACCTAGAAAAGAACGAGAGGGAAGAAAAAAAGCCACCGAGGCAACGAGCGACGCGATCTGTCCGCGTCCAGCTCAACGAGAGCTCCTCCCGCCACACCCGTGGGCGCCATCGCCGACCCCCTCGATCCCCCCCAGCTGTCAATCTGGCGGCTCTTCAGCCCAAGCCCTACGGCGAAGCATCTGCTGCGGCCGCAATGGCCCAGCCCAATGCAGAGCCCGTCGAGGAATATGAGTGCGCAGTACCTCACCATCATCACTATACCTCAATCCATCCGCATACCCCCTTGCCAACCCGGCCTTGGCCCCAGTTTGCCCGCTCTGTTGATATAATAGACATGCTGACGTCTGTATTGCAGCTATGAATCGCTACCTCCCAACTTTTCCCTCGTGCAGAACATGGCTGCCGGGGCGTTCGCAGGCATAGCGGTATGCCATCCCGTTCCCTCCAAGCGCTGGCCGGCGCAAAGTCCAATCTAGCCAATGTTGTAGGAAACCTGGAAGCTGATTACCTTCTTCGCAGGAGCATACTGTCATGTATCCCATTGACGCCATCAAGGTATGATGCGAGTTCCATAACTGCGATCTTTGACCTACGCTTGTGCATCAACATTTGCTAACCCCGAGCTCCTAGACCCGAATGCAGGTCCTTAATCCCAACCCCTCGGCTGTCTACAATGGCGTCATCCAAGGTACCTACCGCATAGCCAGCCGCGAGGGTTTCCTGAGCTTGTGGAGAGGCATGTCCAGTGTTGTTGCCGGCGCTGGTAAGTCATTTCCGTCCGCGAGCGAGCATGCTGTTTGTTTTGGTAAGATTTTGCATTGGTAACAAGACCAGGTCCTGCTCATGCTGTTTACTTTGCTACTTACGAGGCTGTCAAGCATGTTATGGGGGGCAACCAGGCCGGTGTTCACCATCCCTTGGCTGCCGCGACCAGTGGTGCCTGTGCTACGATTGCTAGCGATGCGCTGATGAATCCCTTCGATGGTACGTAACTCTAGCGTTATTCGTACAGCTTAGATTCCCGGTTGCTGACAACGGGTCGATTGCAGTCATCAAGCAGCGCATGCAGATCCAGGGTTCGGCCAAGATGTACCGCTCCATGACCGATTGCGCCAAGTACGTCTACAAGACGGAAGGACTGGCAGCCTTCTACGTTTCCTACCCGACTACCCTCTCCATGACGGTGCCTTTCACCGCCCTTCAGTTCCTCGCATACGAATCCATATCCACGGCTATGAACCCGAGCAAGGGATACGACCCCACAACACATTGTTTGGCAGGTGGTGTTGCTGGTGGATTTGCCGCCGCCCTGACTACACCCATGGACGTTATCAAGACGATGCTTCAGACTCGAGGAACAGCCAACGACCCCGCACTGAGAAACGTCAACGGATTCATGGCCGGCTGCCGTTTATTGTACGAGCGTGAGGGCTTCCGCGGCTTTTTCAAGGGTGTGCGCCCCCGTGTCGTCACCACCATGCCCAGCACGGCCATTTGCTGGTCCGCCTATGAGGCTTGCAAGTAAGTTATGTCCGCTCCTTCAACACAAGAGGATACTGACAATTCGATCTTCAAGGGCATACTTCATCGCACGAAATGACAACCCAAGCCCTTGAAGCGGCTCGCCGCTGTGCACATAGAGGGGAACTTCCTTGACGATTTGATCACCGATTAGAGCGGTCGTGTAAATTTTAGAAGGCGGAGTCGAGCCCACGGGGTAGTTGAATACCTCGGAAATGGGCTTTTCAGCAACGAAGGTCACAAGAGGCACGATACCACCCTCAGCGAGGGCTTCCATACATACTCCACTGGGCTGCAACGTGAGGGTTGACGCTGGAGGTCTCGCGAGTCGGCTGTATTTGGTACCGGAGAACCGGTGGTTTGGCAAAGTGCACTATTTGAAAGGATATTCAACATGTTGGCGTCGGAAATGACAGACTTGTCTGGAGTTGGTATGCCTACAGACGGATTTACAGATACGCCAATCTGGAATACTGTCTCTCACTCTCCAACTTGTGTGCCCTACGTGTCATGTTCGAGTGACAGTTCACGTCATACAATCAAAAGCAAACCCTCGACTTGGTAAAGACGGCGGCATCACACCGCCTAGTGTTTGAGATAAGATCTTTATTGGGAAAAAGGAGCGCGCAGAGGATGCTCAAATCTAACGTAGGCCTAGCCAAGGGCGCATTCGACCTACTCTGAGTCTCAAGCCAGAAAAGTCAACTCAGCGAATCACTCTTCAGTTGACGAAGCTGAGCATGGAACGCGTGATAAGGTGTGGTGCCATATCAATGATTGCTAGCGGCATCAAATGGGCCGGCGCCAACTCGGCCGTGTGGCACGGCTCTGCCTCCGTCTCTTTCTGTATCTCTCGGGAAACAACAAGTCCTGAAGGGCAACATCCCGTTCAATAGGCGCAGACGTAAGAATTCGGTCATGCGAGAACGAACAGAACAATACCTCATGTTTGTACTTTGGGCCAAAGCATATCGTCCGTCACTCGACATGTCTTCTGGTTTATCTCACGCCTGTTTATATAATGTTTCTATCGGCACATGTCTGTAGCTCTTGTACTTTGAATGGGCAAGCCTAAGCGAACTACACGAGAGAATGCGTATGATAGACCATTGCAGCGCTTCCAAGTGGGGGCTGTTTCTTCCACCCAGAATATGAATGACGTTAAAACATGATGTTGGCCATTGGGTGAGGCCACCGTAAACTCCAGGCTTTGACCTATAAAACTCCTTAATCCATGCCTTGTTTTCTATCCAACAGTGTTCGGTGGGCGTCGACCCTCATTAAAAGGGGAAGCCGCCGCCACCTCCGCCAAACTTGAAGTGGAACTGCTGGCTTCCGCCACCCCCCTGCTGGTACATAAACGGATGACCGCCGCCAAATGGGTTGCCTTGGAAGGGGCTGCCTTGCTCCTGGTTGTTCGGGTCGTCGCCCCGGTCGAACCGCTCGCGGAGCTCAGGGTTACTGAGCACCTCGTACGCCTCATTAATGGACGCCATCTTCTTCTCAGCCTCTTCTTTGGTCAGTCCCTGTTTCGCGGCCTTGTCGGGGTGGTGGATCTTGGTCAGCTTGCGGTAGGCTTGCTTGATCTGTCGCTCGTCAGCATCATGTGCCACGCCGAGCACCTTGTAGTAGTCTTTGGTTTTGCTCCGCTTGAGCGCGATCTGGGCCTTCTGCATCAGGGGCTGAACGACATCATTCTTGTCAGGCCGCGCGTTGCTGGCTTCCTCGAGTGACTTAATGGCCGCATCAAACTCTTCCTTCTCCATCATGACTTTGGCGCGATGCAAGAGTCCATAAAATGACTGAGGGTTGAGAGTGAGAGCGTCTTCACAGTACTGCTTAGCCTTCTTGCCGTTCATCTGTGTTGGTTGTGAGCATTGAATGATCAAAGTATGGTTTGCAACTTGGTTGACTTACGTCGTAGTAGCCCTGGCATGCCATTTCCGCCACCTGGATATATAGAGATGATTGGGCGCTAGGGGGAATGGTACCGTCGGCCTTGAGGTCCTCGACTTGCTTCTTGATATCCGTGATCAGGCCAGTCTCGTCGGCAGAGTCAATCAGGAGCTTGACACCAGTCATAGGCTGGTTCTTGTCGAACGCCTTGTTGACCCTGGCCAGAGTCTTCTCGATAGCCTTTTGTTGCTTCAGAAGCTTCCTGCAGGATTTGGAGTCGGGATCGGAGTGCAAGCACTTTCTCGTCTGGGCCATGCCGTTCTGGAGATCACCGAGTCCGTAGAAGGTAATAGCAGCGATCTTGACGTGTGGCGAAGTGTCGCCAGGCCTCATCTGTAGCACATGGTGCAGATCACTCATACCCTCCTCAACCTCACCTCGCTGGAAACGGCAGCGGGACCTCATCTCGCGCAGGGAAATGGCCCGGTTGGCGATCATGATGGCCTCGCCGGCATGCCCTACACATGCCTCCCAGTCGCCACTCTTTTCGGCCATCTCAGCAAGACGAGCAGCACCCTGTGCCTCATCGAGGGCGACAAGTTCGGGCGAGGTGGTATCCTTTTTGGCAAGCAAGTACTGTTCTCTTGCGCCGTCCCAGTCCGCGGTCTTGGATTTGATCTTGGCCAGCTGCACATGTGCTCCCTCAAAGCCGGGCTTGAGCGAGAGGACCTTGTTAAAATCGTCGGTTGCCTGGTTCGTGCGGCCGAGGGAGAGGTAGGTCGTCGCGCGCTTGAACAGCGTTAAGTAGTTGGAGGGATCGCGGGCAACAGCGGCATCGTAGTATACGAGGGCATCGGACGTCTGGCCCTTGGAGAGGTAAGCTCGAGCGGTAGTCAGGAGAGAGGACACAGGGGTGTCGGAGGGGATCTCGTCGGCGGTAATGGCGAGAACTGGCGACGAGAGAAGGCTGGCTGCAAAAGCCAGGGCGCAGAGGCGGACGTACATGGCTGGCGCCAGATGAGCAAACGAGAGGAACAAGACCTGAAGACTATGGGCAGTGGCCACAACAGATGAAGAAATGGACAGGTTGGAGGAAACAGGAAAATTAAGAATGAGAAAAAATCCAGTCGAGGAAGAGGAATGTATGAACGGAGGGGGAATAAAGAAGGCAATTTGAAAAGTTGTCCTCAAAGGAAGCCGAGCTGTGATGGGATAAAAGGTACAACTGGACAGGCTGGCCGTAGGTATGTGGGGCATGTAGTCCTTAACGGGCTTACAGTGGCACAGCCCCTGTCTTTATTGTACACTCCAAGCGCCATGCGGATAAGGACATCGGTGGCAGTCACTCGTACAGGCAGTACTTTATTAGCCTTGAAGAGCTTCTGCTATTCTAGTACGTACCAGAACTGGACACGCCAACCAAGCTTTCATCTCCATGTGGCTGCCTTCATGCTGGGGGCACCCCAAGGAGAACATAATCGCAAACTTATTCCGTCAATGCGACGCGCTGAAGTGTCCAGAAGATGCACTTAGATAAAGATTGGACCCACTTCGCGTCCCTGCAGGGGGTGGCATCTCCCGCTGGATGTCATCCGCAGGAGGCACGTACCCCACGCTCTTGTTGCCTGACCATTCATTATCCAGCCAGCTCTCATCAATCTCTAGTACCCTGAACCACCAATTGTAGACGGAAGTCAACATCGCAGTTCCTTTGACAGTAACGGCAACTCACTCGGCTTGTCTGCAACCTGCGGACTGCAGCCAAGAAGATACATCAAACCAGGAGCAAACTCCAAGTGCTGACTCGTATACCAAAAAAACAGCACAAAAAAGAAGAAGAAGAAAAAAGGACCTCCCAGAAAACCCCCCAACTCTGCATGAGAGAGACACACGACTCTCACCGCATCGCAACATGGCTCACCTCCCACCCTCAACCGCCATATTTTCGCCCTCAATAGCTCGCATCGCCGCCTCCACCGCCAAAGATTGGAGTTACGTCGACAACTGGCTCTCCTCGAAATACCAGGGCCGCTCAGTCCCTGCTTTCGAGCGCAACCCTGAGACGCTAAAAGCCCTCCTTGTGCTGGCCAACTCCAACGAGACAGCCGATGATGAGCGCGAGCTAGTCGCCCGGGCCGAGCTTGGCGCCATCCAAGAATCCGCCGCCGCGCGGGACCAGTCCGAACTCAACTCAGACCTATCGACCTCCGCCACCGCCCGAGAGAGGATGCTCGGCGCCGTCCAAGATCACCTTACCCGGGAAGGACGCACCGCTCTCAACTCCATGGCCACATTATCATGTGAGCTTTCAGTCGCCTATCCGGATGCCGAAACCCTCGGCCGCTCAATGATCGGACTACACGCGGAAGCGTCGGAGCTGGAGCAGATGAGAGTCCGCGTGCAAATCCTTCAAAAGTACATTGAGCAAGAGTCGGCCGCGGTCGACGAGTTGCTACGGACCTTGCGCAGCGATGATTACAAGCCCGCCAACGAACTGGCCCGCCAGAACCTAGAGATGCAAAGGAGGGTCAAAGCCATGGCTGCGCGAATCCCTGAGCTCAGGGACCGCAAGTCCAATCTCAATCAACATCCCGTTGCTTCTCATCCCACGATCGAGCAGATAGCGCAGGAAGAAGCAGATTATCTTGGCCTCTTGGCCCAAAAGAAGGGATTAGACGAAGAAGTTGACCAATTCTCTGGCCTTCCTGACGATGTGAAGTCGGCCAGGGCCGAACTCGAGCATCTACGCGCAGAAGTTCACACCATCACACACCACCGTGACGCCATCTTTGAGGGTCTCGTTGAGCGTGAAAGTCCTCACAAGGGCCGTTGATGACAATTCTCCTTCTTTGATACGGTCTACAATACAGACACAGACTGATTTCTATCTACTTGTGTCGAGGGGTATTAGAACAACTATTCGCTAAAGACAACTAGCCTTATGCGGCAGGACGTTAACCGGGCCGCTTTCCCCTGACTGCGCCTCCCAGGTTTCTAATCTGCCTCATCCCGAGACCCGACCTCTTGACCGCCGGCGGTACAGCTGGAGGAAGGGGGTCCTTGATGGGGACCGGTGGCCCACTTGGATTACGTGCCTCTTTGGGGCCTTTCGTCTCAAGACCATCCCCTAGGCGCAGATCTGCGACTCCAAGGCTGCTTCGACCGTCATCGACGTCGCCAGAATGTCTCTGGGCTCGCCTGGCCCTTTCTTGCACGGTCCGAAACTTTTCAAGCAGCTCATTCCATCGGATGATGCTGTCTTCCCGGCTCTTGAGTCTGTTCGGCCTGTCGTAGGTTGAGCTGGTGGCAGAAGGGGGGCTGCTGTGAGACTAGTGTTAGCTAATATCCCAGGTTTTATATGTAGTCATACCATGTCACGGCAATGATCCGTGTCTTTGGATGAGAGAATGTGTAATGGATGGCACTTACACTTTGGGAGCAATGTGAAGGTAGCCGATGGAGCTGACAGCGTTCAGGCGGTTCTTGAGGGCAGCGAAGGCCGAGGATTGTGGGAGAAGCATCAAGAGACCGTATAGACATTTGTACAGATGAGGGAACTTCTCCGGCTCCAGCAGCTGCAGTCGAAGGTCTTGGGCACGGCACATTAGCTAATGAATCAAGGATCAATGGACCTCGAGAAACTCACAGGTGAACACAGGAGATTCTATCAACTGGACCAGCTTGTCGATCTGGATGAGAATGTTCACCGTCATCTCCAACTCGGCACTATTGTCTTCTGGTTAGCTCGATACAAGATGAATGGCGGCGTTACAAGGACTCACAAGATCTGTAAGAGATTGTAAGCCTGCTCGTAAGCTTGCGCTAGTAGGCAAAGGGAAAATGTGGCGACAGCATTGTAGCACCACGAGCGAAAAAGGGCGACAAAGAATGTTTGGCCATCCTAGACATGATTTGTGAGTAACTGACGAATCCACAAGGGGCTGACTGGTTACCTTTGACTCCAGATTGCGAAGTCTCTTGCGCAGTTCCGACAGCTCTGGAGCCGTGATAAGGTTGTTGTTCAGATTCTGGACCATGATGCTGGCAAACTCAACATCTTCCTCCTTTTCAATGCAATCTGCAAGCGTGCGATAGATCCGCTCTGCGCTTAAACTGACGCAAAGCTGACGGATGATAAGGTTGCCTCGCGTCTCGAGCAGTTTTCTGTCGGTAGCAAAGAGCTGCAGTAGGTTCACCATGAAATTGGAGAAGTAGTCGTCTTCGCTGTTGCGAGAAATCTGAGAGAGAAGCTGCAGGTCCTTGGTAACAACGGCTTCGGCTGGATCGGAGAGCGTCTTAAGCAAGGCAGGGAAAGTTCCGTCGTTGAAAGCGAGCACCTTTCTAGGGGCCTTCCTGTGAAGCATAATCAACCACGTCAGAGCAGCAACCCGGGTCGCCTCATGGTCATTGAGAAACAGAAGTGTCAAGGCATTAACTGCTGCGGCATAGTCCAGATCCACTTGGGGATGGTTGCTTGCATAGGGCGGGTTCGGAGTCGACAGAGAGCGGTTGTGGCCTTGGGCTGGGGTCGGGCTTCTCAGTTCGAGGTCTCGCGAACTAGATAGAGAAGCCCGCGCACTGGATGGCCCGTCTTGTTTTTCACCAGAAACTGGAATGCGTGAGGTAGATTGAGAAGGGCCGCCGATTTCGGGTTCGTCGGAGAGGGAGACCACGTAATCCATCAAGCCAGCGTTGACACGAGCAGCAGCTTGACGGATAGATTCAACGCCGCTGGCCATAGCAGGCAGCATATGAGCCAGAATCTTTGGAGTAAACGGCAGCACTTCCTCCGGGCAGATATCCAAGAACTCAACGATCCATCGTAGAGACTCCAAGAGAGAATCCTCTTCTATAATGTTAGTCAGCCGTGTCCACAAATGTACAGACTATAACTCTTAATCGATTTGGGGAGCTTACCGAGAGGAGAATCAAGCGTAGCGGTCAATATCTCGAGTATCTTTCGATAATTAATCTGGACGTCTTGACCGGGTATCCAATCTTCCTCGCCGCTGCTCTCGCTATCGTCGGTCTGGGAGTCAACCTCATCACCTTCTTCTGGGCCAATCTGTACACTACCCGAGTCGACCGACTCTTCACGCTTGCGTTTGCCACCCTCGCGTGACTTTTTGCTTTCGGCAATGCCTTTTTTGATCCTAGATATTCTCTTGATCTCGCTGAGGAACTTATCAAGGCAAGCTCTTGTTGCAACATGCACATCTCTGTTTGGGTCACTCAAGAACCTGAGCAAGCCTCCTAAGAAGTCGGGAAGGAAGGTGACGAGTTCCAAATCGGGAATGGAATCGAGCAAGGTAATCCAGCCCACCAAGAATTGACGAGTGAAGGGATTGATGACCCAGATGCGCTCCTGGAGAAGGGGAATAAAGCGGCGCAAGGAGAACGCAGTGGGGGGAGGAGGGCGATCTTGGAGCTCATCCTTGTCACTGATTTCCTGGCTCAGCTCTCCCTCGAGGACGGAGACGTACGAAGCAGCCGATTCGGAGACAATGTCTTTGATGAGGCGGTCGAGCAGCTCGGCACCGTTTTTAACGGACAGCTCAGAGTCTGCTCCCAGCTAAGGCACCAAGGTCAGTCAAGAACGCGCATGGGGTATTATGGCAGCAGTGAGGGTGGCGGCATACCTTGCAGAGGGCGTCAAAGATATCGTTAAAGTAAATCAAGATCTCCCCCTTGGCGACTTTGGCGATGTTGTACATGGCTTCACATGCGTAGTATCTGACTCTGGCATCTTGATCGGTGAAGCATGCAAGCACTGGTGGCACGATCTTCTCGAGATAGCGGGGTAGCTCCTGGGAGAAACGTCAGCGACACTGAAGTGAGCCGAGACTGGAAAGAAGGGGCGGGCATACATGACCAAGAGCAATGGCAGCTGCAGCCAGGCCTATCAAACCTCCATTCCGGGCATGGGGCTGATGGACGGCATATGCAAACTCATTGCAAAGCTGCTCGAGGATGGCCTGGACTCTAGGGTAATCCCTAGTCACGACGAGTTCACGGATGACTCGCTCGAGTCTAATGAGTTGTACGATGTCAGTATGTTGTCAAGTGGGAGAGGTGTCAATGGGGTTCGACAATGAGTGAGGTGAGACGTGGTGGTCATGGTACGAGGAGCAGTGGTAAGTTAGAAGGGGGGTTGGTGAGAGACGTACTCGAGTGCGCCAACCTTGCGCTTGTCGTAGAGCTTGTCGTTGAGAGCTCTCTGAATGCTGACGTCCATGGTTGATGCCGAGGTCGAGACAACAGCAACGGGATCATCTCCCGATACGTCGTGTCGCGGAACTGAAGCAGAGTTGAGTTGCGTCTGCTAGTCTGAGTTGGGCTGAAAGGGTGGAGGATAAGCTGAGTTCCAAAGTCGAGCGGTGTTGAGCTGGGTTCACTCCGGGGTCTCAGTAACGGTACGTAGTCGCTAGTGGGGCAACAGGGAAATGCTAGGCGAAAAGATGGTGGGAAAACAAGAGCCCCAAATTTCCAGAGTAATCAGAGGTTGAAATAAAAAAGATACGATGGGCTGCTTGTCGACGTGGTGAGGCTGCGGCCGGGCACGGACGGACAGCAGATAGAACAGGCAGATACACCGAGCAGCAAAAGCAGGCTCGGGATGTCGAAAGAGGCGGGTGCAGCACTAGTCGCAGAACGAAACAGAACAGCAGGCGGCAGATGCAGACGGCGTGTGGCGTCACGCAGTTGGAGGAGACAAGAGGTCCGATAGGTCAGGGCACTAGTAACAGGGGGGTGCTTGCTCCACACTTCTTTTTTCCTTGCCCGTGTTGTCTTTTTATATTTTACTTCTTCCCCACCTTTCACCTACCGGCCAGATCAGTTGCCGACCCCTCCCCCGTTAAGTGACGTCCCATTTAGTAGCTGAACTAGTTAGCAGTTACATACAGCTGAAGACCGCTGAAGACCGCCGAAGCCGGTTCGCAATCTCTCTCAAAACAATGTGGCTGGGCGACCTTCTCTTCTCGCTAAATTACTGAGGCAGCGAGGGCACCAAGGCGCTGACTTCAAACCAAACTCACTATGCACGTAAGTGTTCGTACTCCCTAGAAACAGCTACCTTTCTGTTGCTTGAGCCAACATCGTTATGTCTACGCTACTCGTCCTTGGCAACCTCAACCTGTTTATTATAGTCAAGCGTCTGACTGAGTTGGTACTTACACTCGACCGTGCCCCTTCTGTCCACCGCAACCTCTGATCGACCTTGGTTCACCACCAACACCCTACATGGTATCCAGATTCCAGGCAATTTACCTAGGCTAGACGGCCTTGGCACGATGTTTAGGTGGCTATGCTCAGGCCACGTCCGCATGTTTGATGGCTCGTTCCGAGAAGCATGCTTCCTACGAGCGTCCTGAAGAACTACACCTTGTCTCTCTGTTCCAGCCGCCTATCATCACCAAGCCTACCCGCCCACCTCATCGCCCTTGTCGCAATCTCTGAGTCAATCTCATGGCGACCCCTCAAAGCCCAATGTAGCTACAAGGCCGGCGGGGCTACGGCAATCTACTTCCGAGAAGGCGACCTACATAAGCAAACTTGGCAATTGCTTCTGTCATGCGTATATCGAGCCTGGTCCTATTGCCTCGTTTTCCTCCTTGTCTGCCTCATCGACTCGGCCGCAGACCTTTGTACTTGATATGATGCTGAAGCACTATGACCTGGAACGCGGTCAAGGTTGTAGCTGACGGCATCGTCGAGAAGCCTCGATATCAGCCTTGTCTCAGTGCGCTACGCTGAGAGTTCGAACAGCAGGGCTGAGTCGGGCTTCCCTATGAGACGTTTCTGAGATGTCATCCTACACCTCACCATGGCCGACACCACTCTCTTCGTGCCGTCGTTTGGCCCCCCTGATCATTCTCTGATGCGATCTCTGGGCTGACGACCCAGGCATCGTCCTGCAGTCCGTCTTCCCGAATCGTTGTTCCTCTGGACCCCCCAAGCGAAAGCGTCAAGACGAAGCGTTCTTGATTGATCGATCAACAAGTCCAGCGCGACAGAGGGTCTGGGCAATCATCCAACTTCTCTTCGTCTGACGATTCCACACCATCAAGAGAATCCTTGGTGGCTGGCCCTCCCCTCGGAAGAAGAGGTGGCAGTTGGGTCACAAACAATAGTTTGGGCCAATGGCAACTTATCCCAAGTGGCAGATCCTGGTTTCCCGGGGCCAATATTGCAGCGCTCATCCCAGCCACTCACGTTGAATGGCTCCGTCCCCGAAATTCCAGTGGTTTGGGTCGACCTAGACAACTTTTACCCACACCTGCCCGCGGCATCGCCTGCGTCTGTGTTTGCTCGGTTTGGAGCGTCTTTCTCTCAGTCTCCTTAATCTCCTCTACTTGTGACTTCACGAAACGAATGGAGAATATGGCCTTGATTCCGAGCTACTTTGCCCGACGGCCCTGCTAGAACCTGTTGATATTTTCGATAAAAACTACGTTCTCGCTCTTAAAGTTTGGGTTCCGTCGTCCACGCCCTCTGAGGAGGCCCAGATCTCTCATGTTGGAGCACGAAAACAAGCTTGCTCTAATCCACGACATGTCATTTTGTATCTGCTTTGAACCCAAAACCTCTCCTCCTTCCACCCTTTGGGAGACAGCAAGCCCCTCATTTCTGCCTCCCGTCCTCCTGTCTGCTTCCACCACTCGACTGGGCCCCTTGCTGCTCTCTGTTTGATGCCTCCCTGTCCCTGTTCGCCTGAGCGGCCATGGCGGCCCGTTTTGCAAATTCGTCCTGCTCATCCGGTGGTTGGTCATCCTTGCGAAGGCTCACTACCTGTACTCCCGTCATCTCGAGCACTTACTTTGTCACCCCTAGCTTTGCGGATCCGAGCCGCTGCAGCGTCGTCCATTTTACTCTTGCCCATGGGCGAGAGCTCTGAAACCCCTTTGGTGGTTCTGAAAAGACGGATTCGCTGTAGATTTGCAGAACTAAGTAAAAAGTGTTAACAAGTGCTACGTGAAGCGAGGTTCCAGCTGCAAAAAAACCCTTTCTGTCGTGTCTCGAAAGCGAGGTGCAAACCTGACACTGGGTTCTTAATACGGAAAATTCATGCGATGTTGATCCTTGGAGACGGAAGTTTCGAGGGCGAAGAATATTGAACAGACAACAGTATCACATCGTGTCGAGTCCCACCAGTATCTTAAATACTTTCCAGGGTCTGGTCCTTTGATGGTCAGTGAAGGCATGAAAGCACAGCAAGTTTATCCCTCTAAGCTTCGACCAGCGTCTACCCACCACTCTCACACCCTCGGCCAGAGGCGGCCCTCCGGGACCGAAAACAAATAGTATGCTCATACCTAAGCTATTACCTGCGTGGGGGTAATACAAACAAGGAGATGTATCTTCCAACTCAGAGCCGTCCAGCCATGACTATCTCGGATGACAGACAGGCATAGATGTGTTTTCTGGGGCAAAGGCATCGCTGAAAGAATCCCAAACGGTGGTGCTCTTGCTATGGTAGCAGGGGCGTGACCGTCAACTTCCAGTCAGAGGCCAAGTGGTCAATGGAATAACCATCCAAGACACTGTCTCGCTTCCCAGTCTCCCGACGGCTCCTCCGGGGAGCCGGACATCTGCCCGACCATTTCATGATTGACCGCTCCATGAGGCTTCTCCGAAGGCTTGCGTCCGCATGTTCATCTGCGTAGTCGGCCAAGACAGCCTTCCCGCTGCCGAACAAGACACACATACATAGGTGCTCCGTAGTTGCGTGCGAAACGCTTGCAGCACATCACACTCAGCGTTCCAAAGTGGCACCCTGACTACCAGGCATGGAGACGCTACCATGCACCTTCGGTCCTCGTCTCAGACTATCATCATCCCGCAGCAACTATCCTTGGCTTACGGAGTTTGGCGGAGATGGATGTGGCCGGGGCGTGTTTACGGGGCAGATCACAATCCGAGGCCCTTGTCTCCTTGGCGGGGCCGGATGGCATAGCTCTGGCAGGAGGTACTCAACGAACGCAAACAGTCTCCCGCGCATATCTGTGGTTGCTCAGCGTTCAATGTTTCTTGTCCCAACACTCGCGGTTTGCTTTCCTCGCCTCCTCCCCTTTTCTCGAAGACACGATATGTACCAAAAGTAAAACTCAGTGAACGGCGGACCAAGAGAGAGCAAGATGGCGGTATGCGCACCACGCTTGTGCGCAGGGCATGACAAGAAACACGGATTCCTGTGGTGATGGTGAAGCTGGTTCTCATTACCTACTGCACCATCTACGTACTTACACATATCATTGACCTCACAGGTTATGTTCATGGCTTCGATGGACATTGTGGAGAGGCTCGGATCAGGTATCCCGGTCCAAGCCATGCGACTCAGCTCACCCAGTCACCACACAGATACAAGCATACACATCTGCATTTCATGAGAGATCGATTCATTCCTAGACATTACAGTCGACCTTGGCTCGAACACCACAGGCTTCAAGCATGTCGCATGTATGCATCTCATATGCCTCTTTCCATTCTCTACACCGGTGAAGACAGAGAGCCCTCTTCCACATCCCCGCGTTGTTTACAGCCAGACATCAAGGGACGCGAGGAGGGTGACCCGGAGAAGAGAGCCCGACGAATTAGATACGGTCAGTGACGATGGCCGCCCTGAATGTGATCGGCAGCAACCTTTTGGCATTTTGCCAAGATGGCCGCCTGTCGAGATACTTCCGCGAGCCGACCGATAACATCCTTGTTGCCATCGACGAAGCCGTACAGGGCATAGGGGATGCCTACGTCGTTGCAAAACTCCTGTATGAGCCTCTGCGTCTTACGCAGGTTGTGCCGCGGGATGCGTGGGTACATGTGGTGAACAACCTGGAACTGCAACCCCCCGTGAAAGAAATCGAGCCAAGTCGGGCAGTCAACATCCATGGTAGTGCGTAGCATCTTCTGTGGGAACGACTCGTGGGGGCCCAGGTCGGCCGTGCTCATGGCGAAGTGAGACAGCGTGATCTGGACGTGCAGCGGCGCTTGGAACATGTGGCTGACGATTACAAAGACGAAGCGGTCCCAGTTGGTAGGGATAGATTTGTACACGATGCCGTAGCCGAACCAGGCCCAGAAGAAGACCTGCCCGGCCACCTCGAGCCAGCGGTGCCACCAGGCGATGCCCTTCTTGGGGCCACGGCCCATTATGAGGTGGTCCCACGAGAGCCTGTAAAGATTGAATCGACCGAACAGCATGATGGGGTAGTACAGATACGACTGCAACGATAGGAAGAACTTGGCTGCGAGGTCATACTCCATCACGCGTTCGTAATAGGACGATGTCAAGTTGCCGAGGAACCGGTGAGACACGGCGAAGAAGGGCAAATGCTCAATATCGGGGTCGTGCTCAGGGGAGTTGGTGACGATGTGGTGCACGTTGTGGTTCCGCTTCCACCAGCCGATGGATAGCCCGCCCATAAAGTCAGCGATGAAGATGCCGATGCATGTGTCAACGTGGAAGTTGTGGGTAATGCCCATATGTCCAGCATCATGAGCAGTGAAGACCAGCTGGTGCCAGAAACAACCCAGGCAGGCGGCACTCAGGAAATACCATCCCCACCGCAGGAAGGTCAGCATACCGGAAAAGAGGAGCGTATACCGTATCACCTCGATGGCGTAGGCACGGTAGTCGCAGTCGTACAGCCCCTCGACCTTGATGCGCTCGTCAAGAAGCCTGTACTTGTGTACAATCTGCCCCTGTGTCTCTTCATCCAGGGTAGGGTATTTATCGAGATCAAGGCGGATCTGCTTGCGCGTCTCCGAGTCGAGGAAGGCGGTTCCGTCCATGTCCTTGTCGTCGTGAGCGTCGTCGGTAGCCGAGGTCGCCGAAGAGACGGATGCCGCACCGTGTCTGCGGCGTATATTATTGTCTGCAGTGTCGAAGACGGGGGAAGCTTCGCGGGAGCTGACGTCGCTGGGGGAGGAGGCGCCAAAGAAGCGCAGGGTTTCATCATCCTCGGCGTCGTCGACGTCGGGGCTATCCTCATCGAGAGTCCTGAACTTGCCTCCCTGGATAGGCGGCACAAAGTTCCTCCAGTGTCCCTCGATTCTGCCGATTCGATACCTTGTCATCTGCGCCTTGGCCTCCGGGGAGTGCAGTCTACAGTATTGGAAGCCAGGTCAGCTACTTGTGTCGAAGAGGACGCAGAGTCTGGAATCGCATGAAGGTGCATACACTGTGACTTCGTCGGTGGCATCCCGCCCGACCATGTGCTGGATAGCCTTGTCGCCGCCAGGGTGGTACGCTAACCACCCATCCAGCTTGACGACAAATTGGTCAATGATTGTGACGACTCTGCCCTGAGCAATCAAGCCTTCGACTTGGCGGCGTGACATGAGCGGGTATTCCCTCGTCTTTGTCGGCTTTCCACGTGACGCTGATCCCGCGGCTGCCGCAGGGGCATTGGCGGGGGTGGCCATTGCGATTGCGACAGTTTAAGATGCGACTGAGGCGGCAGAAATGGTTGGGAGAGAGGGATGAAAGGCAGCGGGCCGCTCGAGCAAACTCCTGGAACCCAATTGAACGAGTTTGGGTTGCTGGAGAGGCAGCTGCCGGAGTTGGAGAGTGAAAAAGGACGAAGGTGAACAAGGTAGTGTAGAATGAGGAAAGAGGTGCTGAGTGCTGTGCGGTGGTTCGTTGAAGCTCACCGCATGTTGTTGATTCGAGTGTCTAAGGTAAGCAGGGTCCTCCCCTATGCTTCTATTTGCACAAGTACCGGCGGTACCTTGGACCATAAGTAAAGCAAAGGGATTGACTCCCTTGGTACATCAATAACAACCCTTGTCTAAGCTTTGAACATTGGCCACACAAATAGTATACATAGGTGGGCGCGGCCGCGTGGAGAGCTGAGACAGGTCGAATCAAACAGATGGCATTTCCGGTGTAAGTGCACAGGACGGGGAGTATCTTTTTCGGGTGGTGTTCCAGGGATCTGCGGCAAAAACCCATCTCGATCTGTTTCTTGGTTCAGGTACTGCCAAAGCGGAGACGATTACCTAGTTAGTGGCCCGTCGGGTGATCGGAAGCCGCTGCAGCCCATTTGTCGTTCCAGGACACTGCCACTGCCACTGTCGGTGCTAGGAATCGTGTGAGAACCAGCGCTCGTCGGGCCCGCAATGGCGTGTTTCTCTGTTTCTCGTCCCATGCCTAGCTATCCGCAGTCGAAGTAGCCAACTTTTTCTCATGAAATTTGGGAATTGAGTTGGTTGAAATAATCAAGCTATAAAGAGTTTGCAAGGATCTCAACATAAGGTCGGACGCAGGTGGTACAAGAAGAGCCGGCACATTTTAGGGACTATTTGCCTCTACTAGGTATCTTGTATCCACTACTCTTTTCTCTTTTGTCCATGCTAGCCCTATGGTTCTCTCTTTGGCTCTCTGCGTTCTTCTAGTGACCGAGGTGATAAAAAGAGGATGGAGACAGGATTTTACTAAGACCACATGTGTCTGGCCGAGTTTTATCAACCGCGTGGATAGCTCGCTGAAAGTACGTGGTAGATTTCCAGGCCCGGGTGCAACTGTCAGATGCACCTTGACACTGTGAGCGTTACTCACGTGACTGGTCACATGTAGCCTTTTGACATCTCCCAAAGAGCATGTACTTCGCTCATGTTCCGCTCATAACTTGCACCTGCCCTACATCATATCAATACAGAAGCCGTTCAAGCTCGCACCATGAATTAGACCGGAAGACTGCAGGCCTGCGAAATCAGCTACACGACGTACGAGTGGCATAACCATTACCAACGCGGACACCCAAGCTCCATGGTCCTAGGAGCACTGCGTTTCGAATAGGGTTCGAGGCATCGAGGAAGTTTGGTATCCTCATTGCAGTCTCTAGGCACTTTCATGTTGAGTCTGGCTGACTGAACATCTACACCGGCTGGTTTGTTAGAAGATCCCCGGGTAAGATCCACGTGGCTAGACTCACCCTTTGTAAGGCTCGCCTACCTTGTCACACGGCAAAGGTACCTGGTGCTTTCCTAGGTGGCATAAGTGGAGCAGTCTGTGTTACGCCAACATACACTAAACAGAAGGCTCCGCTGAACTCGGCCCGCTTGTTCAGGGCTGGAAGCGTTTTGCTGCTGCGCTTCTGCATTGGCGCAGACGGGACGTTGTGATCGAAGGCTTTCGGGACACCGGGCAAGTTCAACTTCACGTGCTCCGAGAACTTGCTAGTGACAAAGTGAATGGTGATGTCCAGACTGTCAGATATGATCCCTCGCTTTTTCACCGCGGAAAGGTTCCCGTGTTCAGTGCAGGTGATGGGTTCAGCACTAGAGATGCAAGACAACGGCACAGACGCAGGGTTGCGCAGATGAAACCCGCAGCCAAATACCGTAATACAGCCCCATCAAGACCATTGGCAACTGAAGCCAAATTCAATGGCCCGATTGCTGCTTCCGGTTTGCAACAGTGAATGGGCAGTTGGCGACTGCAGGAGAGACAGAGTGACGACAACCAACTTAGCTTCTATAACATTGGTGCAGTTCGGCAATTCAAGGGACCAACAAGAAATCAGTCTTAAAGACCCAACAAAGGTGTTATGTGCCACCGAGTTGCCTTGAGAATCAGCCATGGCATGTGGGCAAGGGTACTGCGGGGTCGTACTAGCGACTCCCTGTCTTGCTATCACACAGAAGGCGGATGGCCCGTCTATTGCATCGATACGGTTCTACTTCTACTAACGAACCCCATGATTACATCGCGACAAGTGGTTGAAGCCGGGTTAACTGTTGAGACCTCGCCTGGCTTTCTCCCATGCCACGTCTCTGTTTCCTGGGTCAGACCCAGCCAGGGGCGTATCAAGGATATTCATGCTGTCGGCGCTTAGTCTCGTCGTGACTTCTTGGTTGGGTAACTACGAATTGCGCCGTTGGCCACAGCGGAGCCGGGCGGTTGAAGGCATGAAATGTCGATCGAGCTTATCTCGAGGAACATTCCAGAAATAAGACAGCTTTCGAACAAATCAAAGCCCATCATAGTTTTGATAGCGACTGAGACGAAATATCAAACCTTTGATTCGGGCTGAAGACAGATCTTTCCGATTTAACCAACAACAATGGAGCCGTTACTAGATCTTCACCAGTCCGTCTGGCTGTGTGCAACCAATATGTGGTTCGCAGTTTTAGCAATGGTCCGGAGCGCAGACGCGACCATAAGACGTGAGACTTGTGTGATGTAACACTTAGAGCTTTCGAGCGGAAGCAATGGCTTGGCGGTGGCCAGCTCGGCATGAGAGGCGATGTCCACACTGTCAATGTTTCCAAGATCTGAGCTTTCCAGCCAGTGTACCACAGCAAAGTTTTTATAAAAGGGGGGCGATGCCATCCAGTCTCTAGGCCTCTATCTGTCCCATGATATTGTGACCGTCATCCTTAAAGTCAACTCTCCCCCTCTGCTCTTCTGCTACTGCCTGGTATATACTTAAAGAGTGACGGCATTGTTCTCTTACTCGGGGCAGAAACGTAAGAGAGCTCCACTACTCTTGGTTCATTGCGGATGGCGTCAAGTAACTTGTCCTCAAATGCAACGAGGGCTGATCAGAAGGGTTGAACATGTAAGGCCGCGTTTTTGTTTACAGCACCAATTAGAAAGTCGTATTCCTCCATTGATACTGCTGAACGGCTTGAAAAGGGGACGAACCAAGAAATCCCGCGGATACTGTATAGGTAAATGTGTATAAGGGGTTGATTCCGTATGATTTGTAACCCCTTAACTGAGAACCACATGCCAGAAGTGCATGTTTTTCATGTGCTGTTACAGTTTGGAGGCCCACTCATAATGTTCCTCACCCGTTAAGGGCAAGGGAGTGACGCTGCATATACCCATATTGTATAAACCAACTTCGACTGGGCTGCCATCCACCAGCGTCAGGCGATGGCGGACCGTGTCCGAACCAGATATGAGTGGCAAGAAAAGAACGGTCACTGCAATACTTGACATTCAGAGAAGGGAGTGGTCAGAAGACTGAATGATGAGAAGTCGGACTTCGACCCTTGGGGCTCCAAGTCTACAACGCAATGACTATGCACTCTGCCGAGAATGGCCACTTTAGCTCTAGAGAAAGAAAACGATTCGGATTGAAAGAAAAGAACAAGAAAATAATGGAAGACTGATGAAGAAAGAAACGGGACTTGGTGTTTTAGCTAGAGAACCAATAATTTGCTAGCCATGGTCACATGTTGAGAACTTTTGACTCAGAGGCCTCTGCGACGTGTCAGTCTCAACACCTGTAGTTAAGACAACTGGTCTTTGGGGACGCCGCTGAAGAAAGAGGAACATGCTCAACATGTCGAAACCATCGGCAGCAAAAATTAAATTACTGCAGTAGTGTTTGGCTTTTTGTGGCCATGCATATGCCGAGCATTGAAAGACACGGAGGTTGCTCCAACGAGGGGGTGACCACGCGAAATTGAGAGAGTACTGGTTAAAAGAATTTATTGAATCACCACCATCCCAGACCAACGTCATGTGTGATACCCTCGTCCAGGGCCCGCCAGCGGCCTGACATCTATGAAACCTTGCCCTGTTGCTTTTGTTTTTGTTTGCTTAACTCATTTGCCAGAATCCGAGTACAGAGCTCCAATACCCCAGTACTGCTCGGCATTGAAAGTTGCTGCCTCGGCGTGTTTCCAGAGATCGTTGAAGGCTGAAAAGAGAATGACATCGCTCGGATGGCTTGCATATGCCTTCTTTATCGAGTCGACTGCCAGCTGCTGCTCCTCAAGACCAGGTACGGCAGCACCGTTGGCGTTTCCCTTCCACGGCCACCCAGTCTCCGTGCAGACAATGCGCTTATTTCTGTCAGAGAGCTGGGCCTGAACCTGGCCGACCATCCCCGTAATGAAAGAGCCTGCATTCTCTGCTGCTGTGTTACTGTCGAAAAATGGATGGATGTTCATTGCGCAGTAATCCGACGCATCGCAAAGCGAGGGGTTGGCAAGGACCGCCACGAAGGTGTCGACAGTGACAACAGGTCCGGTGTAACCGGCAGCGCGGAGAAGCTGGCGTGTCTGGCCTACGGCGGTGACCATTTGCTGCGCTGTGGCCTTGCCATTGTTGACTAATTCATTACCGACACTGACAGTGTCGATCAGGGACCAGTCACTACTGACGGCTGAGACAATGGTTGCGACCTGGGTTGGGATCGAGCTAACATCAAAGATGCCCAAGAAGAGTTTCACGCCGGCCTTCTTTGCCGCAGGAAGAGCATTGGCAATCTGGTTGCAATCGGTGCCGTAGGTGCGGACCACCGAGTATTTCCCCTTCAGTTCTGCAAAATCGGCATCAATCTGCCCAGCTGTTTTACACTGTCCACTTGCGGTGTAGGGTGCATAAGCAATGCCATTGAGGGTCGTGTTCGAAGCGAAAGAGGCAATCGTACCCTTGACATCTCTAGTGCCTATCTTCACATGTCAAAATCACATACTCAGGCCCAGTAATGAGGTTGGGTGCTTTCTTACCATGAGGGTGAGCGGCGGAGAGCCCGACCAGGGCAAGGGCCAGCGCTGAAGGGAGACCGGCTGACTTCATCTTTCAGTTCTGGTAGGGTACAGGTGTTGATTCTAGGCCAAAGGCGGGCAAAGGTAGGAAACCTGAGAAGGTAATAATCGAAACCCTTTTTCGAGGTTTCGGTCCAAGTCGTGTGGCTTGCTGGAACAGGATCGTTCAATGTTGGAATCTGTAACGACAGCAGAAGTGTGAGCTAACCAAGCTGAAAGAGAGTAGAGAATGGTAGGTTCAAATGAGCGACTATAACAAAAGCAAAAACATCAACAGAAAGGAACGGATCGCTGTCGAGACAGCTTCAGGGTTATACGAGGCCGACAACGACAGGCGACGATACAAGACGAACGATGAAGATTACAAGAGGAAGAGAAGGATAAGATGCGCCTGGCAGGGCGACATGGCGTAGTCAAGTAATATTTGCCTTTGGCCAGCCGTTGCTGCGACCATGGCGCCTGACCCTCTTGCACCAGCTCAACCGACCCATTGGAAGAGAAACAAGCGGCAGGAGCCTCGGTTTCCCTGTAACGTCGGAGGAAAATACCAAGAGCTCCAGGAACGTAGTAAAATGAAACCCGTGGGGAGTTGTGGGTGGGTGACGGGCCAAGAAGGGAGGAATGAAAGGGGGACAGAGGGAGATGGAGAAGGGAGGGTTCAGTCGTGAGCAGGAATGTTGGTCTCAACTTGTAACAAACGAGCAGGCGCGAGCGATGAAAAGATTATCAGGCACTCAAGGGACCTTGCAAGATCCAATGAAGCAACAAAGCCACCCGTCTCAAAACTTACCTCTCGAATCAGGTCAACCTGACTTGGGTTGTTGCGTTGTTGATGTAGCGAGTGCCGGTACCGTCTTGTCCTTATATTTTATGGCCGGTTGACTAAGACCGTCTTCCAGGGTCGTAGTAATGCTCTCAAATGAACCGTCTTTATTGTGTTTGATGTTTGATGTTCGATCCGTGATGTCGCTGTCGAGTTGGAAGAGGAACAATGTGTGCTTAGAATGATTGTGGTCAGGAATGTGGATTTTTGGCAAATCTTTATCTTACAACGTAGGTCAGCATTTGCACTGGAATCCTCGTTCCCCGGTTGACAGGAAGTCCCGAAGCCTAGTTGAAGAGGCTTGTTCGTCGACTTACAGTGAGGCAAGGCAGCGTGATGGATAAGGTTGCAATCTTCCTGTTTCGTTTCGAATGGCTTTGTAAAGGAACGGCGGTCTGCTTGTGAAAGCAAAGAGTAGTGACAAACTGATCTTGCTATCAAACGATTGAATGAGTGCGTAAGGAGACCGGGTGGTCAAGAGACGGCAAGGACCAACATGGACGAGCTATCTTATACCAAACGAAACGAGGCAGTAGATCCATACATCCAAAATCTAGACCAAGACTCCCCGCCCGCTTCCCGTCATGGAGAAAGAAGCAATGGACCAAGCCCAGAATGGATGCATCCTTTCAACCCAACACCGAAGCCCGGCGGCCAAAGGCGGTGTCAAACAACCAAGAGGCGTGCCTTGGATTACACACCTAGACGGGTACCCGATCCAACCGCAGCGTAGCGTACCAAACTGACTGGGCCATGCTTACCATGTTGTGGGCTTTGATCTTGGTCGTCCTACGCCTTGGCACTTCGTGGGACACAATGCGGAATCTCCACCTCACAAGCCGCCAGCGTTGTCGAAAGAGGGCAGGAAGCGGGTGATGGACCGTGTCTCAGCAAGACCCGATGGTGGTCTAGAACGCCCAGAGCGCCAGAAGCCACGGAAGCTCCGATTTCTTTGGCCGTCCCAGGCGAAAGGAGGAAAAGAAAGCAAAAAATCGACAGAGGCTAGACCCTCAGGCTGCATCTCTCGAGGTGGCTGGTTGTTGGCGGCGTTTGACCAGATAGCTGGATACAGTCGACTGTCCCCGATGCCGGATCCGGCGCCGGCCTGGCTACGGGAAGTGGGCATACGATCTTTCGTCTCTCCCGTCCTTGTCTTTGATGGCGTGGCCCAGCCTTTGTTTGCCCTCCTGGTCTTTTGTCTGTGTCGCTCTGCATCCTGAGTGTCATAGAACTTGTCACAGACATCACCCGAAGCTGTCTTGCTGGCTACCGAATCATATTCTATCAATTAGTAGTATGTGTATGTCTGTCATTACATGGGAATACAGCAACTCTGCGGGGTATTCGAGCACCCAACTGCCTTGGTGCGACCGGCTGTCCCCTCGGTCGAGGGACAAGGTGGGAAAAATGTACACCGACCGCCTCCCGGCGTCCTCTATCTTGAACACTTAGTCCGAACCTATCTGGCAAACAATGCCCCTGGGGACACGGCCATCCTTCGAGTCATCCAGTCTAGTACATGTCGTAACGTACTTCGGGTCCTAATGGGGACAGCGTTATGATGATTTGGAGCTCGACTTCCTAGTCATAACCTTGGTGATGGCGTGTCGAATTGTCACACCTGCCTTCTCAATGTCCTTTTTCGGCAAGCCTGTGGTGATGCACACCTTGAGCGCGGGCTGAATCTGCCAGCTGTTGTCCTTGGGATCGAGGTTGTTGGCAATAGGCATGCTCTTCAGACGCGTAATGAGAACCCCGTTGGCGAGCGCCTTGAGTGTAAACCAGTCAGCAATGACTTCACAAATTCGGTGAATGCTACAACTTACCTCATCGACGCAGTCCTGCAGCAAGCGTTCCTGGTCCTCCCTCGTCAGCTTGCGTGCAGCGACGACCTCAGCCTTGAGCACCAGTAGCATGATGGGGTTCTCGGGCGAGCTCGTGCAGACGACCCAGTCGCTGCGAGGGTCCAGTTGCGCTCTCATAGCTTTAGTGTTTTCGCGACACTGCGTGAGGATATCCGGATTGGACTGCAAAACACTAAGAGTCTCGCTGGCCGTAACAGCAAGCATGGCAGGCAGGGCGGCGGAGAATGTGTAGGACGCCGCCGTAAGGCGCTGGTGTTCGACAACATCCTTGGCACCGGCGCAGAAACCGCCGCCAGCGCACAGAGGTCCTGCGAGGGAACCCGCGATCATGTCCACCTGCGAGGGGTCGACGTTTTGTGCCTCGGTAAGCCCGCGACCAGTTCGGCCGAGAACACCAAATGACCATGTCTCGTCAAGAATAATGCGGAACCTGTACTTTTCCTTCAGTTCGACCTGCAAGCCTGTTAGTCACCATGTTGTCTGGGCGGCCGGTACTGATGGCGTCCACACGGGCGCTCTACTTACAAGTCGAGGCAGGTCGGCACTGTCACCAGTTGTCTCGAACAAACCCTCGGAGACAATAAATCTTCTCGTCAATTTCTTGCCCTTTTGGTCCTTGACCACTTTTTGAATAACGCGCTCAAGGTCGTCCATGTCACCATGGGCGTACCACTTGATGGTGCTTCTGGAGGCCTCCATCCCCTTGCGAATGGAGTAGTTGACAGCACGGTCGGCGACAATAATGTCTCCACGTTTACAAAAGGCCGGAATGACACTGGAGATGGTGGAGAAGGCTTGGGCGTAAACGATGCAGGCCTCTGTACCAAGATAAGCGGCGATATCTGCCTCGGTCTTCATGTGCACGTCTTGGGTGCCATAGAATTGGGGAGGGCCGCATGGACCGACGCCGTATGTGCGCAGCGTCTGGATGGCCTTGTCCTTGATTTGTTCGTTCGCATTGAAGTTATAGAAGTTATACGAGGCAAGGTTCGTGACGGTGCGTCCGTTTGCAAGTTTGGTTTTAGGCCCGGTAGGTCTGGACGTAGACTTAGTGAATCGTTCCGAGGGAAGGACATGAAGGGGGACAGCCATACCCAATAATGACAGGCAACCTCTCAGCTTCGATCTCCTCAAGTGTTGTTTGGGGGGAGACGAGGGGCTCGGGGGTCCAATCTTCGACCAGCTCGTCGATTTCCTAGCAGATAGCGTTAGCATTCACTCGGGCGTCAGGATGTAGAGGGTACGGCTGAAATATGAAGGAAGAAAGGCATTCATGCGTACATCGTCGCGTAGTTTGATAAAGTTCTGCTTCTGGGTGGAATAGGACGGCGACAGGAGATAGCGGACGAAGAATATGAACAGGACGAGCTCGATACCGGATCGGATGGGATCGTTCTGGTAGCTCGACTGGATGTATCGAATGAGGACGGCGGATCCAGGCACTTTTTGGAAGGCCTCGGAGGCCTCGTGCAGCCAGGCGATGACCTTCGTCTGGGCTTCGCCGGCGTCCATGGTGACTTTGACGAGATACGACTCGAGGAGATGCCAAACAGTCAATTGCGCAGAGTCTCTAGACAGTGTACGGCGATGGATGGGAAGGGTCGACGCGAGTTGTAGGTAGGCGGGTGGACAACGACCGAAGAGCCCGGCGCTGAAGAAGAATTGAAGAAGCAGTCTGGCGTTGGACCGGGGTTGGCGGGTGCCCGCAGATGTACTAACGGGACTGTGTACTCTATACTCGCTCGCTACCTCGCGGAAAGGCAGTCGACCACAAGGAAATTCGATCCAAGGTTGTTGTCAAACGAGTCGAGGTACAATACGAATGGAGGTAAACTGGTAAGGAAAGCGACGCCAGTAGCGCATATGCCACAACCCCCAGAGGTAGAATCACTTCACTTTGGTCGCTTCGTCTATGAAGTACGCTCAGGTACCTGGATGCTAAAAAAGGCCCAAGTGACAACAACATCTGACGCGGGTTTCCCCCGAGCGCGGCCCCTGTCCAGAAGTTCCCCGTCTTCTGATTGGCTCGCTAATGTTTGCGACTCAGGGGCAGAGGGGCACATGCAGCAGCAGCAGCAATCTTGGTGCACTACTGCCGCAAGAGTGTGGCTCCATGGTAGCCTTTCTCAACATTACGGCATTAGGTAACCGACGGCATGTTGTGACAATCAGAGCAAGGCCACCCAAGCTACAATGCGTCTGCCAACTCAGCCAGTTTACTCCATCTACTCACCTCGTGCCATGACGACTGCTGCCGCATCTTTCGCTTCACTCATGACAAGGTGGACCTTCTTTTTATCAGCTAAAAATTTCACCAATGAGCTCAGATATGCTTGCAGAAGAACACATGCATCGAAAGCATCGATACCAATTCCCTTCCAGACGGAAAATGGAAGTATACTTTTGAACTTCTCAAAACGTGACTTAATTATACGCCCGTCCAGTCCTATTCTGGGCTATTGACGATGTACTAGTCTGCAGGTCTAAAACAACCGTGATTCCATGCCAGCTATATTTCCCTGCCTGAACGGGAAAAGAAACGGAAAAATGAATAGTTAACAGACGAAAAGACACAAGACACGCCGGACAGTGAACATTAAAATTCTGCCGACGCGGCCAGAGTTGTCGGCTCGCCGCCAAAAATAAAACAACCAACCCTAGACCTCTTGATAAACGACGACACGCTTTACTCCCCCATATGCGTTTATGGTACAGTCGCTATTAAAACAAGCGCACTCTCTCCGAGTTAGCCGTCGCCGAAGACGAGGAGCTAGCTGTCATCGTAAGATAGGCTCCCGAGTAACTCGGGTTTCCGGTACCGGTCTGGGATGACTCCTGTGTGTTGTCGTTGTTGTATTTGGTGGGTTGGATAAGGGCCAGCTCCTTGGTGTCCAAAAACTTGAAAGTATCCATGGGAATCATGTCGCCCACAACAGCAGGTCCGATCATGAGGGCCATGAAGAGTATGAACATGGTGAAGTAGAGGATGGCGTAACGGAACACACGCTTGCGCCTCAGCTTGGACTGCTTCATCGAGTAGATGGGAGGGCGAATTTGACGACTGGGAGATGGTTAGCATCCGCTTAAGCAATTCACAAGAGGGCTAGGAATGGAAACGTACCCAGGGCGCAGCCAGAAGAGCATCATCGAGTGCAGCATGTCGACCTTGGGAATAAGAATGACCGGCAGCATGATGAAAAGCAAAAAGTGACCCAAGACGAAGTCGGCCGCAAACATGCTCAGCTCCGTAATCTTGCAAAGGAACTCGCGGGCGGGTTGCGAAACCGAGTGCCATCCCATAGAGTACCACTTGCCCGTCCAGAATGCAATGTTGGCCGCGTCTGTCTTGATCTCACGTGTCAGGGTAAGCGATATGATCAGCTTGAAGACGAAACGCTGGATAGCAACAACGGCAATCATGCCGAGCATTGTCCGCGAGAAGACGAACGACTCAAGCAGGAACATGACCTCGAAGAACACAAGTAGCATGATCACGGCGAGACCGTGGGCGATCGCCGCAAGCACGCTGCCGAACTTTTTGCAGCACATGCTAAGGAGAGGTCCCATAAAGCAGGCCATGAAGAACATCATCATCAAGATGCCGGCATTGATTGCGACAGGGGCGAGCGCGATGACTCCGACTCTGATCAAAGAGTTAGTCTTCTTGGGTGCTTCAGATACGTTCTCGTTGTTCGCCGCGGAGACACCAGTCTGGGCGTTGATAAAGAGGTACGGGATGACGGTGACGGCGACGAGCAGCAGAGGGGTGAGAATCTCGCCCCAGAACATGTTGGTAATGGCCGCGCGCGGAACGTCAGACGACATCTTGGCCGATGGATCACCGAGAGCCTTGCGCTTGTAACCTGTAATACGAGTTCGAGACAGACGGCAGAAGGCGATCCAGGAGGAAGCGTGAGAGCGAGAATTGCCGCGAGAGAGCCATCGGAGAAAGTCGCGATAGTCGATGAAGAAATCGCTCCAAGCGAATTGATGCGGGTTGTACAGGAATGGCGAAATGACCAGGGCCAGAAGCGAGATCCAGAAGTAGACGAGCGCGCTTTGCCAAATGGTGACGGTGGCAAAGAGGAGCATCATCAGCAGACGGGATCCAAAGTAAATCGAGGGACCAGCGAAACGGGAATACAAGACACCGAAGGGAATGCGAGCAGTCGCAAAACCACGACCGGTACCAATGTACCGGGCACCGCCAAACGAGAGATCCTGCTGTACCGAATTGGCGTAAATTTGGCAAACAAAGACCTCGAAGAACGGCGAGAGGGATCCGAACTGCTTGGCGAGACGCTTGGCGGCACGCCAGACACCTCTCTCAGTCAACTCCTGGACCACCAGCGGAACGAAGGCCAACAGCAGCACGAAGATAATGGACAAGATGCAGCGGTACACCCAGTCCATGAGCGCGTCCGTGTTCTGACAGCCAGTGGGGTAGAGAGGGTCGGTGATAGGAACATCGCGGTTGTAGTTGCATGCCTTGGTCTCGTGTCGAAGCGCACCCAAGCTGAGAAGACAAATCATGAACATCTGAACCGACAACATAATGAACATGTTGTTGAGATGGAAGCCGGGATGGGCATAGTAAAAGGAGAGGAATCGATCCAGAGGCAGCTGAGTTCCGAGGTAGTAGTACTCGCGGGAAAGCATCTGCTCGCCCATACCAGTACCAATCTTGGTGGTGAAGTTGAGAATGGAGCCGAAACCCAAGTCACGACCCTTACCACACTGATAGTACTCGCAGTGCTTGATTCTGCCACCACGCAGCAGAGCGTTCATCCCAGCGTAGATATCTTCGTTGAGATGCAAGCCCTTCTGAGCCTTTGATACACCACCGCGGGTCGTCATGAAGATACCATTGAGGAAATCGGGGTGACCGTAGTGCAGTTTACCTCCAATTTGAGACAAGGTACGAGCGAAGAGAGTACCGAACGTCTGTTCCTTTCCGGCAGCGACGTCACCTAGGATACCGATGTTTTCAGAGAAAATGTACTCGCGAGCACCCAGAATGGCGACGGGGTTGGTCATCTTGTTCTTGACACCAGGAGTGTAAGGGCTGACATTATCAGTCTTCATCTCCTCGAATTCGGCCAGAACAGATCGGATTTTAAGGCATTCCTCGAGGTAGTTATCCTGGTTGGCGTCGATGAGCTGGATGTATTCGCCACGGTAGAAGATGAGCGAATGGTTCTGGTTGTCGGATTTGCCATCTCCCAAAATAGGGTTGCCGGAGAGTTGAATACGGAACTTGGGCTTGCGCATACCGTTCTCCATAATCTCAGAGTGGCCGTCGATGAGGGCAGAGTACAGACGGGGCTCTTCGCCTTCGGCCAAGGGGGGTTCCTCGTCGAGGTAGGCAATCTGGAGGTCGGGGTAGGCGCGAAGCAGGAACTCAGCGTTCTCCATCTCCTCCTTCTTGAACTTGGCGTAACGTTGCATGGACACGCAAAGCTTGAACTTGCGGCGGGCCATGCGTTCGAGCTCACGCTCCAGCTTGTCGGAGTTGCCGCCAAACATTTGAACAACCTCTGGATTCTCCACACGATACAAAAGCTTGATGGCTCTGCTATAGTTCATGAAACCAGAAATCGTGCGGTAGAGGGTCTGGAAACGGAGTGAGGCCCAAATACGCGTCCGGAGAGTGTACTCGGGTGCGGAGGACTTGAAACCAATGCAGTAGAAGGGCAGGTCGTCAATCTTGCTCTTGACAGTGTCCTTCTCGTTCTTCTCGCTATCGCCGTTGAACTGAGATGTCTCGTCGGCGAGGATCTTGGTGTCCTTGACGAAGCAGTCCCACTCATGAGGGTGAAGTTGCTTGAGGTACTCCAGCAGGGTAACACGGGAGTAAGGCTCATCCTCACGGATAATCTCACGCAGAGAAAGAAGAATCTTCTCGCTGTAATGCGGGATGAGAACAGTGAAAGTCGGCATGTTATCAACCGGGACGGGCTCTGGGATGGGAGTTGACAGCGATTGAGCGAAGAAGGACAAGCGTCGCTCAGCCTCGCTGTTGGTGGGAAAGAACTCCGTCTTGAATGAGTGATCTTCCTGAGAGACGAAGAACGTGGGTGCTCTCAAAGTTCTCTTGCCCTCCTGCTCCGAAGGAACCTGGTGGTAGAGAAGCTTTTGAACGTGATCGATGGCCAGCAGGTGCTCTCTGTACATGGAGATGACGATGGCGTTCCAGACCTGGGAAATGAGCACCTTCGGCTTGTACTTGATTTCCATGTCGCCAGTAGCGAGGATCTTCGAGTAAATACGCTTCGGTAGGCGCGAAAAGACATTCCTCCAGGGGGTCATGATGGAGGAACCGATGTAGAACGATCTGGCGATGGAGAAAAGGGCGTTGACCAGGACGTACCACAGATACGTGTCGAGGAAGAAGAAGATCAAGTCGGTGAAGGTCATCAATGCCAGCAGGACATAATGCTGGTTCTTGCAGAGGATGTCGCCAAAAAGCGCGTCGCCCAAACATTCCAGCTTCATGATCGAGAGGTATCGGATGGGGTCCCTGAAGGAGAGGGTGAGGTAGACGTATGATTCTCCAAACTTGGCACCGAAAACCGCGACCCACAGACCGTAGGACATGGCCATGTCGTTACCCTTCAGTCGGGGGTAGCTGGCCGTAAAGGTCTGACTAGCAACGTACTTGCGCGAGTTCTTGGTCAAGTAGCTTCCGAAAAGACCACCAAGTGGCATGATCGAGTAAAAGATGAAGGTGATGAGCGCAATGACGAATTCGACGATGGCCAGAATCTCAGCGATCTTCTCGTTGGGGTTGGGAAGGACGAAGACGTAGACGAAAGGTGCGACGTTGATAACCAGGATTAGGAGCAAGAACAACAGACGTTTGGTCAAGTGTTGTGCGCCTGCCCATTTGCGAGGGACGTACGCCCACTCAGCCAAAGTTGCCAAAACCTGGATAAGCGCGGCGATGGTACCGCCAAAACCCATGATGGAGAACTGCTGTGCTTTCGTCGGCTGGTTGTTGGCCTGTTGCTCGTACTTGGAGCCGAGAATGAGACTGGGGGCGTTGGCTGAGGTGTAGAACCAGAACATGGTCAAATGAATGATCCAGATACGGTTGAAGTTAACAAGCAAGTGGAACCACGACCGAGTCTCCTTGTATGTCTTGAAGAAACATTTCTTCCAGTTGATGTCCTTAAACTTTAGGTAGCGCTCGGCAGGAGGCACATCGACCAACTTCGACTTGTCCTCGAGGACAATCTTCTCGATACCTTCGGGGTACCAGAAAAGCTGGTTGCAGTCGTCGTAACCGATAACCTTGTCGTGGTCACGCTCACGGCGAACGTAGACTCCGTCGGAGATCTCGTAACCCTGGTCTCTGCAAAACTGGTAAATGGGGGTGATGACGTTGTTCAGGAAAGTGAACTCCTCAACAGGCTCGACCATGTTCTGGCAAGCAGGGGAGTTGAGGAAGTCGTCGGCGCACTTGAAGATGAAGCACAAGCACTCAGGCATGAAGCGAACCTGGTTGGCTTCACCCCAGCAGAGAAGGTAGAGAGCGAGCTGACGGACACGGTCATGCTGGGACATGCGGTTCATGCGAGTCTTCCAGCGGTACTCGGCAGCCTCGAGACTGTTGTCGCCTTCAAGATCCTCAAGCGCGTCAGCCTCGTTCTCAGCTTCGCCCTTCTTCTTCTTCTTATTCTTGGCCTTGCGTCGCAGGCCCTTGCCCTTCATATTGGCGAATCCGACAGCGTCGTCCAAGTCCAAATGAGCAGCGAAGTACCACTTGCGGTAGTTGGCGTTGTCGCCGCCAATGTAGTCGGCATGGAGAGACAGCAGGGCCTGGTTAGGGGTCATGCGCGAAGCCCTCGAGTCCAGCAAGATCATGAAGTGGTCGTACATGTTACGCATGCTGTCTCTCTGGAAACCAAACTTGGCGCAGAGGTCGAGGAAGATGTCCTCGATCTCCTCCTTAGACAAAGGAATTTGAGCATCCGAGGTCCACGCAGGATAGGGCTCTCGTGACGCAGCCGACATCATGTTGGCGTAGTCCATGCCATAGTTAGGGGTCGAAGCGCCAGAAGAGCGGTTGCCGCCATACGAGATCTGGGAGGAAGGCGGCCTGAAACCACGAGCACCGCCCTGGTCGTAGCTGTTGTAACGCTCATCGCCGCGGCCGTAGTAGTCCATGTCAGTGGCTCTGGCCATGTCGGATCTCATGGTAAAGTCGCTGAAGGTCTCGGAATCCTCCTCGGAGCCTTGTCGGCGAGGTGCACCGGCGTAGCCCTGGTTGTAGTCCTGGTCGTAATAACCATTCGCATTGTGGCCATTGCTGTTGTTGTTGTTGCTGTTGTCATAGTAGCCATCTTGATACTGCTCGTTGTTGTCATAGTAGCCGCCGTCCTGGTGATAGGCGTTGTTCGGGTCGGCATTGTAGTATCCGCTAAAAGAGGTAAGGTGGTCAGTGGTGAGGGCTGGATTGCGAGAGCCATTGTCACTTACGACTCGTCATAGTAACCATCACCACCTTGCGGGGGATGGCCGTGAGCATCGTAACCGTTCTGATCGTAGTACTGCTGGTCATCCTGGTAGTAGGAATCGGTCTGTTGAGTACCGTTTCCGTGACCGCGGCCCTGCTGGCCGTAGCCGTCGTCGTAGTCCTGGTGGCCACTGCCACCAGCACCACCGGCTGGGTATCCCGACATTCTGGTAGATAATTATCTAAGGAACCATGTCAGTATAGGGGCACGTCAATCGATGGCGAGCGGCGCGTTCAAGTGAGGAATTTCTGTCGGGCGCGGGGAGGTTGGTCGACTAACCGTCCAAAAGTCATCAGGTAGGATGCGGGAGATGAAGGTTCAGGAATCAGTAGGAGGGCTGATGTAGGAGAGCCCAAACTGATGTGGCCGGCACAACGAGAGTAGATAGCGACAGTAGTTTGGGTCACGTTGGAAAACCGTCTAGTGGCTAGGCGGCGTAGAATGGTTGACCTTTTTTTTTTTTTTCGAGGAAGGGGGGCTGCGAAAGCAAAATCAAGCGACTGGCGTAGTTGGCTTGGTGATTGTTTTGTCTAGGTACGGTGCCAAACCAACGAGGTTGGGGAAGACGGCGCCGTATGCGAGGTGAGGTGCGTTGCGTTGCTGGAGCAAGCAAAGCACTCGCTACCTTTGCAGTAGTTCCTGAAAGCTTGACCAACTCCTGGAGAAGAAGGCGAAGCGATTGACTCGGGGGATGAGGTGTTTTTCTTGGTGTTTTTTGGTTTCGCGACTGCCTGGGGAGGCCGTCTCACAAACGAATGTGGTGAATTAAGATAAAAGGAGTAGTAGACGGAGGAAAGAAAAAGGGGTGACGGAACGCGGGTGGTAGAAGGTGCGAACCGGCTGTGTGTGTGTGGAAGGAAGTAAAAAAAAAAGAAAGAAAAAAGGCGAGGTAGACAGGTAGGTAGGTAGCGGAGTTGTGGATGTTAGGTGAGGTGGTAGCGGTGCTACGGGGGAGGTGAGCTAAGGCCTGTCTGTGTGTACCTCTGCACAAGCCAATACCCACGCCACAATACCAAAAACCAAAAAGGGGGGAGGGAGGAAGGATCGAGGATGGTTAAAGGGATAGGCAGGATAAGAGGAGGAGGGTGCGGCACGATACAGGACGTAGAGAAAGGATGGGGTGGGGAACGAGTAAGGGCATAGAGCAGAAGCAACAGCTTGCAACAAGAGAGAGAGGGACGGACGAGACGTGGATTGGATTGCTTGCTCTTCACCAATGAAGGGGAGGGAGGCTGGCGTGCCGGAACAGCCAAAAGGAGCACACACACGTTTGCAAACCGGGAAAAGAGAGGGGGGGAAGATTTCAAGAATCAAGGCCTGTCTGTCTCCTTTTCCCCCCTTCCTGTCCTTGCACAGGGACCCATCAGTGTTCTTCTGCTGACCGTGGCGGTCCCCAAGAGACAAGACAGGGCAACTGGACAGAAAGCAACGAAAGATAGGAGACATGGACCAGACCTGCAGCAGACAGGAGATTCAAGACAGGGATGGGCTCACTGGGAAGAGCAGCACCACCACAGCACACGCAGCGGGAGGGAACTGGATGCACCACGAAATCAAGAACCAAAAGGCATGGTCCACCTATCGTCCAGGGCTGATCTCACCTCATCCAGGGAAGTGCCCGGGTACGAATGGAACGCGTCTGGAGGTGGAGGATTTTTCCCTCCTTCTCACAGTTGGTTCTCTGGGGCCTGGGACGGGAGGCGTGGCTGTGCGAATGCATTCCTGCACGTTGACTGGTCAGACGAAGAACAGACAGGCCCATTTGGGCAAGGAGCCGGGGTCAACGGTACAGGATACACTAGGCACGTCGTGTCTGTGGGCGGAGCAAGTGGGATGGCTGGACTACCTACCTGCATGCACACCCGCACTGTGTACGTACTCGGTCTCTTGTCGGTGGTGCGCAACCTCCTTGGAATGGTGGGGGCATTTCAAGACAATCGGCAGGGTTGGCGAGAGCTGCCAGTGCCGCGGACGTTGGGGTTTTGACTGGCCTTGACAGTGCCAAACGGGAGTCTCTCGGACCGCTACACCTAAGGCGGACTTCCCATACTTGGACATGGGGGGTTGACAGGCACACAGGGCAGAAAACAACAATGGGAATTCCGTGGGATGCGAGGTACCTACCTTTTCTTCTTCGTCTTTTCTGGCACAGCACGGCTCCGTCGGAAGGGGGAGGGGGATGCTATGCCATACCGGGCCAGGCCTTGAACGATTCACCACAACGACCACACTGGCTCACGACTATGAAGATACATTTCTTAGTCTGTCTCACGGGTGCTCCCCAGCCAAGTGCTAACCCACCAAGTTTGGTGGTGTTGACTTTTTGACTCGACTGGCCTCTAGCATTTATACTTTTGCCATCATTGCTGGTTGTCCTGATGGCCCCTCCAATCCCTCCAGCAACTGACTCGGTGACATTACAGGGCTGTCTCCAGATGCATTCATCGAGACACGGCATCTACACAACAGAGTGAGTGTCTTCTGCCGGCGCCGTTTGATTGCAGATAAGGGTGCCTTGGATTCGTCTCGTTGCAGGCTCAGGGATCAGTTCCCAATCCCGCGTTTCTTCAAACTCCTCGCGGCACGCTTCGTTTCCAAGCTGCAGGCAGGTGAGATGAGAGTCGGAGATGGATGAAGGAAGCGATTATGCACATACTCAGTACCTTGGTCGACGGCTGTCTGACACTTGGCCTCCTGCCAACTGCTCACACTGTACCTGTTCTTTCGGTGATACGATGCGTGCTTAACCACCAAACTCACGAATGAACTGCTCACAGTGTCTTCTCCAACCAGCCAGCCTCGCGAACAGACAGATAGCACAGCGGACACTCACTTAATGCGTCGTCATTGAGGCTTGGCATTTCGCATCCTTGAAGAGCTGCGCTTCTTCGCCGCCTATACACTACATCCTACCTACAGTATGTACCTCTGGTCGGTGGGGCAGAGCGAGCTAATCCATCGATGTATCTCCATCGTCTCCCGTGATTTCCTTCTCGATTGGTCAATGACAAGCAACGTCTCAGTGATTCAGCGGGCAGAAAACGAAAGGGGCGACCGGGCCAGGGAGGCGATCTGGGATACCTCAGGGCAAGGCCGGGCGTTCCGGTACTTGGTGGGCCATGTTCAATTCGGTGCCATGTACAACTCGAGACCCTCGACAGTCGAGGGCGGATTGGGCGAGCGAGAACAGGCGAAGTGAGGTGAGGTACACTACTGGTGAGGGTTCGTCTCGTCGCGGGAGCGTCTGGTGTTTGGCCATCGATCCTTGGCCTGGAGGTACGTACACCACTCCGTCTGTGCCAGAAGCGAGGCAGGAGTCTCCAAAACCCAACTTTGCACTCTGTATACTGCCTACAGTACCTACATACATACTATGGTAGTGGTTATACTGCCACACCTGCACATACACCCAGGTGCCTGCACCGCCTTGCTAGCCGGCCGCCCTGTCATTCAGGCCTTTCCCTCAACTGAGGGCCAGCTCCATACCCGATCTCCCCCCTCCCTCGGGCCGTTGCGATTGCCGTCTCGGTCAACATGGCAGGAGTGAGATGTCGATGGTGGTGCTCTCGCTGTGTTGACGGCCATTGTGGCCGCCGTGATGCTTCTTGTAGGATTACTACCTATCGCTATCCTTAGCCGACCTTGGGCGAATATCCGGGCGACAATCACTGAGCAGCCAGAGAAGCTCCAACACTGTCTTCTCACAATCTCGTCAAACCCGTCTCGCTTCGCATGATGGCACAACCCCTTCCGCCCCCCAGGCCGACCTGCTTTACTTGCGGAATATGCCCCTGCTCGCGACGCCAGTGGTCCGTCCATACGTAGGTACACTACAGATTCCGAAGCCTCTTCCCACCTTCTCTGACAACCAGCCCACTTTCTACCACGGGCCTCGAGGGCTTACGGATTAGCCGTGTTGTCCCGATATACGTTACAGACTCGTAAGACTCGTAGAGTAGTGCCTCAACACTACAGGCACAGCGCGCTGCATCTCTGGCTTCTCCAGCCTTGTGCTCCGTTGTCCGAAAGCCTCGTGCTTTTCCCGAACCCCCGCCGTTGGTACAGAGTGCCGTCATCGTCGTCCGACCTCAACCAAGACGCTGGACAGCAGGAAAAAACAAGCTTGAGCAACACGGACTTTAGCACATGGTCGTGGGTCGGCCGACTTTTCGTCTCAAGGCGCGGCGCTGCGCTATGCATGCACTGCAACTACAGCTGCATACTGGTGGGCTCCCTACCTTTCTCGGCACTCCAACGTGTCCAAGGTCAGCGCAGACGAGAAAAAAAACCCGGCCTTTTCTTCTGCATGGATGAATTGAGTTGGCTGTTCCGCGTTTTGACCCTCGGCTTGAGCGAGCTGTCAGCTGCAGCTCGCAAGCAGAGACAGAGACGGAATTCAGCACACTTTGACCGCTTGAAGAGGTCGGATCAATTGTCAATGGGCCAATAATTACAGCATGCATGGTGAGAACGGGCACAAGCAGGTGCTGTAACAGATCCTCTCGGGAAGCGGGCTTGGCTAGCCCAGCCACAATCGAGATGCTTTCGACCGGGTGGCCTACTGCACGCCACGCGTCCACTCTGAATAGTCGAGGATGCGTTGGTACACTGGTGAGGGTCAATGTTCGACCAAGACTCCCTCGACCGACGTCCACCTATAACCTTCGCAATACATTCACGGGCGGAAGACAGCAACGTCGCAACGACGACCAATGCGCGTCTTTGCCGGTGGTGTGTGGCAGAGGGCCAAGATTTTACGGGTAAGGGTTTGATAAACGAGTGCTGCAGTTCGTGTCGGCCAGTCGTCGCACGCACACACCGCAGTACATAGGTTTGCCACCTTCGATTCATAACACACCTTGATCTATCTTCAGACACGAAGACACGCTAAGGGACACATTACACAGTAGCTCGGGGTATATACTCCTGGTTATGCGGATCACATTTCGGCCGATCTTCACATCAAGGACGCTTCGTGTTGGCGGCCATGGTGGTGTTCCCAACCCAGCAAAGCAAGCGCGTGCGGATGGATCAACACTGCTACCTAGGTACATAGGACATGATCAACAATGGAAAAATGGCGACCTGAATCAAACAATACCATGTTGGTCCCAAATGGTCGATTGTCGATAACGCCTAGTCCTGGTTACGGTTTGCAGTCTTGCGGTACTGCACGGCTCTGCGCTTTACGCGACATGTTCTCAAGATGCTCGATACTCGGGCGCTTCATAGCATGAGAGACTGTTTTTGCTTCCTCGGTTCCTTGTAGTAGCCTGACAACGACAGGCTTAGAAGACGACGGAACGATTGATCGATATGTTTCCACGTGGATGCGTAAAGTTCGACCTGCACTTGGGACCCCCATTGCTTGCTTCGCCGACCCATTGTTTATTTTCAGATTGCTCCATTTCGAATGGAAGTATGGAAGCTTCGCCAGTGCAGCAACAGTGGTAGCAGGCCAGTCCTGCTGTCATTGATGTGCCGGGTCTAGATCGGGTACTTTGGTAGGCAAGACGGGACGTGGAACCATGTCGCCGCCATGATTAACTAGGTATTGACAACGACAACGCGCTGCTACCTGCCACCCAAACTTATCAGTCAGTGTCAGCAACCCATTGGACTCGCATACCCACCGAACGCCGAACGGGGGGCCTCCGGAGGTTTCGAGGAGCACCCGTCTGTTTGGGGCAAAGAGGAGGGGAGGGGGCGAGAGTGGGGAGGTCGGGGCTAATAAAAGACCAAAACAGCAGGGAATGTTCAGGGCGCCAGCAACGAAGCAAGACGCTAACAATCAACACTGTGAGCATGGAGGCGATGTGGATGCGTTGTTGGATGCAGGTACCGGCCTAGAACAAGTCAATCAGAGGCCAAAGTCAGGAACCCCGACGCGGTGCAGTGCCGCCTTAGCGTCGCCGTGTCGGCCCCTAGCAGATGTCTGTCATTTCTTTTCGGACTAGCGCCACCGCCCACCCAAGCTCTGTGGTCGATGATGATGCCGTCATTTACACGTCCTTATATCCACTCTGTCAACAGAGAGTGGAAGCAGAAGGACGGGAAAAAACTACACCACGCTGTCTATAACCCACCGACGAGAATCGAACATCATGGGCACTCTGTTCTTGTTCTAAGCGATGGCGTGGCGCGCCAACGGCACCCGCCTTGCCTTGCTGTTCCAATGTCCGCGAATCCGTCAGGCTATGAGGTTGCAGCAACCTCGATCTGCCTGCGGTCTTCTACCTGCATCTGTCCAACCGCCAGTTGCTCATCGGTCCCACCGCTTCCAGTATACCAGCCGATATGGATCGATTCCCCTGACGGCTTTCGGGGTGCCCCGAGTATTGCTGATAGTCACATATCTTAGCCGAGAACCATATCTGCACCCTATGTACATTTTGCACACAGACAGATATTCCACATCACAGAACCCCACCATTGCCGTGCGATAAGACGGTCTGACATCATATCATCTTGTTGGGACCCAAGAAGCACCGCACAGCAACCTGCGCCGTTGTTGGCGCGTCCCATTTCTCCTGCACATCAACATTTCAATATTTCGACCTCGGCCAGCACCCAACAGCCTAGCGTCAGGCTAAGCATCCAGCGAACCTCAAATCAAGTCCGGGGGCCTGCCGTTCCACGCTGGTAGTGGTTGGTGGTTACCTCTCAGAAAGGGCCGCCGGCTGGTTCAGTGCCGGCCATTGGCTTTCGTGGCGCAATGGACAACGCCGTTCGTTCCTTTGGAGCGGTTTCGGTATTTCTTTTGTCGCCAACATTCAGGGGGGAGGGGGGGGCACACTTCTGTCCTTTGTCCCGCCCGGCTAAGAACAAAAACAGAAACAACCCGTTGTTTTCTTTTTTTCCCTTTGTCTTGCGAGAACACCATGTTGTGTCATCTCAGGGCAACCTACTACATAGTGATGTTTGTCTCGGACAGCACCAATACGATTCTTGGTGACCACGGGAAGGGTCCCCTCGTGTTAGATTATTGCTGGCAGAACGGCCCCCAAGCTCAGTCTGTCTCCCATCATTCGAACTTGGCCGTGCCGCGCGCGTCTTGCCATACCCTGACCGGCAGCATCCTCGCTCGCTCGCTACCGCTAGGACGGGTTGCCGCGCAGGGTTTTACGAGAGCATTGATTTGATCCGTGGCAAATTCACAGCAACTCAGGCCGCGCTGGCATGCTCCGTTGGCGGGCGCGGGTCTCATTTCAAGCACCTCCTTAAGCGTGCGTTTCTTTAATGCGCACTTCCAGTCCCCTTTTGCAGCCGCGCAATAGTGCACTTCCATTGGGGGGGCAGGAAGGTCCAATCTCCGCACGTGCCGATCGTCTAAAGAGCTCTACCGGTCCAGTGTTTGGAGTACCTGCTCCCGAAAGCACACCCCAAACGACTTGAAAAATAGCATACTCTGTGCTAAAGACCAAGACTGATCAACAGCGCTGCTCATCCCAAAGCGCATCGATGATCTGAGATGCATCCTTTCCCGCGTGTTCGAAACTCGGGACATCGGGGGTCCCCTCCGGTCGTGGAACATCAAATCGCCCCCCCGACCAGGGCTGTGCAGTATCAAATGTATCAAGCTTTAGCTTTACAGGGGGTCCTGTGGCCGGTCAGTCAAGGACTCCTGACAGCCTCGAAATCGGCCGTTCTTGGTCCGAACCGTGATTTTAAAAATGTAGCCGGATCATTGACACCCTCCGCACTGCAATGGCACGCTCGCACGCAGCCAGGGGTAGAGATGGATACTGTGTATCACGCAGTAGCTCGCGAAATTTCGACAGCCACGCATTCAATCTCCCATGTTGTTCACGAACGTGCCTGTTTTTCTCGATACGCATACGCATCATGCATTCGTACAGGAATGTCAGACTCAAGAATCGGTTGAAGGTCACGTGCTACAGCATCGCTGTCATCCTGTATCCATCTTCCTGACAATAGCCAACCCAATTGGGCAGTCTTCCAGAAAACAGGTCCACCGCAGCGGACGGTTGCCCCTCGCAACGCAAGCAGGGACTAATCTACCTGTGGCTCTACACCACTTTCGTGCAAAGTTGAGCCACCCGTAAGCTTGGAGTACATGCCAATATCTGCAACAGCATTCGTGCCGTGAAAGTTTCACCATGACCGGATATGTCGAATTTGCCTCGTCCAGTGAAGACGAGTTCCCCGACCTGGATGTCGTCCTCCAGAGAAGTAAACAAATTCGCCGGCCCGCCAAAGCACCAGCACAAGATACAGCGAGCGGCGATGACGACAATGTTTCCCCTTCGAGACAGCTCGAGGAGGAGGCTCTTCGTTGGAATACGTCAGCACCGAAGGGCTCTGGGACTGGGAAGCCGGTAGACTCGGGCGTTGCGCCGTTGACGGTGGTTCGGCGCCGTAAGCTCGGCGCAAAAACAGACAACCCTTTACTGAAGCCTTTTGGGGCGTTTGGAAAACTGAATGAAGGTCAAAACCTGTTTGATGTCCCAGCCAGGACCAGGAAAGCCCCGAGTACAACAGTCCGGGAGCTGCGCGCAAGGACTCGAGACACGACGCCGACGAATGTCCCGTCACGGGAAGCGGAGGATGAATCAGAGGACAGCGCGAACGAGCAAACGGAGATCACCGAGGCCGACATTTCCGAGTTCTTTGGGGATTCGCAATCAGAGGCTGAAGAGGACAGCACCCCGATTCTCTTTGAGCGTGAAGAGCCGACGTGGAACAGCCGTCGGCCAGTTCGGGGCCGTAGTCAACAAGAAACAGACTCGATGCTGAAGGACCCTCTCAGGGCCACGAGACTTGTACCGGACACTAACTTGCCAAAATCCAACCCGGTGAAGGATAGAAAGACTCGACATCAGTCTTCTACGAAAGGACGGGGCACCGAAAGGACGCTTGATCGGAATGTCGCCGGGCCAAAGTCTGCCGTCGTCGATTTGACTGACGATATGACTGACGCCCTTCGCCGACTGGGCATGTAAGATTCACCACCCAACTGTTTCCCGAAACATATTGACGGTTACATTGCAGCACAAACAAAGAATACCAGGGACACAACACAAACGCCAAAGACGATGTGCCCCCGACATCACCACCATTGACACCACCCAGGTCGTCCAGCAAGTCCTTGGTATCTCCAAATAAGCTCCCCGGCATCCCAAAGACACCTCACAGACCTAGTATGGACCTGTTCTGGAGCCAAGAATTCGTGGACGAGTGGAATGAGGAGCACTCCCCCAAAAAGCTGATCCTACCCCCAGCGCAGAAGAGTCCAGCAAAGAGTCCGGTCAAAGCAAAGGCAGGCAGGACAGAGAGCGCGAAGCAAAAGGAGAACAAGAAAGCGTTTGAGCAGAGAAAGCACGAACTGGCCCAGATGTTCCTCCGAGAACTCGACGACGCCATCACGCAGGGCAAACTCCAGGCCCTGGCCGAGTCTACTGGAGGCATCAAGATCAACTGGTCGGCCAAACTCAACACCACGGCGGGCAGGGCCAACTGGAGACGGGAGAAGGTCCGCAGCAGACTTCCCGACGGGACCGAAAAGTCCGTCTCGGACCGCCATCACGCCTCTATCGAACTCGCAGAAAAAGTCATTGACGACGAGCACCGCCTCCTCAACGTGGTCGCGCACGAGTTCTGCCACCTGGCCAACTTCATGGTCAGCGGCATCACGGGCAACCCGCACGGCAAGGAGTTCAAGGCCTGGGCGGCCAAGTGCTCGCAGCGCTTCGGCGACCGCGGCATCGAGGTGACGACGAAGCACACGTATGAGATCGACTACAAGTACGTCTGGGAGTGCACCGAGTGCGGGCTCGAGTACAAGCGGCACTCCAAGAGCATCAACCCGGAGCGCCACCGCTGCGGCTCCTGCAAGGCCCTGCTGAAGCAGACAAAGCCGACGCCGAGGGCGACGGGCAAGACGTCCGAGTATCAGCAGTTCTTCAAGGAGCAGATGAAAATCGTCAAGCAGGAGCACCCCAAGAGCCCGCAGAAGGAGGTGATGAAGATCATTGGGGAAAGATGGGCGAAACGCGGCGGGAGCAACCGGGCGACTCCCGACTCGGAGGACCAGTCGGCGTCGGTTTCCGAGACCAGCGTCAGCAAGATTGGTTCCCGTCTTGTTGACTTGACACTGTAACCAAGGGCTTCTTGGGGCGTTTATAGGTATAGGAGATGGGATTAGAGCGCGGAAACGTGATATCAATTATTTGAAGGAAAAAAAAATCTGATTCATTTCATCAATGTATGAGTTATTCAGGGCATGCCCAGCCGACTCTGAGACGGGGTAGCTTCCTTTTTTCATACCCAAGGTCCACACCGTCTTCTTCGCGCAAATAGAGTTCCAGCCGCCCCGAACGCCAGTCCAAGTGAGACGGAGAGTATCACCCACCCATTCATCCGCTCGCAGCATCCCGCGCGTTGTCATCATCCCGAGCCCCCTTTCATGGCCCTCTCTTTCCACATAGCTCAAGGCCGGCCAAAACACCGCGCCAGTCGATTCTTCTCAAACCTCCTGGAACAGCGTCCAGTCCTTGACCTTGAACGTCTCCCAGATGCGGGCGGCGTACTCGACGGCGTCGCCGATGAGCTTGCCCTGCTTACCGAGCTCGAGGTCGACGTCGGCCTCGTCGTACTCGCCCTTGATGTGCGGCACGTTGATGGTGACGAGGATGTCGGTCGACTCCTTCTCGAGGCGCAGCAGCGTCAGGATGATGGCCGTGAAGTCGGGCGCCGACGAGCCGGACTTCTTGGCGCGGGGGGTCTGGGTCGCGATGAGGGTGTAGGCGGGGACGTCGGGGCTATTGTTTTGTTGCCTGTTAGCTTCTCGCGCCTCGTTTGTCTATTCCGTCCTCTTATCTGTGCCCTGACGAGCACCGAGAGGGTTGCGCCGGGGAGGAAGGGAGGGGAGGGGAACCAAATAGGGGACGAAAATATGGAATACCACGCACCTGAGCCTCGAGAAGGACGTCTCGGTCGTGTTCCACACCTTGACGGTGTCAATGTCCTCGCCAACGAGCTCCTCGAGGTGCGTCGTCATGGCGCGGCCGTCAATCTCGGGGCTGCTCCCCGCGGGGCCGACGCGCTCCGTGATGTCGAAGATGATGCTGGTGAAACCGTCCGAGTCGATCCAGACCTCCTGGTTGTCGGGGACCTCGCGAAGTTTGCTGTTCGGCGTGGGGCGCCATCTGTCAGCGTGTGTACTTGTGGCCAGGCCGAGGATCCGTAGAGACCATGAGGGGGGGGGGGGGGGGGGGGGGGGATATGGGGAACGAACCTGACGTCGGCGAACTTCTCGGGCAGGTCTGCGACCAAGGCGCCGCCGTAGAGGGGAGTGCTCTTGTATCGGGTCATGATGGGTTGGCGCTTTGTAGGACTGTAGATTCCGAAGACCGGTGGCGGGCAGGCTCCTCTTGTCCCAAGAGAGTCTCTGGTAGATATCCTGTTCAAGTTTCGAGGATCGGTCCTAATGAGCGGCGACGGAGACTTGTTAGGCTTGCCCAAAAGCCAAAGTGAGGCGATCGGATCAGGCGTGCGTTGGGTATCACTAAGAGGTTACGGGGAAAAGTTGGAATGTCACTCAATACAGGGACAGAGACGGCGCGCAACTTGAACTGAGGTGGATGGCTGCCTTACTTGGAGGTGCCGAGAGAGCCTCGCCCAGGGTGCATTACAAGTCACCTCCAGTAGTCATTCCAAGGTGGGGTGGCTGGAAAAAAGGACGTGGTGGGCAGCGCCAGAGGCAGAGAGGGAGGGGGGGAGGGGGGAGGATGAATGGAGGGGTATGACGACGATGGTGTCAGGGATCAGGGCCCTGAGCTTGCGATGTGCAGCTCACGTGTGTGCCGCGCTGGGCTACCGGTACTGCTGTGCCCGCGACCATGGCACTGCAAAGCTGCATGGCCTAGTTGCTTCTTCCTATTTTGCAACACGGTGCGAGCGAAGCGCATCGCAAAAACCATGCAGAAGCTCAAGTCTAGTTCGAACCAATCATGCACAAGTCTCAAAATTCAAAAAGACAAAAATTCGAACCTGGAAGCTCCAGATGAGAAGGTGCCAAAGATTGGTGGAATGGAGTCTGTTGGGCCATCCAACGGTCACATCTGGTAAAAGGCAAGAGGTGAGTTCGATAGGAGGTCCCACTCCGAGACTTCTGTGCACGTTTGTTCCTTAAGTACCTCTTATCGCTCGAACAGCCAACTGAGCCCCACACAAGCTTCCTCAGCTTCCGTATCCCCGCCTACTGCGTATGCCCTCCGCATCTCCATCAATCCCTCTCTTACACAACTTGATCAACCTACTTTCCTCTTTCTCTCTTCCAATTACACAGCACATTAACCTCCTTTGCACTACATTCGGGATCGGAACCAAGTACCAGTAACCATGACTTCCAGCCTGGCATCATGCATCTTTTGCAAGATCATCAAGGGTTCGTCATGCTCTATTCCCCCCCATTCCAAATGCGATCCCAAGACATCTCCGAACCCCCGCAACTGAGCCAGAAAAGAAAAGTCCATGAACTGACGTTATTCCCAGGCGAGATCCCTTGCTTCAAGCTCTTTGAGAGCGACAAGACGCTGGCCTTCCTCGACATCAACCCGCTCAGCCGTGGCCATGCTGTAAGCCACTCACAACAAGTCCTGTTCCAGGGACGCCCGCGCTTGTTCGTCGTTGACTTACATCATCCCCGCAGCTCGTCATCCCCAAGTACCACGGCGCCAAGCTGTCTGATATCCCTGACGAGCACCTCAGCGAGATTCTCGTAGGTTCTGTCCAGAGTCGTTCAGCCTCGTCCCACTAACACGCCTGCAGCCCGTCGCGAAGAAGCTCGTTGCCGCGACTGGCGCCACGGATTGCAACATTCTCCAGAACAACGGCCGCATCGCCCACCAGGTCGTCGATCACGTAAGTCCTCGCCCTACTGGCTCACTCACTGTCCCGATTGCTGACATTTCACAGGTTCACTTCCACATGGTACTCGTCGTCTCTGGCATCCCACATCCTCACGCTAACCCCCATGACAGATTCCTAAGCCCAACGAAACCGAGGGCCTCGGCGTCGGCTGGCCCCAGCAGCAGACCGACATGGACAAGCTCAAGGCCCTTTTTGAGGATATCAAATCCAAGATGTAAAATGAGCCATTCGTGGTATATTCAGCACGCCCGCCTTCAATCCGGTAGTTGGGGTATCAGATCCCATAATTCAACAGCCCATGGCTCCTGCAATCCCGATTCTTCCTCATGACTTGCGAGTATGGCACGCGTGATTCTAATGCCTGTTACAACGGATTCTAGTCTACATCGTCGGCCGAGGTATCGACTGTTGGCGCGCCGTTGGTGGGCTGAGGAGCGGTGGCTCCCTTGGAGTACATGTCAATCTTTCCGCCCTCCTGGATGACGCCAGTCCGGTCCAGGAAGCACTTGGCGCGGATGTACGGGTCCAGCTTCCAGTAGTCGTCTCTCAGCTTGCGGGCAAGCTCCTCGCGCTGTGCCTTGATGGCAGGCTCCTTGTCCGTTCCGGCCTCCTTGATCCATTGCAGGGTCGTCTCTTCGTACTCGTGGATGAGGTCCTCTCGGCCAGACACCAGAGTATCCCGTGTTGCCGTGTCCTTCATCTTGTCGTTCTCCCCGGCAACCGGCTCCACGTACTTGTAGTCCCAATCCTCCTGGCCGTCGAGCTCCTTGAGAATGCGGCTTGGCTCAATGAACTCCGACATCTCCTTGACATTGTTGGTGAAATGAACCTTGGCCGCGACGACCGGGTCAAGCCAGCCCTTGATAATCTTCCAGATACCTGCTCACTGTTAGTTGCGACCTTGTCCCTCTGAGGTGAGGGGAAACGGACCTTGGAATACCCAAGGGGCACGGTGCACCAGGACAGCCCCAAGAGATTCAGGATAGTTGGCCTCGAAGCACTTGATCATGAATTTGACGGGGGTGTAGTCCTGAACCGAGGATCAGTATTTCTTATACCAAGTCGTGTTAGACTGGATTCACTCACCATGTTGGCCATGGAGAAGCCGGTCATGTCAAAGACAATCGTCTGAGATCTTGTCAGTATATGTGAAATCAATCGTGCAGAAAGAAACCTTACAGCAGTATCCACAGGGGGGGCCAAAACCATGCGCGCTGTCTCGATCAAAAAGACAGTGTACTTCTCCAGACTCTCCTCACATTGCTCGCCCTGTCTGTGCATGCGCACTCTGACCTGGCAGATGGGTCGTCCTGCCTTGTCGAGGCCGTGAATGAAGGTTTTGCCTGACCGAGCCTGGGCCATGAAATCCTCTCCGAGTTTCTTTGCGCCGGGGTCCGAGCTCTTTGAGGCCTCCAAAGCACCAGCCTCACCGGTTCTCATGATTTCCTCGTCAACCTTCATCTCCGTTAACCTCCAGTTCATGGTGGAGATCATCATGACAAAGGCCTTCTCAACGTCCCATTTGCGCGCTCTCAGGAAGCGCAGCGCCAAGGCATCTGGGTGGTCATGCTTGACCATGGCCCAGATCGTGGCGCGCAGAGCCTCCGGGCTTTGGCTGGCCAAAGCCTCCTGGAATTGCTTGGTCTGACCGTACTTGTCGTCGCCATCCTCCTTGATGGTAACGGGAGTCGAGGAGTTTGTTGATCCGGCCTCCTTCTTATCCTTGCGACTAAAGAGTGAGACGCGCTTCTTCTTGGGCTTGTCGCCCTTTCCGGCAGCCGACGTCTCGCTCGGGGCTATGCTGGCAGATGCGCTATCTGCGGCCGGAGTGCTGGTCTCCTCTCCCAAGGACAAAATCAGGTTCCATAGCTGGCGTAGCTTCTCTTCCTGCTCCGGGGTGAGATTTCCCGGTCTTCCAGGGGGCATTTCTGTTGCCATAGCGTCTGATAGGTGAGGTTCTGAAGCTTGAGCCTCGGTCTCGGCAGCGGCGGCGGCGTTGGAGTCGGAGAGTTGTTGATACAACACGCCGTAAAGACACACGGAGACGACAGCGAGGGAGTAGACGACGAAATCAATCCGAGATTGAAGCAAGACACGCGGGGCCCTAGTGTTGTGGGGGTCCAGTGACTGTCTTGATCCGAGTGAGTGGAATCGCCTGTAAACTGACGACGTGGAGGGGCAGTTGATTCTCTGGACGCTCGGTGCAACCAGGGATTGCCGTCCAAATTGAGATGTCAATGGTAGTTGTGCAAGGCGGCTCCTCGACGTGGATAGGAGGAACCTCTGTGGGAATGTAAAAATTCGAGGCAAAGCCGAGGTTTGTGGTTTCAAACTGACCGGCATCAGTCGACGACGTCAGTTAATGCCTGGTGACTAGTTTGGTAGCGCTGACACGGAGTCCTGAGAAGGTCAGCAGGGTCATCCCAATTTGCAAAGCGTCGACACAAAAAGCTGGCGGGTTGGAGAGGCAAATTAAAGGTGGGCGCAAAGTGAGAGTGACCAAGCCAAGCAGGCGGAGCGCGTATGGCGGGGAGATGCCTTGCGCTGACGGTCAAGGTAGAGATGGACAGACTCCGAGACGGTTTACTGTCTCGAGGTAAAAGGTATGGAGGGTTGCAAAAGTCTGGGAAATACTATGACTTACGTGGACTAAAGGATAAGTTTTGGGGCTGGGAGCTCTGCAAATTGGCTGGTGGTGGCCAAGGAATGCCAATTCCAAAGACAAGAACAGTATTTGAAGTTGGGGGTGGACTTGGGTCAAGGGCAACAGGACTCTTGGTTGAAGCAAGGCACAGACAATATGGTGACTGGCCTTTACTGAAGGATGACGGATGGAGCAAATGAGACCGGGCCTGTTATGTGGGCAACAGAGTTGAGGGAGGCCTGCGGAGGGGCAGGCCGCTTGTCCACTTGAGAGCAAGCTCGAGCTTCGGATCGTTGGGGAGTACAGCCACAGATGGAGCTGAGATGTATGGGCGGAATGGCGGGTTGGGGTGTGGAAAGCGACGGGAGGGAGGCTTAGACAGCCGACGACAACGACAACAACCGCACCGTCGGAAAGAACGAGCGCTTGGAGGAGTGTCCGTGGATGGATTGCGGCTGCAAACACAAATCTCCGAGCGATCCGAAAGCGCACAACGGATTCAAAGAACCAATCGAGGATTCGTTGCAGTCGTTGGGTGTCAGCTGTGGATAGCTAGTCGTGGTGGCTCCAACGTCTAAACGGGGAAGGGCAAGCTATGCGATCAGCCGGGTGGTGTCGTCGAGGTTTCCAAGGCGGGATGGTGCGAGGGACGGGACAGAAGTTGATTGGGGTACGAGGGACGAGTGAGGGAGGGGGAGGGGGAGGGGGGATTGTGGGATGCGCGTATCTTTGCTGTGGAAAGTGGCTTGTTGTACTTTTCGCAAATGAGGAAATGGAAGAGCGGAGGAGGGATTGGGAAACGCGCACGATGCGTCGTATTCGATTTTGTTGCTTGAGGACCTGGAAACACTCTCTGTGACCGAACGCATCACTTGCAGTGCAAAACAGCAGATGCAGTATCGAACCCCATCGAGAGGGCCACGCGACATGCTTAAGCAGCCGCGAGGCCACCGATAAGGGACCGAGCCATACACGCTACCCAAAGGCCCCGGGGAACCCAGTTTTGCGTCATCTCGCCTGATGACCAGCCATCTACCAGGGGCATTTAGTGACGATGGGCGACGCTTACAGCGTCCAACCCCCTGCTCACACGTGCTAAACTGCAGTTTTGGGTTTGACACTGGAACCCTTGAGGCAGCTCAGCTTTCCCTGCCATCGATGAGGACTGACTAGTTAGCAGCTGAAGGCACCTGGCTGGGCTGGGGCGGAGTGCGGGGGGACCATCAATTTTGAACCCCGCCAAAAAAAGAAGAAGCGACAGGTGTGCGCTTGATGGTGCCTCGACACTGGGGTGGGCCATTGGGCTGGTTTGTTGATGTTGACTTGCGCCTTGGATTTCGGTAGCCCAGCAGCAACATACAACTCGATCCTCACCGCCAACTGCAACTATCGCGACGCCTTCCGTCACACGAAAAAGCTCCCGCGCCTCTCTCCATTATCGAGAAATTGCCATTATATACCCGCTCCGTCACCGCTTCTCCGGGCGTCCCCTTTGCGCCAGCACCATGGCCGACCACGACCAAGACCACGACCCCAACGACAAGCGATCGGCCTCGCGCACGCGCAACTCGCGTCCCACGACCCCGATGCGCCCGACGACGCCCCTGCGCCCCTCCTCACGCTCCTCCTTCCGCGAGTCCGCCCGTGACAGCGTGCACGGTGGCGAGTCGTTTCCCCTCAACACCTTCGAGCCAGCCTTCGCCGAGCTCTCGGACGCCGTCGCCGACCTCGAGGCCAATATGATGCACTTCCAGTTGATGCACGAGAGCCTGGCCCGCTTCAGCGAGTCGTTTGCGAGCTTCCTGTATGGCCTCAACATGAACGCTTTCTGCGTCGACTTTCAGGAGGTATGCCTAGTGTCCTAGGACCCAATCACTACAGTTTCATGCTGACGGTTCTCCTCTTCAGGGTCCTGTTGCGGAGTCTTTCCGGCGCGCAAAGCAGCAGGAAGAATCCAATGTACACGCGGGGACAGGTACGCACTTCAGACGTCACAACACAACGGCATCTTCGCGAAGACTAACGCTGGGCTTCTTAGGAATTCCTCGCGCACCAGAGAAGCCAGGTCCCGAGAATGACGGCGAAACAACTTTCATGTATTTATACCACAGCCCTTCTCCGTGTTGATGACTTTGATAACATCCTCTGACTAACCACAGGACTACGGACGTTTCGTTCATCGAAAACCCTCCCGCCTCCTCCAAGCCGACCCCGAGATACAAGACCCCTACCACCAGAGGTTCCCGCGTCCCGGCCCCCGCCACCCGCGGTACGACAACGCGGGGCCGTGCAGGAGGTCGCGGAGGCACCGAGACGCAGAGAGGCCGGGGTGGTGGACTCGTCCGGCCCCGTGGCCGTGGCATTCGGTGAGCTCCTTTTCATGGGATTTTGCTGCCATACTTTTCTCGGGGGAGAGGCTGTCATTTTCCTTGCGCTCCGACGACCCAGAGGCGCCAGGTCCGCCCTCCTCCTCCTCCCCCTCGGACGAGTGAGCCAAGGGATGATATAAAGACCAGTTCATTATGCCGTCGTGAAAGGGTATCATCTAGTGTCTACTCTCGAGCCACGGTAGACTTGTGGGCGAAAAGAACAGGATTCAAGTCTCCATCTCAATCTCCTGGTCGAGGGCCTTCTCGGGGCCGTCCTTGTTGACGCCCTTATTGTCCGTCCGGAGACCGACGGCAGCCTCAGCGTCCTTCTGGGTGTAGGGCTCCTCCTTCAGCTGCTTGACTCTGGCCAGAGGTTAGTCGAGGTTACACGGGATGCCGGGGCCGAGTGCTCCCGGGAATATGTATGTAGATGACGAACCTGCGCTTGTGGGGCTTGCCTCTGCGGTGGCCGACGAGGCTGACCTCGGTCTCGAACCATTTGGCGCATTCGACGCAGTAATGCTGACCCAACCCGGGCAAATCCTCCTTTGCCTTTGTGTTCTTGAAAAGCTGCAAGTGTCTTGGCGAGCGCATGTCGGCCTTGATCTGATCGACGTCCCTATTCGTCTTGTTGTTAGAATGGCGGGCATGAGGTTCGTCAAGATTCTCTTCTGCCAAATGCGTACCTCGTCTTCCTCCGCGTCTTTGTCAGGGTCTTCTTATTTGTGACACCCATCTTGCCTGGCGATTGAAGGAACTGACTGAGTGAATGGGAAACGGTTGCTTTGCGGTATTTAGGATGCTTCCTCGCGGATGATGGACACAGCTGATGGCAGAATCCCAAATTGTGCCTCGAGATGGCGACGGCGGGGCAGAATTTTGGTGGTGAGCCGCAAAAAAGTTGCTTCACCGCTCAGTGAGGACGGGGATTGGTGCCTCCTCGGCTCCGGGTCCGCTAAAAAAAGTCTGGAAGCGCTGGAGGCTCGGATCAGTGCTGGCTGGATGACAGTGTACGAGTACAGTGCGATTTGTATATACACGGTGTTTACGAGCATGCGAACGAGAATCACGGGGAGGAAACGCGCCGACCGCGAACGTGGGGAAGAGCAGCAGACCGAGGACCTTGACTGAGCGCTTGCTCGGTCAGAGCCATTTGGGATCGCGGTGATGGGTGTTTCGCTGGTGGCGGGAGAGATCGCGAGCAACACTACCATGGCATCAACTGGGCCATCTGACCAACCGGGAGATTGGTGAACCGCTGTTTTGTTTACACGGCGTGGCCGAGGCTAAGGGGACTGTGGGCAACAGTCGCCGCCGTACCGGAAGATGGCCGCGATCGCAGCAGGCTGAAGGTGGTACTCTCGGCAGGCCGGGGGCCTCTTTTTGTAACAGAGCAATCAGCATTGTGAAAATGTTAAGCAAAAGGAGCTCGGCCGTCGCCTCGGCGGATCGGCGATATCTCCTATCATAACTCCTTGTGCAACCGAGGGCAAATCCGGAACTGCGAGCTTACGAGCTTGCGACCGAAGGTCATCCGAGGCAGTTGAAGCTCCACAGCCACGGACGGAAGCACCATAACGTACAAGGGTCCAAGATCCGCAGAGGGGGAGGCTCCCATTCAAGACCAGGTTCTCCTCCAGGAGGAGTCTCCACCGCCCCGGTCCTGCAGGCTTGCGAGAAATAAAAGAATAAACCAAAACGACGTCTCCAGACCAGAAAATTTTGGTTGATAGTGTAATTGCCCTCGGTGATTGGATGTTGCCACGGATGCGGATGCAAGGTCGCGAACGTTAGTACAGCACCGACACGTGCATAATCTCCCACAACTGTTTTCGGTGGCAGATCCGACAACAGCGCTTAAGACGAGTTACCGCATGCCTCTACACTACATACATCGTCGATGCCGAAGATGGACTGCAGCGAATCATTGTGCTGCCCGGGTGCGGGACTTTCTGCGTCCTAGACTCCTCGTCGAAACAAAATCGTGGGCTGGAGACTGTATCGTGGGGGTTGGCGAAGAAGCTGGATAACGCGTGGTTGGACGCCGTGTGTGGCTTGTCGAGCCGTCAAGCAGGGTACATCTCAGCCTGACTTAGTGAGGTACCTTAGGTAAGGTGTCTTTTCTCCTTCGCGGTGCTGCGGGAACCGACATGAACCGAGCCGGCTGGACGGGAGCTTCAGGCAGGCAGGCAGGCGCATGCGCCGCAGGAAAATTATCATCAGCTCGTGTGCCTTTCCGCGGCCATGGCTTCCAGGACATGACTCTGGCTTCTGCAGCGAATACTCCGCTGCGGAAACTCTGAGACGAGGCCCTTGCGACAAGAATGCACGCCTTCTCGAAGCCCAGTCCTTCCGCATGAGGCTGCTTGGCAGCAATCTCTGGATGTCCTAGATTGTTCCGGCCGGTGTGCAATAGATGTCGTCCGGCAGCGTGGGGAAGAGCCCGCATTGTGAAAAGGGCTCAAGCTACCTGCCTGGTGTCCTTGTCGCAGCAAGAAAATGCCGGACAGGCGGTGGTGGCCGGCGTGGTCGGGAACCCAGCCAAGGTACAAATCTTCACATGTGGATGCCCTGCCCTGCTGCAGTCGCAGTTGTCGTCGCCGTCGCAGCCAAAGCTGCAGCAATCGCAGCGGTGGTCCCGGGGTCTAGAGGGGCGCGACATCCCCGTACTCCCCCTTCTTCAGGATTAGTCTCTTTTCCGAGCGGAGACCTGGGCAGAGACGCAGAGTCCAGTCTGTTCTCTGTCCCTTGCGCTTGGTCGGCTGCGTCGACATGGACGGACGGGCGGATGGTCGGACGGTGAGGCATGTGTCTTGTCATGCTGTCTGTCAATTGGATTTACGCAGGATGCTTGGATGCTTCCGCAGCAACGACCGGAGGCAACACGAGACGCAGGACCACGGATGAACGGGGAAGGTGCTGCTTCATTCCAGAGAGGTCGAGAATTGGGGGTTGCGTACCGCAACGAGCTCAGGGTGACGGCATGCAGCGCAAACATATGTCATGGGCATGTTCATCAGTGACGTTAATTCCGTGGTTTCTTCCATTTGCCCTTGCGCCATTCGCTGATGCCCTACAGAGGAGGTGACTGCTGTAAGGCATCTAGCGTTGGCATTGATATCTGGCAGGCGAGGTACATGCATGCATACACGGCCATTCCACGTACACCCCACCTTGGCTTACCTTGATTCGAGATCCCCAACTGACTGACCAGCCACCTCGACCTCGATCCAGTGCCTGAGGGAAAACGAGCCAGTGGATTGCTATCAGGGGGGCCGCGTCCGTACTTGACTCTACTCGGATGTCTACTTGTAGACGAATCTAGATAAATCGGTGTATCGCATAAAGAGAGGAGACGGCAGACAGTCGACGGGCAGGCGGAGAGGCTGAGACGGCGATACGAAGTCGCGAACAATACCACCTTGGGTACGAATTGACAGATGCCCAGAGAGTCGAAGCGGATGCAAAAACAACAGGCATGGATTTCATGGAACGCAACCTTAGCAGGACGTCGGAAATGTGACCAGGTCAAGAGGGAAAAAGCAGAGGCACATCTGGTCTGGACAAGGATGGAGCACCTGCTGTGCAACTTGCTAGCAGTTGCCAGTGCACAAGGTCTCCATAATGTCGCAGGGGATCAAAGGATACATGGCCTCATGTACTTAGACTAAGGTGAAGAAGAGGCCCCACTCCAGTCTACTTGCTGCTTTTTACTGCTGAGTGAAAATAATCCAATCTCGCTGATTCGTCCGTTGGCCCGCCGTCGCCTTCGTCATAGCCGAGGAGCCCACCTTGGCCGACCCTGTCTTCTCTCCACAGTCCACACAGGAGCGCGGCAACCACACAGCCAGCGAGCATTTGAGCCGAGCACACACCCGTGGGACGGAGTAAGGTGGCCCCCTCCCCTCCCATCCCCCCCAAAGGCTGTCGTAGATGGTTTTGGGTGTGAGAAAGTGAAAGTGAGGGCGACGGGGGAAAAGGTGCGAGCTTTTACTGCCACCCCCATCCGGAAAGATCTGGTTGCTTTGCCGCCTTTCTCCGACTACTTCACCTCTTCGCCGAAAATCCTCTCCACCTCCTTGTTTTCTTCCTCTTAATATTCTTTTCCCTCCTCTCCATCCTCAGAAACCAAAGTCCCTTCCAAAGGCCAGGGCACTTGAGATATCGGTCTCGAGCTTCATCACAGCTCCGACACTCTCCACTCCATCTCAATTGAACAGTGTAACAACTGCTCGCCTCGTCGACACCAACCATGTTGGCCTCACGACAGCTCCTGGGCTCTGTGGCCCGGAGCCGCACTGCCGCCAGTGCCAGTCTGGGACTGCGCCGGATGGCTACCGTCTCCGACTCCCCTCTTGACCGCAAGGTATGATATCTCTCCTCCTTCCAGGCATTGTGTCCGCCGCGCTCCTCGTCGGGCGTGGCTGGGGCGCCCACCTACGTGTTCTGTTGTTGGAGGACGAATAGGCCGCTGACTCGCCGGAAACAGGTCAAGCAGAACATTCACGAGGAGGGCAACTTCATCAACTACAAGAAGATGTCCGAGAACCTGGCCATTGTGCGCTCTCGTCTCAACCGCCCTCTTGCCTACGCCGAGAAGATTCTCTACTCCCATCTCGACAACCCCCACGAGCAAGAGATTGAGCGTGGCGTGTCGTACCTGAAGCTCCGCCCTGACCGCGTTGCTTGCCAGGATGCCACTGCCCAGATGGCTATCCTGCAGTTCATGTCTGCCGGCATGCCCTCCGTTGCCAACCCCACCACCGTCCACTGCGATCACTTGATCGAGGCTCAGATTGGTGGTGCCAAGGATTTGGAGCGTGCCGTTGGTATCAACAAGGAGGTTTACGACTTCCTTGCCTCCGCCTGCGCCAAGTACAACATTGGTTTCTGGAAGCCCGGCTCTGGTATCATCCACCAGATCGTCCTTGAGAACTACGCTTTCCCCGGTGGTCTTCTGATCGGAACTGACTCTCACACCCCCAACGCTGGTGGTCTCGGCATGTGCGCTATTGGTGTTGGTGGTGCTGACGCTGTCGATGTCATGGCCAACCTCCCCTGGGAGCTCAAGGCCCCCAAGGTCATCGGTGTCAAGCTCACTGGCCAGATGTCTGGCTGGGTTACTCCCAAGGGTACGTGAATTCCCACAACTTCGAAGCCGCCGGAAATTTTTTCAATGCTGACATTTTCTAGACATTATCCTGAAGGTTGCCGGTATTCTGACCGTCAAGGGTGGTACTGGTGCCATCGTCGAGTACCACGGCCCTGGTGTTGAGGGTATCTCTGCCACTGGCATGGGTACCATTTGCAACATGGGTGCCGAGATTGGCGCCACCACCTCTCTGTTCCCCTTCAACGACCGCATGCACCAGTACCTCTCTGCCACCAAGCGTAAGGACATTGGTGACTTCGCCCGCACCTACGCCAAGGAGCTTCGCGAGGACGAGGGCGTCGAGTACGACCAGCTCATCGAAATCAACCTGTCCGAGCTCGAGCCCCACATCAACGGCCCCTTCACCCCCGATCTGGCTACTCCCATCTCCAAGTTCAGCGAGGCTGTCAAGGCCAACAACTGGCCCGAGGAGCTCAAGGTCGGCCTCATCGGCTCTTGCACCAACTCCTCGTACGAAGACATGACCCGCTCCGCCTCCATCGCTCGTGACGCTCTCGACCACGGCCTCAAGTCAAAGGCCATCTTCACCATCACTCCCGGTTCCGAGCAGATTCGCGCCACCATTGAGCGTGACGGTCAGCTCCAGACCTTCGAGGAGTACGGCGGTATTGTCCTTGCCAACGCCTGCGGTCCTTGCATTGGTCAGTGGGATCGCCAGGACGTCAAGAAGGGCACCCCGAACTCCATCATCTCTTCCTACAACCGTAACTTCACCGGCCGCAACGACGGTAACCCCGCTACTCACTCCTTCGTCGCCTCCCCTGATCTGGTCGTCGCCATGACCGTTGCCGGTAGCCTGCACTTCAACCCTCTCACCGACACCCTCAAGGACAAGGACGGCAAGGAATTCAAGCTCAAGCCCCCCAGTGGTGATGGTCTTCCCGCCCGCGGATACGACGCCGGCCAGAACACCTACCAGGCCCCTCCCGCCGACCGCAGCACCGTCAACGTCCAGGTCTCTCCTTCTTCCGACCGTCTCCAGATCCTGTCTCCTTTCGAGGCTTGGGACGGCAAGGACGCTAAGGACCTCCCCATCCTTATCAAGGCCAAGGGCAAGACCACCACCGACCACATCTCCATGGCCGGTCCCTGGTTGAAGTACCGTGGCCACTTGGACAACATCTCCAACAACATGTTGATCGGTGCCATCAACGAGGCCAACAACGAGGCCAACAAGGTCAAGAACTTCACCACTGGCGAGTGGGACGCTGTCCCCGCCGTTGCCCGTGACTACAAGGCCAAGGGCATCAAGTGGGTTGTTATTGGTGACTGGAACTACGGCGAGGGTTCTTCCCGTGAGCATGCTGCTCTCGAGCCCCGCCACCTTGGCGGTCTTGCCATCATTACCCGCTCCTTCGCTCGTATCCACGAGACCAACCTGAAGAAGCAGGGTATGCTCCCCCTCACCTTCTCTGACCCCGCCGACTACGACAAGATCAAGCCCGATGACAAGGTCGACATCCTCGCCACCGAGCTCGAGGTTGGCAAGCCCTTGACCATGGTCGTCCACCCCAAGGACGGTGAGGCCTTCGAGGTCAAGCTGTCGCACACCTTCAACGCCCCCCAGATCGAGTGGTTCAAGAACGGTAGCGCCCTTAACACCATGGCCAAGTCTGCTGGCAAGTCATAAATGGGGAATGTTGCGTTAGCGATATGGTTCAGGTCGATGTGTGAATGGGCGGTGTAGGCGTACTATCTTTATTAGCATGTTCTGGGGTGTCGGTCGGTATAACTTAAAGTCTATGGCCGTGTCATGCCCTTTGTTTTGGTCGGGCAAATACCTCTGGGACTTTGTTTTTTATGTCATGTAGGCCATGATTTCCTAGTCTGTACAAATTTGAAATGTTCAAAAAGGATACTCCCAAGCACCCTACATTGCATTTCCATGATGACATCCCGGACATGGCTCGGGCGTTGTAAAAACTAGAAATACTACATTAGCCAATATTGCCAGATTGTTCATTTCAAGTGACGACAGCATGATTGTCGTAGTTGTTGCTAAGCAAAGGACCTGACATGGTAGTCACGTGGCGATAAGCAGGCATAGGTTAACTCTTATCGGCATCTTTGGGGTCCATGAAGGTCCGAGTGGACCGTGGGCATGCGACAAGCTGTCTACAATTTCCCAATTGTATAACAAACATAGCAACGTGCTTGGTTTCAACCCAAGCCTCCTTAGTTGCCCGACGCCGACAGCTGGACCGATCTCTAGAAGGCCGCCTCCCACCACGCTGAAGCGAGACGACCGAGGCCTGCACCACACACGAAGCACCCCGCGCGCAACTCTCAACCTCCGCGAAACCCGGAGACGGCGGGCGCGATGGCTCCTAACGTGACATCCTTCAGCACCCTTCGGGCTCGCACCTACATCTTCAGACTGCCTCTCTTCACGAGAATTGTGCTGCTGATTATTGTTGTCGCCTGGATTGCGGGCGTTCAGTCGGCTTGGGACATTAGGCAATGGGGCGCCTTGATTCCTGACCAGCTGTCCTTCACTTCTTGTTCGTCTCCATCTTTGCTCTCCCTCGTCTTGCAGGCATGTGTGCTAACTCCTGTGCGGTTACAGCATACCGAATGAACACGTTCCCCTTTATCCATAAGAACCTCATCCACGCGGTCATGAACCTCTTGGCCTTGGCGCCCTTGATGGAGCGCTTCGAGGCGGAATTTGGCACATTGACCTCGATATCGCTCTTCATCGGCCGTATGCTATCCCTGCGTCGTCATAGTCCCGGGCCCATGACTAATCTTTTACAGCTCTTACCACGATTCCGGCCGTTCTATACGTTTTGATCGAGCGATTCATCTTCAAGGGCAATGTTGGAGTTATGGGGGCCAGGTGAGGACTACATTTGCAGGGCTCGAAACATGCGTGGCTAATGAGACTCCTTGCGCAGTATCTGGGTCTTCTTGCTCCTCGGCATGGAGGCGATCCGAACCTATAAGACGAACCCTCAATTGACCATTGCGACATACTCGATTCCCACGTGGACGATGCCCCTGATCCTCATCTTGGTGGTTACGGCGCTCGTCCCTGGGACAAGCCTGCTCGGTCATCTTTGCGGCGTACTTGTTGGATATCTATGTAAGGAATATCGAATCGTCTTGCTGAGAGACGTCTTGCTAATCTGAATTCTCCAGTTGGTCTCGGCTACCTTAAGTTCCTGAGCCCCCCGAAAAGGCCCTGAGATGGGTCGAATCGAAGTTGAACCTGCTGGGTCGCCTACCTCACTATGTGAGTGTAGACCAGAAGACGTATGGCCGTTTTGGTGTCTTGCCCACGAGCAGCCATGCCGGCGGCGGCAGCGCCCCCATTGCCCTCGTTGGCACCACACAAAGACTTGGACCTTGAAGTCTTCCTCACTTAAACTTGTACCACTATATGGCATATTGCCTAGCGAGGCTGGATTGCATCTAGGTCGGAGTTTGGAGTTCTGATTGCAGGCAAAAGTGGCACATGTACAGGATGGGTAAAAATTTTGCCATATATTACACTTCTCCTTTTTCAGTTTGCCGTGTGAAAGCGCTCGGAGCGATTACAATACGAATACACCAAATTCGACCCAACGGTCCGGCGGTTGAGTCAATCTAAGCATAATAATAGTACTGCACGCGAACACCTAGGTTTCTATTGTTAACCCCTGAGAAGGGATATCCATCGTAGCCTAAATCCAGTGAGGCGGCGTGCGACGTGAGGAACTACCGTTGAACGCAAAACCAAACGAATAGGCAGATATCGATTGCAACACCAGGGATGCTTGAAAGGCAATGCCATGCATCTTGTTCTGGGATTTGTCCTGTATGATGAAGTGCCATCCGCCGAATCTGGGGAGTACAGGGTCTCCAAGCCAGGGGTGACGTGCACGGTTAAATGAATATCTGGGTCCCTCCCGATCACTTCCACTTACGAGCTACCTCGCTGGGCTGCTCCTACAAACCACCACCCTTGGAAGATGACGGATGCCCTTCCAGAACGTCACCGCGCAAGGAAGACGACCTGATTTTGCAAGTGCGTAGCTTTTTGAAGCTGCCGCAGAACAGCCTTCGCCATGTCGCGACTGATATGTGAGATGCAACCCCAACTGATGGCTCTGCGACCGAGCTATACTAACCTGGTCCCTCCACAGCTTCGGCCCTCTCGTTGCGACGCGATCCACGCATCCTCAAGCTCCCGCCCTACCTTTCGTTAGCATGCATTCTCGGCGGTATTGCTTGGTTGTTTCTGCTGCCTCTTAATGACTACTCCCGACGAACATACATATCCGAGAACGCGCTGCTCCCTGGCCAAGTGCACACATACTTCGGGGGAAGCGACCAGAATGTCCTACGAGCGTACAAGAACGAGGTCAACTCGGTCAGGGACAAGTCCAACTACGAGTGCGCGCACAAATACCCCCCGTAATCCTCGGCAACTAACAATGGGTTCACTGCAGGATCAACGATAAACTCGAGGGCATTCTCAAGAACGTTGGCTTGAAGGTCGGCCGCCAAAACTACACATACGAATCAGCCGGCGACGTCTACACGGGCGAGAACATATACGCCATTCTTCAGGCCCCGCGCGGCGACGCCACGGAAGCCATTGTGTTGGTTGCCGCCTGGAAGACAGTCAACGGCAAATTCAATGTCAATGGCGTACCGTTGGCCCTGACCCTCGCGCGGTACTTCAAACGGTGGTCTCTATGGTCCAAGGACATCATCCTCGTCATTCCCCCGGACAGCAGAACGGGCACCCAGGCCTGGGTGGACGCATACCATGACTCACACGACTCGTCCCGCGTGAGCTCGTTGCCCCTCAAGTCCGGCGCGTTGCAGGGCGCTATTGCCATCGACTTCTCGCAGGAGCACCGCTTTGAGTCCATCCACATCATCTACGACGGCATCAATGGCCAGCTGCCGAACCTCGACCTCATCAACTCCGTCGTTAACATCGCGGGCGGGCAGATGGGCATGGGCACCGCGATCCAGGAGATGTGGTCGCACTCGGACAAGTACCAAGACCGCCTACGGACCATGCTCCGCGGCATGTTGAACCAAGGGCTCGGCCACGCTTCGGGCCCGCATAGCAGCTTTATCCCTTACCATGTTGATGCTGTCACTCTGCAGCCCTTTGGTGAAGGCTGGCACGATGAGATGGGCATGGGTCGCTTGGTTGAGGGTACGTTCCGTAGCTTGAACAACCTGCTCGAACACCTCCATCAGAGCTTCTTCTTTTACCTCCTCATGCACAAGGAGAGATTCGTTAGTATCGGCACATACCTGCCCAGTGCCATGATCCTGGCCGCCAGTTTCACCATAACGGCCATTTCTCTGTGGGTGAAGAGTGGCCACCAGGAAGATGGTTCAGATGCGAAGAGCATAGCAGCCAAGTCTGAGACGGAAACCACGTCATCAGAAGGATCTACCAAAGGTGCTACGAAGGATTCAGGCTCGCCGACGCCATCTGTACCGGCGGCCGAACGTGATCTGTTCCTTCCCTTGGGCCTAGTGGCCATCTGCCAGTTCTTGGGCGTTGTGCCGCTATACATATTCAACCACATGCCCGCAAACGTAAGCTTCCAGCACCCCAAACAACGAGGCCACATACTCACGCTCTTTTTGACAGGTGCTTTCAGGGGCCTATACGGCCTTTGCGCTCGTTAACTGCGCCCTGCCCTTCCTCATCTCCTCGCTGCTGACCTCCATCTATAACCCGACTGTCCAGCAATACCAGCTCATCAAGTCCTTTTCGTTGCTCTTGCTGGGCATGTTCCTCTCCGCCCTGGCCACCCTCAACTTCTCCCTGGCCTTCCTCGTTGGCGTCATGGCTAGCCCGCTCTCCTTCATGCAGCCCTGGCCGCGCCACCCGGCCGTTCGCTGGGCCTGCGCCGCCTTCCTCCAGCTCGCATCCCCGACGGCGGCGCTGTACTCTGTCTCTTCATATTTTGACGTTAGCATTGGCGAGGTCCTCAAAGAGGCTGCGTTCGGATGGGACGTTTGGGGCATGTACACACCTGTCATCATCTGGGGCGTGTGGTGGCCTGCCTGGCTCATGGGGTCCGTCATTGTGCTCGGACAGCCTGTGGCCAAGACGAAAGCCGTATAACGAGATTAAAAAAAGGCTTGGTCGCACTGGTGTTTCTGCATGCATCACTTGGTGGAGTTTGGGGAACAATGCTTTCAAAATATGTGAGCGATAAAACTAGCATATCAGAGAACAGAATAGGGGCAACAACGTTGTCATCATAATCATCGCGGCCCAAGATCCAGGCCGATTTCCCATTTTTCTAAGTCTAATGGTGTACACTGGTCCTCGCCATCGTAGACCAATATTACAGACGTCGTTTTCCCCTTCACCTGTAACGTCGTCCCCGGTTGTCTTCCTTCAAGCCGCCCACACATCACCACCGGCATTCTCGATCCAGTTACCAAGCTGGTTGACTTGCGAATCCCAGTCAAGCAGCCGCTGGCGCATGTTGCCAATCTGCTTCATGTCGAGCACCTTCGGCTGGACCCAGGTAATGTGCGCAACCTCGTCTACCTGATCAATGTTTCCGCGTAGAAGACCCAAGCTCAGAGCCTTCATGATCAGGTGCTCGATCTCATTAGGGCGCACCTTGGTCTCCTGAGCGATATCGGTGAAGGACATGGCACGGTCGTGGGGGGGCCGGCGGAAGACGGCCTCGGTAAGCGCTGCAAGGTAGATCTTCTGACGCAGGTGGCCGGCGTTCTCGTTCAGCAAAGGCTTGGATCGCATCCGCGCCGAGAGGGCCTCGAAACCCTGTAGGTCACCGCGGTTGAAGGCGAAAAGCAGGTCGCGGAACCACTCGTCCTGGGTGCCCTTGAGGGCGTCGAGGATGGGATGCAGAAGCAGTTCGCCAAAGTTGTAGATGGTGTCGGAGACAAGTGCGGCGATGCTGAGGTGCAGTGCTCGCCTGTGGCGCTCCTGGGGTGTGAGTGAGTTGATATCGATGCAGGCGAGGTAGAGTAGGGCGTTGCGGTAGTAGGCTGCGAAGTCCATCTTGCGCTGGAGATTAGAACCATGTCAGCAGAAGTCCTGCGAGAAGGATTGTGGGGAGGAATGGAGCTTACCTGGTAATAGTTGGCGTTCGCATCGTAGAACGCTGCGTGGACGATCGTTTCGACCGAGTCGAAGCCGTCCAATATTCTTTCGGCCGTGTCGAGGTCCTTGCGAGCCCCATCCATATCCTCTAGATCCAGCTTTACTCTGGCTACCGCGACGGAAGCGTACACAAGAGCGTCTTGTGAGTTCTCGTTGTCCACCTTCTTTGCAACACCCTGGAGGAATGCCAGGCGCTCTTCGTCATCTAAAAGGTCCGTGTCAGCGCTCCTGTCGCCTCACGTCTATTCAATTGATAATGCCATACCCTTGCATTCCGTGGCGGCCTTCAGGGCCAGGTCGACAAGCTTAAGCTGGTTGATCTTATCCGCGAACTTGAGAATGAAGACCTTGTAGAAGGAAAGCCGCTGGGGCTTGCTACCAGGGTGACTAAAGAACTGGCCAAGGGCATCGGTGAGCTGGTGCCAGAGTTTCCGCTCCCAGTAGTTCTCGAACTCCAGAACGAGGTGCTGGAGCTCCTCGGGAGCCTCGTCGCGCTGCTCCGCCAGGAAGTCGGGGATTGCGTCGACGTTCATCTTGGTGGAGGTTGAGGTTGAGGCTCGAAATGTATGTGGGGGAGCTTCGAGGTGCCCGGGATGACGACGGTTTCGGGGACGTACGGCCTGGTCGAGATTCTGATCCTTTTAGGAAGCTACACAGGGAGCAGTTTAGTTGTGTAGTGACTTTTTCTGTCGTGGTAAAACGCCTGGTAGTTCGTCTCGAGATATGTGGATGTGTTGATGAATGCAAGCAGCAGCTCTCCGGAGGGGCGATGCACATAACGCGGCTAGCTAGCAGCCTGGTCAGTCAGCTAAAGTAGGTACGTAGCCCACAGCACCGATTCGGACCTGGCAGTTGCTCGAGGATCCACTTCGGATGTGTTGACCAATGGTTGTTTTTCCGATCCAATGACCAGAGGTTGGACCGTGCTCTCTTCTTCCACGTGACCCGCTCACCTTCCGTCTGGGATTCTGAATCAAGCTCGCGGCTTTGGAGCTTTCGGCCAGTATTGAAGCAATCAATTGCCAGTCAATTGGGAGGCCACCGCACGTATTTGCTGCCGCCTCAATATCTGACAATGGCCTCCTTTCCGACCGCCGTGCGGTCAACCCAGAAGGTTGCGCACAATGTCCTGAGAAGGCAGCCCCTCCACGACATCGCCATCACCCGTACCGGCAAGCCCATCCTGCGAACCCAGGGCGGAAGGTAGGCATTCCGGTCAATTGCGTCTCGCGGGATTGTTTCTGACCTTGTATGACATACAGATCCTCTCTCGGTGGTATGCAAAAACGATCCCCAACCGATGACGAAGCTTTGTCTAAGAACGATCCACAGGACACACTGCGACAGTTTTTGGCGCAACGGGCCAGGTTGGACGATACATCGTGAACAGACTCGGTACGAGCGGAGCACTGGCGAACTCATCGACCCCTTTCTGACCCTATTTGATAGCTCGTCAAGGATGCACCGTCGTCATCCCCTACCGCGAGGAGATGGCCAAGCGTCACTTGAAGGTTGCTGGTGATCTTGGACGTGTTGTCTTCATGGTACGAGCCTCCCTTCTAGTCTCGAGACCCACGACAAGCAGGAGCTGATTATGATGCTGTAGGAGTACGACCTCCGCAACACCGAGTCAATCGAGGCGAGCGTCAGACACTCGGACGTTGTCTACAACCTTGTCGGCCGCAACTACCCCACCAAGTAGGTTTACGAAGCGAGGGACGATTTGATTGAAAGAAGGCTAAGGACGTGTTCAGGAACTTCACTCTGGAAGACGTTCACGTCGAGGGAACTGAGCGGATAGCCGAGGCTGTTGCCAAGTACGACGTGGACCGCTTCATCCACATGTCCAGTTACAATGCCAACTTGGAGTCTACTTCCGAGTTCTACCGCACCAAGGTCAGCCGAAGGAAGGTTTGCGCAACTGACCTCTAAGCTGACGGTTCTATAGGCCCGCGGTGAGCAGGTCGCTCGTAGCATCTACCCCGAGACCACTATTGTGCGACCGGCACCGGTCTTCGGTTTCGAGGACAACCTTCTCCTGAAGCTTGCCAGCGTTATGAACCTCTTCACTGCCAACAACATGCAAGAGAGATTCAGACCCGTCCACGTAGGTTTCTAGCGTCGATCCATGCTCCACGCGATTGCTGATCAGTGTAGTCTATCGATCTCGGCCAAGCTCTTGAGCTGATGCTCTACGACGACAGCACGGCTGGCCAAACATACGAGCTTTACGGTCCCCAGGAGTACTCCATGGCCGAGATCGCTCAGTTCGCCGACCGTGAAATCTTCAAGAAGCGCCGCCACATCAACGTTCCCAAGTCCGTTCTCAAGCCTGTTGCTGGGCTCCTGAACAAGTACCTCTGGTGGCCCACTATGTCTGCTGACGAGGTTGAGCGTGAGTTCATCGACCAGGAGATTGACGAGTCGGCCAAGACTTTCAAGGATCTCGGCATCGAGCCCGGTGACATCAGCAAGTTCACGTACCACTACTTGGTAAGACTGCCCGCCACTTATATGACTGTTGTGGTGGTGCCAGGTGCTAACACCCTATACAGCAAGGTTTCCGTAGCGCCAACTTCTACGACCTGCCCCCTGCGACAGAGAAGGAGAAGAAGGAGGAGCGCAAGTATTTGCACGTTCTTGACGACCAGTGAGCCTGGGTTCCATTTGTATGAGGGGATTGATTCTGGGCAAGCAAAGTCGTTTAGAGTGTATATAAGTAGTCAACTAGACAAAGTTGCAAAAGTCGAGGAATCCATGTATAGTTTTGAATACGACCTTGGCGAGTGATGCGTTGTTCTACGAGAGACGGACTGTGTTGTGTTCTTGTTAGTCAAAGCTTTGCTATGCTGTAGCTGATTCGTGGATAACTGTCTGGATTTTGACGCCGCCTCAAACTGGGTCCTTGACACAGAATCAATGCTTCCACTCGTCTCACCTCTCACTTAACAACCTCTCACCTCTCTCAGCAGACCCGCCATTCCGTCCAGAAGGTTAGTCGGATCATTGCTTATTTTAATTGAAGAGGTTCAAGATTAACGCTCCTCTCAAGATGTCGAACTCGGACAGCGACGACGAGCCTATGTATGTTGATCCCTTCTTGTGCTTTCAATGCTACAAAATTTTCGCATCTCCACCGGGTGCACCACGAGTCACACACTAGAGCTGACACGCCCCGCGCAGCACGCTCTCCTCTCACGCCCTCGCGGCGCTGGCCGAGTTCAACGCCGAGAGGGACGCCCGTCAGGCAAAGTTTGAGAAGCTCAAGGCACAGTGCGAGGCCAACGCCGCCGGCGGACTGCCGCTGTCTATGGAGGCTTTCACCGAAGACTGGAATGAGTCGCAGTTTTGGGTACGAGCTTGAATGAACCCCCCACCTTCCAACGCTCCGGGACTTCACGAAGATTGGAATTTGTTACGCACGGGAGGGGACTGATTAGTGTCTGGTTGTTCTTTGTTTAGTACAACGATGAGACGGCAAGGTTGCTGGCTGGACACCTCCTTGAGGGCGCCGACGAAAACACTACCATCGGCATCGTGTCTGCACCGAGTGTCTTCATCGCTCTGCGAAACCTGATGGTGAGAAGCGATTTCACCCTTGCGCTTGCGTAGTCCGGGGACGTAGGGACACTGACTCGATGAGCAGAATGAACGAGACTCGAGCCTGGGACGGCCCAAGGTCGCGCTGTTGGAGCACGACACGCGCTTCAACGTCTTCCCCGAGTTCGTTTTTTACGACTTCCAGACGCCATTCAAACTTCCAGGTATGACATCATGGCGTTTTTCTACATGGAGACGGCCGATTTTGGACATGAATTCGCTGACTCTAGTGTAACGTAGCCGAGCTCAAGGGCAACGTTGACCGTGTCATCTGCGACCCGCCATTCCTCAGCGAGGACTGCCAGACCAAGAGTAGGCAGACATCGCGATACCCAGACTACAAACTTCTTCGTTGCTGACTGATAAAAACACACGCAGCTGCCATGACGGTCCGGTGGTTGATGAAGCCCGACGCCATCAACTCCAAGAGCCGCGTCATCGTCGTTACCGGCGAGAGGATGGCAACCATCGTAAACAAGGTGTACAAGGCCCTTGGCGTCCGCACTGTAACCTACGCGCCGACGCATGCCCGCGGCCTGAGCAACGAGTTCTACTGCTACGCCAACTTTGAGTGCAAGGACTGGACCTGGCGGTAGGGCAGCGGCGAGCTGACCGAAGCAAACTTCCACGGTGGCCAAGCATAGCCCAGAAGCAATGATGTTCTCACGCAGTAGATTAGACGACCGGAGGCTGTTTGTTTTGCAGTACTTGACATAACTTTAAACATAAAAACGTACATACGCTGTTTTCTCGCTGTTCTATACAATCATGGCTTTCCTTGGTTTCGCCAGTGATGATGATGAAGATGATGAAGCCCCTCCCCTACTGCCTGTCATCCAATGCGGCGTTTTGTTCTTTTACTTGCCAAAGGCCCCCCAAAGTGGGTGCAAGCCCAACGATTTTTTCCAACGCCGGCACGATGCTATTCCTGACACCTTCCCTTCAACACCCGTTCCGCCCCCTTGAATACTTTCGGCGGCTGCCAACGCCCTTCACTTGTGGTATTAACTGTTACATGCTCGTTGTGAGAGGTGTTTCTCTCCTTCGCTGTGCTGGTCTACGAAAGGGAGCGGATGATGTAGAAGAGCAGGTATGGCTGGGCACTGAGCACGTCCGACTTGGGTGCCATCTCGACCTTGTGGTCGTTGAATTTGAACCATTGGTCACCTACTCGGCAGTAGGAGACGTAGTGCCCTGATCGTCCAGTCAGTCTTGTCCTCTTCATCAAGTCGTTTCGTCACTAACCGGTATCGATCTCGCCAACGTGAACCACAACACTAAGAAGGTCGTAGGTGCAGGATCTTCCGAGCTCAAACGCGTCCTTGGGATCCGCGCCTCTGCCTCTGGTTGTGTATGGAAGCATGTTGAGCTGCAAGGGAAAATTAACGACCGTGTCAATTTTTGAGGGCGCGCGATCATGGCGACCCTGCTTGTACTCGAAACGCTAGTGGTTGATGTTAGCGAAATCTCAGATTGCGTTTGGATTCGGATGAAGCTTGCCTTCAGTTGAATGGCGAGCACGTTTGGCAGCCTCTTAATGCTGGTCGCTCGCTTCGCCTGCTGCATCGAGCTGCAGTTGTGGCATCGGTACTCGCACTTGTCCGACTTGACATATTCCTCATCCAGACATTCCTGGAGGGTCAGGCTGGGCACCTTGGGGCCTCCCTTCTTTCTCTTGTGGGACAGGTTCTCTAGCCCAAGGCTGAGATCCAGGAACGACTGCACGGCGTTGGTGACACCCCCGCAGTTCTGGCAGGTCGTAGAGCTCTGCAGCTTGCCGTAAAACGTCTGGTGGATGATGCAGTTGCACGTGTGCTCGCTGCCGGTTTCAGGCCTCTTGCCATCCCCGTTGCGTTCGTGGAGTTCCTCTGCGAGGAATTGGAAGAACTCATGGGCGTCCTGCTCCTTGGTAGTAACAAGGTTCTCGAATGCCTTCTTCTCCGATATCCAGAATCCAGAGAGAATACTCGCGGCCGTGAATCCATTAGTATTCTCAACGGCGTAAAAGTCCTGGAACATGTCATCCATGGCGCAGCTCAGACAGTTGGTCAGTGAGCAGTCAGTACTCTGGTGGCCATCGCTAAGGTAGAAGTTGCGCAGCAAGGGGTTATGGAGAAAGCTCTGCAGAACCACGTTCTGGTAGCAAGTCGCCCCAGCATTGTAGATACCACGCAGGCCGTTTGCCTTGCATGAGGCAGTGGTGGTGTTGTTGGAGATAAAGCCAGGGTTGTTTGCAGCGCTGTCCTTGACGCCATCGGAGAACATCTCGTCGTGTTTTCTCTTGCGACCTGTAAGAGGCATTAGCATATGACTAGGTGAGAGGCGCACGTGGGGGATGATGCAGAAAGTTTTCGGGATTCGAGGCCAATACTCTCTGGCCACACATGACTTACTTGAGAAGGTTCCGGTTCCCATCTTGCGCACTCGAAGCTCTTCCAGTGTGGGGTCCCAGACCAAGTCATCACAGATCTGGCAGTAGAGGGCGCCGCTCCGTGAATCAACATCTAGACTGTTAGCGGATGCGCGTGCGTTATAACAGGGACAAACATACAGAAGCGGTGCTGCTTCTTTGTGCCATGCTTTAGACGGTCCTCCTCATTGACAATAGTCGAGCATTGCAGGCAGAGATAGTTGGATGTGAGGGAGGTCATAACCTGACCATCTGAGTTCTTGGACGTCTGTGGCACAATGGGCGTCTGCTCAAAGATATTCTTCAGGATCATCTTATAGTGGTGAACAGACTGAGTCGTGACGTCCTGGGACTGTGTGAAGAGCCGCTGGATGTGCTCTGGTACGATGTCAGCCCTGAACCTGGTATGGCTTGCCAACTGGCGATTTGCGTTGGATCCTACTGACCGCATCCAAATACGGGTGTTCCAGGGACCGGCGACTTGACCTTGGCGGTCTTTGGAGACATTGGTGTTGTCGGTCGAGCAGTCATCTTGAATGGGTTCCGGTGGCGGTATCCAAGTGGGTGTGGTTCTTGCCCTTTCCCCGGCCTTCCTTCTGCCTTGGATCCTCCAACTGCAAGTTGGCCCGTTGGTCGTCGGTTGTGCGAATGTGGGGGAGTGGGATTCGGAGATGGAAATAGATACTTGTTCAGCTTTCGACGATGGGTGAAGGAAGCTGTCGATGATCGGCAACGGCTGCAGTCGGGACAGCGCAGCAGGAAACTGCAGCTCCGAGGTCAATTGTCAGCCACTTGATTCCGAAAGGAGAGCGACAATGAGTAGAAGCAACACGAACCCGAGAAAAAGAACAACCAATTGCCAGTCGCGATACCTGGGCCAAGGTCGGCAGGTAACTTTGTGTGTCTTGAGGAACAAGAGCGAATTCGCGTTAGTAACGTTAAAGCTCCTGCAAGTGGGCTTTGAAAGGCGCAAGCCGAGGATCGAGAAGATGCGCGTGAGTTGTCGTTTAGGACGCGCAGGGCCAAAGAATCCAAAGCTGGAGGGGGTTTGAAGAAGGAAATCAAGGGAGCCGCCTCGCTCTGTAGCAATTCGCAAATCAACTTGCGCTTCGCGATCGTTGGGAAGGTAGGCACAGTCCGAGAAACCGAGTACCTGCGGACGATCCCTGGAAGATGCAAATGTTGGAGCTGGCGGCGCGTGCACAGACGAGTTCGGTGGTATCAGCGGCCAACAGGCAATAATTACATGCTTATCGGCACCTGATCGGGGTCTGTTGCTTATCGATAACGTAGGGGGGCACAATCCGCCTGCAGAGTGCCCCCCTATGCCCCTGAAATCCAACTCGGTCCAGTGGCCCAAGGACTTTTTCAGTGGGGTTGAGCCGGGATCGTCCACCCCGGAGAGCCACAAAGGGTGAGGTCACTGTCACTGCGGTCTAATGGATAAACTGATAGCACCTGCTTGCAGTCCCCTTACACCGGATGATCCCGCCTTTCCTCCCTCACCTTGTACTCACCGAGCTTTCCCCGCTCACCTTCAATTCCCGTCCAACTCAGCCCTCGGATTGCTGAGGTAAGCCCTTCCAAGAGCTACAGTATTCTTCGCCCTATGACATGCAGCTCGTTTCTTGAACCTCGGCATCTTGGCCGCATCCCCTCGATTGCGTCTTCATCTAACCCCAATCTGTTTAACCCATCACTTTGGAATCCATTCACAGATCACGGCTATCCCACGGTCGCACAAGGATGATGCGGGGTCCTCTTCAAGGCCTTGTTCCCAAATTTAGTTCCAACGCTGGTTTGTGACTTGGACTACATTGCTCAATCGCCCGCGGAACCAGACACATCACCAATTTAACTCGCGCCAGAAGCAACAAAATGGCCTCTCAACTGGTGCCACTGCCCGAAGTCGAGCGCGTTAGCCCAGTCTGCATTCGCATTCTGGGCGGCAACCCGGGAAAGTTTACGCTGCAAGGCACCAACACGTACTTGCTCGGACGAGGCAGCCGTCGCATCCTAATCGACACCGGCGAGGGCGTGCCGTCGTGGATCGCAGCCATCAAATCCACCCTGGAGCAAGAACAGGCAAGCGTCGAGACGGTCCTGATCACCCACTGGCACCGGGACCACCAGGGCGGCATCCAGCAGCTGCTGGAGCTGTCTCCGGACTCCAAGGTCTTCAAGAACCAACCCGAGGAGGGCCAATCGGACATCTCGGACGGTCAAAGGTTTGTCGTCGACGGAGTCAGCCTTACGGCTGTATTTACCCCGGGGCACACTGTGGACCATATGGCCTTCGTCCTGGAGGAGGAAGACGCCATGTTTACGGCGGACAACGTTTTAGGCCAAGGGACGGCCGTGTTTGAGGACTTGGCTACCTACCTCGACAGCCTTGAGAAGATGCGACACCTGTTCAAGGGGAGGGCGTATCCAGGCCACGGGCCCGTGATTGACAACGGTCCGTCAAAAATTCTCGAGTACATCAACCACCGGAAAGCTCGCGAGGAGCAGGTTATTCGTACGCTACGGACAGTGAGGCAAGGCGAAACCATCGAAGGCGCGGCTAACGCGTGGACACCTATGGAACTTGTCAAGGTCATATACCATGACGTTCCGGAGGAGCTTCACGTCCCCGCGGGTGGCGGAGTCATCCAGATCCTGGCCAAGCTCGAAAAGGAAGACAGAGTAGCCCAGAGCAACGACAGATGGACTCTGAAAGATCGATCGGCGTTGTAGCGCGCATAGTCAAATGGAGCTTGGGTACTATGTAACCAGAACAGCGGAACTTGGCCAGACCTTCGGATCCGAGGACGGATGTGTCATGTTGTCATGCGGCCTGTCATGTAAGGGTCGACCTTGCGAAACTGAAGCACCGCGGCGGAGAAGTCGTACGCTCAGGAGGGATGGGTCGTACCATCGAACCGGGACGCGCGCGAGAGGGAAAAGGATATTTACAACGTAGGAGCGTGTAGCAGTAGAAGAATTCCGCACGTGTCAATGCCAGTAAGCCACCAGGCAAAATCGTGCGTAAGCGGGTCGACTCTTTTGCGTTGTCGGCCTCTCAAGGCCGGGCTGGGAAGCCGGGGGGGGGGGGGGGGGGGGGGTAGCACGGGGCGGCCAGGCCTCCGGAAGGTTCGGACGAGTGAATCCTGTGAAGAAACAGAAGTGCGGGATGACGTCCAACAGAACATGGCACATGGGAGGGTAACAGTGGGGCATCCATCTTAAAGTTAAGGAACGGGATTGACTCTGGACGTGTCTGTCACCATGGAAGATTGGCAACCGCACAACCCGGCCTCAGTAGCGGTGACACGAATACCTCGACCATCCACCTCTGATGCAGACCCTAAAAGATGATGGGCGGCGGGGTCTGCAGCTAGCGAAACCCGGACAAGTTTTCTACCGGTTCCTTGACTAAGGCGGTAACCTTGGGTTCTCTGGTCAAGATGAAAAAGGCGGTCGACCGGTCTTGGAGGAAACATGTAGAAGCCTCACCCACCCGCCCGTTGCCGGGATAGTAGGCACACGCAGGCACTGTGTTGCGATGAGATGAGGACCATGCTTCTTGGGACTTTAGTAAGAAAAGACGGGCGCCAGAACAACGTGGCGCGCGGCCTGCTTCCGCGTGTTGGTCGTCAGCCGGCCTAGACGCAGCATGTGTGCTACGTGTAACGTAATCGGCCTGTGGCTCAAGACGCCGTTATGTCCGGGAACCCCGTTGGGCCTCAGAGACTGCGATCGATCGCGGACCAGGGACACACAAAGCTCCACCGACGCTGACTTTGCAATCAGCAAAATTCTTGCAGCGGTAAAGTGGGAGTGCGTTCGGAGCAGCAGGATGAGAGCTTTCCGTGTGCTTGAATGGGTCCGTCGCCAGGGCTGCCCCGGATCTCGACCACGAAATGCTGTACCGCATCCATGGGCCTAGGGCATTTGCACCTTGTCTGGAGAGTCAAACCCCGTCTCTGAACTGAAGCACGCCTAGATACTCGTTGTCTGGGCAAAAATCTGGGCGTCCCTCGTTTCCGACAATCCAAGTGGCTGAACAGCGTCGTGCTCCTGTGATCAACGGCGGGTCGGACTCCGACCTCACTCCGGGCGCGCCCACCGCAGGCCGCGGGAAAAGAGGGGCCATTTCCACGGCGATGTCTTGCGCGAGAACGCGGTACTTTGAGGTACTTCTCATGAAGTGGATCATAGGAGGAGGAGGGCGGGATCGCGAATTTGATGGGCGGATCGGAGGCAAGGGTGGCCCCCATTTGGTGGTGTGGATTTTGTTTACGCCCATGTGGTTTAAACTGTGGAGTCGGTAGCCATGAGGCTTGAAAATATTGAATTAATTTCTTCTGTTATTCTTCACTTTCCCCAACCCGTTCAATCTACGTGGGTGTCTACTGCTCTGGTGTATTAGTAATTCGACTCAATGGCGGGCGTAAGACGGAGCCGCGTCGACTGGTGGCTTGATGCCGGTGTCGTTGGTGGTGTTTTTGTTGGGTATGAATCACTGTGAGGGTGCCGCGCCGTGTAGGACGGAAACAGTTCACCGCGCTTTTCTCACGGCCGCAGATTACAGATCATCTGGTACAGGTTGCCTTGGTTGCTTGGGCTTTCTTGGCCCTTTCCTGCGAGAGGGTTCGGTCTGCCTCTCCCAACCAAGTCCACCTGACTTGCTTCCATCGAATAGAGTGAAACTGCAGCCCCCCTGCAAGAGGGGAGCGAAGCCGGGGATGCTGCAGCGACCATCACCGGTTGATGCTGAGTTGCAGTCAACGGTATAGACGCTCGGTGCACGGAGCTGCTGAACCGTGAGGTCCGCCGCCAACTTGCAAAGTTGCGAGGACCCCCCGCAGGTTTGCATCTCGGACGGGAACTTCCTCAAAGACACTGTTCCTTTCTCCCCTCTTCACTCGCTACGATGCGTCTCTCGGCGTTGCAACCGGCTCATCGCCCAAAACCCTCATCTCGCACATCACCGACTTACACTGGTCAAGGTCTATGAGCTTCTACATTGCAAAGCGTCTCGTGGCTGCAAAAGACTTGTTTGTTTGGGCACATCCGGTGGTAGCATGGAATTGGGAGCCGAGGAACCAAATGGACGTCAAAGTCCACGGGCGGAACCTCGGAAGAGCGGCCCACGCCACGGAGCAAGGGCTTGCAATTTCTAGCGCCGTCCAGTGTCGGTACTTCGCGCTTCCCGCACCAGCCGGCACTGGACTCTCAATTACTAACGGCATTCCGCCCTACGAGCCCATGCTTACCGCATCCATCGATTATTGACGACGCACGCCACATGTCCTTGAGCTGCTCCAGGCAGGGATGACACCATCTCCGATCCCTAGCCCGCTCTCCGTGTGACTCAAAAGGCGCGCCGGATGCAAGCACTACAGTAGGAGGACATCGACGCTACGAGGATCCACGTATCTGTACTGTGGTAAGATTCTTACATGGTGGGCGCGGTCGCCAACGTCGCCTCATGATTGCGACGAGGCCCCTTCTCGGGCTAGTCCACCATGGACTCGCTTCGTTTGGCAGTCGTCCAGGCTCTCATGAGGAGTCGAAGCTTCGACACGAGTGGCCAACATGACTGACTACACCCTACATGACATGCTCTCACGAGACAGGATGACACTCTCATTTGGGCTGGTGGGTATGAGAAGGCTTTTGGTAAGCTACGCTTTCGCAAATGCATTGCATACAAAGACGCCGACAGACCGTCAAGGGCCTGCAGCCAACTGCCGCGGTTCTGGACTGTGGCTTTTGCGCCGTTTCCTCCTTCGTAAATCCCCTTCACCCCCGGGAGAGCCACGCAGATGCCTACCTACTGCATGGCCACGGACCGTGGTGTTCAGAACAAGGGTCTCGAGTGAACATGAACGTGCAGGTTGTGTCGTCCGAGCTGCCGTGTGTCCTACAGGCTACGTAGGATTCGCAGATTGGTGTGCGATGGAGTCCCGACCAAGGAGTTCGCTGAGACGGGCCCAATCCGAACGTGTTGCTCCGTTCTGGCGATAGGATACAGTATGGGTAAGCCGCTGCGTGTGACATTCCCATGTTGCAGCTCCTCGCGTCACCTCCCTCCACGTACCGAACGGCCAGACCATCTACCGATGCAGTGCCCTCTCCTGCTGCAGAAGGTTGCAGTAGTGGTGGGCGAGAGAAAGAGAGGTGAGTAAGTGAGTGAGTGAGAGTGAGTGAGCGTGAGGTACCGATGGGCTACTCAGTACAGTGCCAACTCTTTTTGCGCCGCACCAACATTGCGAATGCCCTCTATTTTTTAATTTTTTTCTGCCAGACTTTTTACGGAAAACAGACATGTATTTCATCTACACCTTTTTTCTCATTGGACGGTAGACTTTCGAGACAGGGTCAAATGGCGTCACGGCACAGGGCATCGCACAGTCTACCCGGCACGCGGCCTGCCAAGAAGCACTGATGCAGGGCTACCCCCCTGCTACTATATACCTGTATGTACATGGTAAACCCATCACGAGCAGCTAACAAGCCGCTCTAGCGGTACAGCAGCTTCCAGCGCTAGAGCTCCCTGCCGACCCGCCAGGTTATTCAGTGCATGGTCCACTCTGAAAGAAAAGACGAAAAAGAAAAGGAAAACAAAACCCCCGTTTCGGTGGTGGGATCCCAAGGAAAGAAGCTCTCGTCAACAGCCCATGTGCAAGGCAAAGTCACTCTTGTACCTTTTCCCCCTCTCCACCCTCCACCATGTCCAACGTATACTAAGACGCCGGCCAGCTCCCGTAGCTATTAGGGCCGGTGGCTGGTGTACACCCCCAAGTACCTCGTTCTTGTCCCATCGCCGCCGCGTTTTTCGACTCCCTCGTTGGCCGACTTTTCCTTCTCTGGATCTCACGCGTGGATGCCTCCGGAACCCTCGGAGTCGGGACATGTCACCCTTCTGGTTGGCTCTTCCACTTACACGCGACCCTACCTTACCTTGCCAACATACAGTACTCGCCAACTTAGCTTCCACGGCAACTTTGATCTCGCGGCCTTGCCTTGCCTTGCAGTGACATGCTTCTTTGCCAGGAGCCTACCTACCTACCTACCTCGAGGTACACGCCATGGGGCCTCCTTGAAACTCTCCGACACGGCGGGGCGACGCAGCTCTGGACTGGTGGTCTGACTTACTGGACATCCGGCTGCCCCAGAGGATCGGTCATCTCATGGCCGTGTACCGGCCATGTCACTCCGCGAAGCTATCCTTGACGTACCCTCTTGTTGTTGCTTTGTACCTCACCAAGAGTCTTGTCGCAAAGGACTTCTCTCGGCCTCCGCTGCGCTCGCTGCTCGCGCCAGCGCGGCTTCCAATCTTTTCCTTTGGGCCCCTCCACTTGCGGATGACCATATGTAACCCGTCCTCGCTCCTCCAGGACGTCATGAGGCTCACGCTCTTGCTTTCTCTTCCTACATGTAGAGCTGCGAATAGACGTCTTCTGTTTTACCTCCTGAACTGCTCCTCTCGATACCTAGCCCCTAGCCAAGCTCGAGACGCTCCCCTCCGGCCTCCTCGATCCGGTCACTACTCCTCGGACCGAATAGTGACGGCTCCGTCCTTCTTCAACAGCTCTCGGTCGCGAACAAGTGCTTGATGAACTCAATAAGAAAGCAGCTTACCACCGCCTTGGCCCTAGGCCTCGTGCCGCTAGTCCTTGCCCACGACGCTCACGAGGACGGCGCCGCTGGAATGAACATGGACATGGATATGTCCCACGGCGCAGAAGGGCCCAAGCCCGATGCCGACAGCTACCCACCCACGTACTTTGCGCTCGCCGACCATGCGGGAATGATGTATGCGCACATTGGCGCCATGGTGCTCGCCTGGGTCTTTGTGCTGCCAGTCGGTAAGTCTGCCAAGATGCCGAGATTGCTGCGCCGACTTACACGCGACTCGCAGCTGTCATGCTCTCAATCGCACGCTCGCGATATACGCTCGCCCTCCAGTTTGTTTTTCTCGCTGTGAATGCGCTCGGCGTGCTCCTAGGAACCATTTACAACGCCAGCACTCCCGACCTCTACCCAAACAATGCGCACCACAAGCTGGGCTGGTTGGTGACCTGGATTGTGTCGGTCCAGGTCTTGATCGGCCTGCTGGGAAGAGTTGCCAGCGCACTGAAGGAAGAGAAGCGCGAGGCGTACGACAAGAACGAGTACCAGTCCTTCATTCCCGTATCGACCGCCGCCATGGCCGAACACCACCGCATCAACGGACCTCGGTTCGCCAGCGAGTGCCGCTTCTCCAACGACAGCGGCCAGGGCACCGAGCCTGGTACCGAATCGCTTCGGAGCCACTCCCGCTCTTCGTCGTCCAACGAAGTGTCCCCGCGCATCTCGGACGATCATCAAAAGGAGTACGTCGAGGACGACGACGATCTCGAGGACGGTCTCTCCATGCCTATGACCATGCCGAGCAGCGGCAACGAAAAGAAGGCGACTTCCATCCTTGCCAAGGTCGCGGGCAAGATTTCGTCACGTGTGTGGAAGGGTCTATTGTTTGTCTACAACTTTGTCGATAGGATCATTCTGCCCATGGGCTCCGTTGCACTGTGTCTTGGCATTGTGACGTACGGACGGTTCTTTGTAAGTGACGAACCCCCACGTGTCGTTGGGACCAAGGGCTAACTTGGCACAGGAGGGCAACGGCATATTTAGCGGCCTGGCGCATTGGGTCAAGGGCGGCATCTTCTTCTGGCTTGGCTTGTTGACTTTGGGCCGATGGACAGGCAGCTTCGGCGAGATAGGATGGGTAAGTTGCGGTCCGTTGCCGGCCGTGTTCGGGCCCGGGTTGCTGACTTTTGACTCAACAGGCGTGGAACGTTCGGCCGAAGCGCACCGACGGCAAGTGGCGGCCCTCGGCCGAGTTCGTCGAGAGCGCTCTCATCTTCGTCTACGGCTCAACCAACATCTTTCTCGAGCACCTCGGAAACTGGGGAGGAGAATACAGCGCGCAGGATCTGGAGCACATCTCCATCACCGTGCTCTTTATTGGCGGTGGATTGGTACGTTTGTTGATGATGGCGGTGCGCATCGGAGAATCAACTAACACGGAGACTAGGTCGGCATGCTCATTGAGTCGAGCCGTATTCGGGATCTCCTAAACACATCCGTCATCGACGCCGCTGCGATGACGCCCGAGCGACCCTCTGACGACGAGGAACGAGAGACGCTCCAGCCGCCGAAGCAGTACGAATTCTCCATTAACCCCATCCCGGCGCTGGTCATTCTCCTTTTGGGAATCATGATGAGCTCGCACACGCAGCACTCGATGATCTCGAGCATGGTTCACAAGCAATGGGGCAACCTCTTGACCGGCGCTTCGTTCGCGCGCGGCTTCACCTATGTCATTATGTACCTGAAGCCGCCCAAGTCGGTCCTGCCCTCCCGACCTCCCACCGAGCTCCTCGCCGCTTTCGCGCTGATCTCTGGAGGTATCATCTTCATGGCCAGTGTAAGTTGTATTCCGACACCTTGGGCTCTTGTCGATTGGGACTAACACTCGCAAAGGCCAGCGACACCATCGAGGGCATGGAGCACTACAGCCTGGATGCCATGTTCATGTACACAGTGACCATGGGCCTAGTGGGACTCCTGATGGCCTGGGAGATTACTGTTCTAGCAATCAAGGGCTGGGCGGTGCGCAAGGAGGCCGGACGGCTGTCGTACCAGCGTAGCTGAACAAGAAATGTGGGGAAAGGTGTCCAGCTGGTTGGGCGCCTCGGATAATGTGATATGACGTGCGATGTTTGTGTGCGTAAGGAAAGGCATGGCAACGGCGCAGTCATGAAAGCTTGAGGAACGAGCACGATAGACGGCATTTGCCGGCGCAAAACAGGGGCGTCGTTTACATTACTTTTAGATACCCTTACGATACTTTGTCAAGCGGCCGATAGAAGGTCGTTCTAATGATAACTGACTACTATAGCACCTAGTCTCACGGAAACGAGCGTAGTGTTAAAATGGATCTGTGCGCTGCGTCTTATACCGACGGATGTAATTTTTGGCGATTTGTATCTTATTTCGCCCCATTAAGAGACCCTGTTGCCTAAGCAATCTTTTGGTAATTTCTCAATCCTGAGCCGCGACCATCACGGTTTTAGAGCTGCCTCCATCGGCTCACGCAATCATGAGAAGCTGCCTACACATTTTCCTTGCCATCGTCGGGGTGACTGAGACCTGTTCCTGAAGGGCAGTCAACTCCCGGTGGCTTCTCAAAGCCTCGTCGTGTCGGTTGTCGCAATTCCTACGATTTTTGACGCGGAAATCCTTTGACTGTTCATAGTCTCGAGAACCGCGGGGACGAGCTTATGGCCCGTGGTTCCGTCAGAAGCCTGCCGCATCGCTCCAAGCCCTCTCCGACTGGTCCATGGTCCCTTCCGTGGCCGGGGTGAAGTTGTCCCCAAACGCTCTCTCCAACCGGGACATGTCCTCGTCGAACAACACACCGTGGAAATATTTTCCCCCGGAGAACGGCCTCGATCCGTGAACCCAATAGTGAAGCCCGGCGAAGCTCAGCCGGAGGTCGCCTTCTTCTTCTTCTTGCTCTTGTCCTTCTTCTCCTTCTTTCCGCTCTTGGCCCCCGTCTCCTCTGCAGCCTCGTCGGCCGCCGCCTCCGTCATGTCCACATCCTCATCCTCCGCGGCCGCAGCAGCAGCAGCGGGGGCAGGCTTAACGACGCGCTCCTGGTCCCGGGCTGAGTACAGCGCGGTGCCCTGCTGCAGGGCGTGCACGAGGAAGGGCACCGAGTCGGCCTTGAAGTCGTCGGCCTCGCGGACCTTGTCGAGGTCCTCGGCGAACTCCTGGGTCGTCCGCTGGAGGTAGAAGGCGGCGAACTCCCGGGATGCGGCGGTGGTGGCGGCCATGGTGAAAGTTTTGTGTGAGTGTTTGGTGTTTTGCTACCTTTTCCCCCTCGTCTGCGGCTTTTATTTTGAATGAGCCAAATTGTTGAGAGGCGTTGTTTGAATTTGATAGGAAGGTTTGCTCGGGTTGCTTTTATGATTGGATAACAGATGATTGTAAGTGATGGGGTGGGATTTTTGCGAGATGAACCTCGAGATCTCGACGGGTGAAAGTTTTGGGATACAGTGCCGAGATACAGTGTGCGATCATTCTCGTACGGGAATGAGCGGCGCGAATGGCATGTATGCATATTCCAACCAGGCAATTCATTCCAACTTTTCTATCCTTTTTTCCATACAAAATCCTTCACGGATTCACACGGCTTTTGAACCACTTCCCGACCAAATGTCATCAAACCCGACAGAACGCAGTGACTAATTATCTACGCTCCCTCAGGCTGGGTCGCTAAGTCTGTAGCACAATTGCGGATCGAAATAGAGCATCCACATCCGATATGGTGTAGTGGCCAACATGATGCCCTCTCACTCGCTTGAGAGGTTAGGCATAGCCCCGAGTTCGATTCTCGGTTTCGGAACTTTTTTTCGTTCAGTGACGGTCTCTTTTGCTTGAGCGTCATCCCGCCCGCTCTTTGTTTTTGCCTCTTGTCTTCATTAGAGCTCTACCTTGTCACATTCCCATTATTGTTCCTGATGTTGATTGCACTTTTCATGTTTCCTTTCTCTGAGGTGAATTTGCCAGTACAGTTGCAGAGCACCCAGCCAAACTCGTACTGCCAACTCCCTACTTTTTATGCGCATCGCATATTGACTGCTGTCAACAACAATCCTCTCTTGATTCACCCACCCACTGTCCGTGACCGATGTCATACCATTTAGGTCTCGAAGCCGCAACAACGGCCCCGGATTCCTAATGCAATATTCAACTGCCGGCGTGGGGAGCCCAGTCTGACTACTGAAACCTTGCTCAGTTCCTCAGGGGGCAATCTTATTCGTTGGCAGAACGAGTCGCTTACATCCTCCGTCTGGAGCAAGTCGAATATCGCAACAACTCGGTAGGAGACAAACAACCAAACAGACTGTCGTTGTCAGATGCTTTTCTTCCAAGAATACAAACGCCTCACCTCGGCAAACCACTTCACTAGAAAGGCCACACCGGTGTCCCCCCGGTGCTTCCCCCGATGCAGGAACTCATCCTTGGCCATGGCCTTCTTCTCCTCCGACTGCAACCTCACACCTCTGGACTGTTGCATCCTTTCCCCGCAATCCCCGGATTTTCATCATTCCCCAGGCGGGGTGTTCCAGTTCGAGACCACCTCCCCGTACAGGTTCCTAGCAGGGCCGATCCCCATTCACGTGGTACCTGAATGTTGTCGACAGCCAATACTGCAAAGAGTGACTTGAATGTGGCTTGTCATAAACTCCGTACGAGATGAACGTCTTGTCGCTTCTCCGAGCGCTTCTCCTCTTCCAGGTTTGTCCGCAGCCCGCAGCTTCCACTCATGTCACATCGGCCGAGAGGCCGGGGGTCCAAATGGTTCTCATGATCGGCCAGATGTGCGGTCAGATCAGAGACCGTTGTATCGCTCTGTTCCCTGAGCTGTCTTGCTCTGCTGTCTCCTCGGGGTAGCTCCCTTTAGTGAAATGGCTCTCTTATCCTTCAGAGCAAGCGTTGGCTGTTTGAGAGAACAACCGAGGACTCAGACAAGATGAGCGCTGCTGAGTCTTATTCAGTTGCTTGTTTGAAGAGCTCGCAAGTGATCAATCGTATAACCATGTCGCAGGGGTGCTGAGCATGCCTTGCGTGTTCGGCCTGGGTTCATGTCAACCTCGCCTCTTCGATCTAGTACTCCTGTCAACGATTCAAGGCCGTCACACTACCCAAGTCAACAACCCCGTATCCCTCCTCTGATCATTGGCGATTCTCCATCTGGCAATGTCACCGAAAGCAGCCAGGTTCTTGGGGACGTCACATCCGTCTGGGGTAGCTTTCCATTGCCGTGTTGAACCATCTTGGCGCGAGACCGCCTCGACCCCGCCCCTCTCTGCTCTCTCCGTCTTTCGTTCGGCTTCATGTGAAGGAGATTATCGTGGCTCTCCACGGGCAGTAGTGAGCGATGGTTCGAATTTAGAATATCAACCCACGGAGCGACGTTGGAGGCATGTATTTGTTGCGGGGTAAAGCAATCCTTGTCTGGCTAGGTAGCATTTTGTAAGATTGAGCAGACTCAGGATGTGGTGTTTCGTGACGTTCTGACGAAAGATGAAGAGGAAGTGAAAACAAGGGGAACGAAAAAGACATCTATATAAACCTGTCAACCTTCCCGGATGTCGTGATTGTTTCCCTTGATTGCACAACACCAGCTTACAGACCCAAACCGACACATACCATACACCGTCGCCGATAGACCTGCACACCCTGCCCACTAGTCACCATGCAGTTCAAGACCGCCGCCGTCGCCATCTTCGCCAGCCTCGTCACGGCCCAGGACCTCTCCCTCCTCCCCGACTGCGCGGTATGATGGCCTCTGTTTGACCCCGAAAGTCACACCTCGTCTCTGTCTAGGTGGAGTCAACGAGACCACTGAGCTGACAAGAGATTCCGTGCTTCTAGCGTCCCTGCTTCGTCGACAGCTTCCCCCTCTCCGGCTGCGCCTCGCAGACCGACTTCGCCTGCATCTGCGCGTGAGTCTCTCCGTCTTTGTAGGAAACATCGGTCCCAGGCCTTCCTACTGACACCGAGACGATATAGTTCCGACGCGTACAACAACGCTGTAACCACTTGTGTCCTGGGTGCTTGCCAGACTGCCGATGTGTAAGTGGACCTCAGAAGTTTGGAGACCCGAGGAAGAACTTGAGAAACTGATACGTCACTTCACTGGATAGTCTCGCCGCTCTCGACTGGGCCACCAACACCTGCAACGCCGCTGGCGTTCCCCTTTAATCCAAGAGCTGCAATAATACGGTCCAAGGAAGCCGATATCAAGCTGGCTGTGTCAGTTTGATCAAGGGCGAAGGCTGGGTTCGGGGCATGTACGTACGTCTGTCTGCGATAGCCGGGGATCCAGTATATACTTTGGATAAAACTCCAACCGGTATTCGGTTAACAACTGCCCCGTGAAACTTGATGTGGATCTGTTTCATGGGTTGAGATACTTGAGAGACATCTGGTGAGAGTCCGATGCAATACCACGCCTGGGGCGGCTTTAAGTTGACGTCAAATTTTGTCACCCTTGCATTTGGGCACAACTACGCAACACCTTAGCGTCCATGTAATTAGGAAGCGGACAAACCTATGCCTAGATGGTATATTATTACAGCAAACCCCCAAGGTTGAACCCATTAGCTTCATGTGAACGTTTCCTAACGAACTGTCCCAACCTACAACTCACGGCCCCATCTACACCAACACACATTCCTGCCACAGTGCCCTCAGGTATCAAAGACAGGCAAGGCAAGCCCATCCAAGAGGGTGACGCAGGCTTCCCGCCCATCCGTAGCGGCAAGCACGAGGGCACCGCCAAGAAGATTGTCGCGAGCGGAGACGACGCCCAGAGCGAGGGCGTCAAGAACCCGCCAAAGGCGCGTTGACGAATCACCCTCGTGTCCGTGGTTAGAGGTTTTGTATTGTACGTAGGGCCCTTGCTTACGACAAGGGGGCCGACCCGTATAGGTGCTCTTTACTGATCAGCATGGCCACAACGTTGTGCATAACCCTGGCACGCCGAGGCACGTTGACGACGAGGAGTTAGGGTAAGCGAACAGAGGGCAGTCCGGGTTTGATGGCCTGTTTGGGGGTGTTGAAACAGGACTATATACATTGAAGGGAACAAAGACGGCGTGGGAACGCGGCATCGAGCTGGTCTGGCCTAGAGATGTATGTATGTCGTCGGTCTGTCAGGTCGACACAGCAGTGACTCATTCCAGCCAAACTAAGAATAAGTTACGCCATACGTACCTAGCCATTCAATCGTGGTCCACGAACGATGGATGACTTGCCTCACATCGTGTAACACGCAGCCAGCAACTGCTGTGCAGGTCAATCACGACGGACAAAAGAAAAACCAGGCATAAAAAACAGAGACAGTTGGACCCATTCCCGCCATCGTCCCCAAAAGCCTACCCCACGATGGCGTTTCAAGCAGGTATCCCTTTGGGACACAAACATCACGTCACGATATTTCATCCCATGTGTCACGGGTGAACGGCATGATGGCCCGTATGGATCACACGTATGGAGAGGGTGCCATTGGTCAAAAGCTTCCCTAATCTGGACTTTAGTCTGAAATCCCGGCCATCTGTCTAATGGGAAAAAAAGCATAAACTTTAGCAAATCATGCTCCTGTCAACGTAAACCCCCATGCGACGAACCCACAAACGCCAGTCATAGTAAAGCTCCTTGCGCTTCTTAGCAGCAGCATTAATAACCCCTCATTTACCGACGCAGGTCGAGACTTGCTCTTGACGAATCGAGGCTCGGACGCATGGAGCTGCTCGAGCTCCTACGACGGCGCGCTCGCTGTTCGCCCGGATCCGAGGGTCGCAGTCCCGACGACTTGGCAAACATGTTCAGGATGTCGGTCAAAGAAACCACAGCAGTCAAACGACCAGAGAGATGAGCGCCGGGCATGGCTGCAGCAGGCACAGCGGTATGAGTTTGTGTAGGAAGTGGCGACTGCGGCGCCGAGCCCGGTCCCGGCGCCAGCACCGTTGATGTCGTTGGGGCGAGCAAAGGGGTCGCGGGTGCGGACGGGGACGGAGATGCCGATTCGACAACCCACATGCGGTGAGACTGGGTAGCCACCAGCTTCGCAACGGTGTGCGCCAACGTCGAGTACGGGTTGACATAGAAAACAGGGAAGGAGTCGCGGCCATGTTCGACACCACGCTCGCTGAGGATGACGGAGATGAAGTGCATGCAGGATGACTTGAGCAGAGGCGCATCAGCGGCGTTGGTCAGGTGCTTGACGTCTACGGTGGAAATATTCCCCACGACGTTGTGGCCGTTGTCAATAACGGCAACGCTCGTCAGGCCCTCAGCGTTCATCAATGCCAGCGCGTCTCCCAAAAGGCTATCGGAGCTACTAAAGGTTAGCTGTGGTCATGCAGAATCAGTAGTGGTCTCTTACTTGACAGCAACGATTTGCTGTGTCCCGATGCCGAGGTCTCTCAAGGTTACCGGGTACAGCCTGTCGATGGCAGGGAAGTTGATGCCTTCGTTCCAGAAGAACTCAATTACCTTGAGCTGACTGAGAATACCGATTACATCGCCCGTGGGGTTGGTGACTAGGACGCGGTGGATGCCGCTGCCGAACACTTCGATAGCCCGTTCCAATGTCTCGTCGAAAGGCAGGGTAATGAGCGACTCCTTGCGGCATAGGGGCTGGATATCGCGTAGGGCTATGCGAGCGCCCTCTCGGGCCTTGTTCACTATGTCGTCGTAGAGCGGGACTTGCTCCTCGTCGGGCCTCGCCAGTCCGACGACGATCAGTAGGTAGGTGTTGAGGTCATTGTAGTCGAAGGTCGATACGGCGGTTTTGGCCGAATCCTCCTCTCGGATGAGGACGACGTTGGATGGACTGTGCTTGACCAGCGTCTGGCGAGATGTCAGGAATAGTCGCCAAACAAAGACACGGGTGTTGGACTACATACCATGGATGCCTCTTCAACGCTGGTGTCCAGGGTGACCCATTTGAAGTCATCCTGAGCGACAAGCTCGTTGACGGAGATGTCGCGCCAGTCGCGGCCGGCGAAGCGCGGGTTCGCGTGCTTGTTGGCAGCAGGTGGGTGGTTGAGAAGCTCTTGGACGGCAGCTTGGGTGAAGGAGGGGTGACGCTGGGCGCGAGGCGAGCCGGGCGCGTTCCTCAGGTTCTCGGCGAAGCTCTGGCGATGGGTGTGAACGTGGGTTGTCTTGTGCAGGCTCGTCTGGGAGGGGGTTCGCTGGGGGACTACAGGAGGCGAAGTGGCGATGGCCTCGTCGTTGTGCGACCCGGACGCCGCTGTTGCGTCCATTGCTCTACTCGAACAAGATCTCTCCGTAGGTTCCGGGGCTGTTATTGTCTTCGGGGGCGGTCTGGCAAAGCAAAAGAGGTCGAGGCGGGGCTATCGTTGTGGTGACGACGTTTGGTGCTCTGCTCCCGCGTCTGTGGTCACCTTGCTGAACCCGGTATTAAAGAAGCTTGTGAAGTCGGTCAATTCTATTCCGCCCTTCAGCTCGGCCTTTGCTTTGTTGGATTACTGGTTTGTGTAGCGGTGGCTGAGAGGATCAGGTGTTGGCGAGGCGCTGAGAGAGGGAGAGAGGTTGACGGTCGGCTTATTGCGCCCGAGAGCTACGGCTGCCCAGACCAGAGGAGCTGCACCGCCTTACGTAGACGAAGTGTTATGGATCGCAATTGAGGGGCTCCGGTGATCTGATGGATCCCGACAGTGACAGCAACAGGGAATACGAATGTGACATGCACTTGGACGAGTTCGGTGTCCCGCGGGCAATGCTTGTAATTGGCTGATTATTGTCTCGACTCGTGCAAACAGAAAAAGCTAGAACGGCTAGATGTCTCGATACTCAGATGAATAAACAGGGAGATGGAATGGGAGTTGAACAATCTGTCAAGTGTCGAGAGTGAATGCTTCAACGAGACCAAGACGAACAGTAACAAGCAGGTCTGGGGCGATGGAAAAAGAAAAGAAGCACAGTGAGGGGCGGAAGCTCGCCAACAGGAGCTGCCCACACTGAGGTGCTGAAAGGCACACCGCGTTTTGCGGAGGAGGAGCAGCAGCAGCAGCAGCAGCACCAGCATCATGGGGACCGCGGCCAGTAACTCGCAGTGTTGGTCAGCCCGGAGGCACTGCCCCGGGCCACTCGGGGTGCTGGTACATCGCTGATGTCGCCGGCTTTGCCTGGGGAGAGAGTTGGGAGATGAGGGGTCCTGGGAATGACGGACGGACAGGTCCTTAGGCCCAGGGAGATGCCCGGTACGTATTCTGCTTTGCATTACCCCTCAGTTGACAGCTCGGAGTTCTGACTGGTTCTTTCTCTCCCGTCGTCTCCAATTTTCCCGGGCCAGAGCGGTGCATCGACGGTCCGGCGCCCCTCCTCCCCACTGGCTGCAAGTGCCCGCATTGTTGCATAGACCGCATAAACGGGACAGATTGATGAAGAATTTCGTCCTGATCGACGCCTTGCCGTGGACCGACAGCGACCAACCACCTGCACACTTTTGATTACCTTAAATCTTTGAAGCCTACCTAGATGCGCTGCTTCACTGCTTCGTTGCTTCATCATGTGAATATCATACCGGGCCCCTGGAAACGAGACCCTGAAGCTAGCTACCTTGCCTGGACCCAACCCGAAGCAGACGTTGCATGCTTCGTATCTGGATGGGCGGTGCCGTAGTTCGCTGTCTCGTCTCTCCATTCTGCCGGGTGGACTGCCTGTCCCTTGATTCATCACATCGTTTTGCTTGCATGTCGCGTCTCAAGCTCAGGGACGGGGATGGTTGAATGAGAGAAACAACAAAAGGCTTTGTCCGGGAATCGGCTTCAGGGTAAGTTAACTTGGCCAGTGTCCCAGGGCCTGGAGCTTGGACAATACTGCAAGGGGATCTCTGAGAGGGAGCTCCTTGTCCGATGTGAGCCTTTCGGCTTCATGCGCTGGGATCTTTGCATGGTGTAGCTTGTCATTGAAATTTTCTTATTCTCGATATTTTTCTTTTTCATTCTTTGCGTGTTTCCTCATCTCTCCACCCCCTTTTTTCCTTGGGTTACTGGTCGATTGTTCATCTGACGGAATGACCTAATTTGACCCCGGTGTCAAATGTCTCTCAGCGACTGGCATCCGTGTTGCTACGGTCCTGACCAAGTTGGACATGTCCTGGCCTGCCGCCGAACGGTGGGCTTGTTGACAGAGGAGACAGGCGTATGCGGGACCGTGGGTGACACAGGGCAGGGTCGGGAATAGTAAAAAAAACCGTGAGACCGGCGAAATTCATCTCTCCCCCTTGGAGACGTCCGGTGAAAAGACCCGGGAGCCAGCAGACAAACTGTCGCCGTATTGCACCAAGACAGAGAGGCCGAACTTGACGTGTCGGGGCCGCAGTGTCTTATCTCAAGGTAGCTGAGGCAAGGCACTTGGTATGGCCGAGAGCATGGGCTGCTTCAGTCACCCTGACCAAACATTGAACTATCGGTGGAGATCAAAATTCACATGCAACTATGGCCAGTCAAAAGTCCAAGACACTAACAATTTCCGACGACCGCCAGGAGCAGGTGTACACGCCCCGCCCGTTGAACCCCTCCGTGGACCAGGGCTGGGCAGGCAGGCAGGCCAGCAAGACCACCACAGCCCAGCGTGGTTCTGTGCAGCCAACAGTGTGTCGGTGGACAGACAGGACGATATGGACGGGCGGTACAGACAGACAGATAGACAGCCACTGGGCGTGGGAACCCACCTCCGGCAAGAGCCCCGCCAAAAACCTGCCAAAATTATTGTCATTTTTTGCTTTCCCCTCCACGACAAGACCCCCCAGTCCCTCACCATCGTGGGCTTGCTGCCTCACTTTTTGACTCCTGCAAGTTCCTTTGTTTTTTTCCCACTTGCCCTCTCCCTCTGCAACATCCCTCACCACCCCTCGCCCTCTCCCGAAGCATATCATGCCCATTGCGACCAGTCGCTGTTCCCAGTAGACTGCACATACCCGCGTTCCTCCCTATCCTCGTCCGACACGCGTTCGCTTACTTTGGCGCACCAAGATTAAGGTCGAGAGACATTTGGGCTACCGAAAAGGGTAAAAAAAGTACCCCTCAGAACACAACACGCCGACACTTATCCGCCTCTCCCCGCGTCACCCAACCTCAACTCAACCTTCTTTCGCGCTCCCGACAACCTCCCACCGCCCCGGCTGTCTTGGGGTTGGTAATTACAACAAAACCTGCAAAACCCTCGACTCGACCACGACCGACACATCGTCTCAGTCGCAACCATGTCTGTCCTCCCCCAGACGTCCACGCAGAGCTGTCCCAGCTGCTGCAAGCTCTGCAGTCCCCAGACAACTCTGTCCGAACCCAAGCCGAAGACCACCTCCAGAACAACTGGACCGCCAACAGACCCGAGGTTTTGTTGATGGGCCTGGCTGAGCAGATCCAAGTTGCCTCCGATGCTTCGGTATGCTCCCTCCCTCCCTCCCTCCCTCTGCGTCTCCCACCTGCCAGCTCCCCTCGCCCGTCCCTCTTCGTCCTTCGTCTTGCGACCTGGCGCTAACCACCATCCCACCCTCTTCAGATACGATCCTTTGCCGCCGTCATCTTCCGAAGAATCGCCTCCAAGAGCCGCAAGAATGAGCGCGGCGACCTTGTCGACATGTTCTTGTCCTTGTCCCAGGACCAGGCTGCTGCCATTCGCCAGAAGCTTCTCGAGAGCCTCGGCGGCGATTTCCAGCGTGCTGTGCGGAATAAAATCAGTGACGCCGTCGCCGAGGTCGCGAGACAATACACTGAGAACAGTACGTCGCCGATGCTCGCATTTCACTCCATACCCTTTCCCGGAAACTTGAGCCTGACACCATGGCAGATGATTCCTGGCCCGAGCTGCTGGGCGGTCTTTTCCAGCTTAGCATCGCCCCCGACGCCGAGAAGCGCGAGACTGCTTTCCGTGTCTTCGCTACGACCCCGGGCATCATCGAGAAGCAGCACGAGGATACCGTTATCCAGGCCTTCCAGAAGGGCTTCAAGGATGATTCCGTGCAGGTAGGACAACCCCGACACAGCCCCCGTTGGCTACAAGCCGGCTGACTTGCAACAAGGTGCGCTTGGCCGCCATGGAGGCCTTTGCAGCCTTCTTCAGGAGCTTGGGAAAGAAGGTGCAGCCCAAGTACTACCCTCTGATCCCCGACGTCCTCAACATCCTGCCCCCAATCAAGGACAGCCACGATTCCGAGGACCTCAGCAGCGCCCTTGTCGCCCTTATTGACATGGCCGAGACGGCGCCCAAGATGTTCAAGCCTCTTTTCCATAACCTTGTCCAGTTCAGCGTGTCCGTGATCCAGGACAAGGAACTCGACAACCTCTGCCGCCAGAACGCGCTCGAGTTGATGGCTACTTTCGCCGACTACGCGCCCTCGCTGTGCCGAAAGGACGCCACCTACACCAACGACATGATTACCCAATGTCTCAGTCTCATGACCGACCTCGGCGAGGACGACGATGATGCCGCTGAATGGCTGGCGTCTGACGATGTGAGTAGCTTCCCTGCCATGGGTGATGACGGTATGGATACTGACCTGCGTCCAGCTTGACCAGGAGGAAAGCGACCAGAACCATGTTGCTGGAGAGCAATGCATGGATCGACTCGCTAACAAGCTTGGAGGACAAACCATTCTGGCACCGACCTTCAACTGGCTGCCCCGCATGATGACCTCCATGGCCTGGAGGGACAGACACGCGGCCCTCATGGCCATCTCCGCCATCTCTGAAGGCTGCCGGGAGCTGATGATCGGCGAGCTCAGCCAAGTCCTCGACCTCGTTGTTCCTGCGTTGAAGGACCCGCACCCCCGTGTGCGTTGGGCTGGCTGCAACGCGCTGGGTCAGATGAGCACCGACTTTGCGCCCAAGATGCAGACCGACTACTACGACCGCGTGCTCAAGGCCATCATTCCTGTTCTCGAGTCGCCCGAGGCTCGCGTCAAGTCGCACGCCGCTGCTGCCCTGGTCAACTTCTGCGAGGAGGCCGAGAAATCCATCTTGGAGCCCTACCTTGACGAGCTGCTCTCTCACCTTTTCCAGCTGTTACAAAACGAGAAGCGCTACGTCCAGGAGCAGGCCTTGTCGACCATTGCAACCATTGCTGACGCTGCCGAGGCCGCATTCTCCAAGTACTATGACACTCTGATGCCTCTGTTGGTCAGTGTTTTGCAGAGGGAGAACGACAAAGAGTTCCGCCTCCTCCGCGCTAAGGCTATGGAGTGCGCTACTCTGATTGCTTTGGCAGTTGGAAAGGAGAGGCTTGGCCAAGACGCCAT